TGGAAAAAGAAAAATTCGATGGGATTTGGAATTGAGTGATGCAGTTTAGGTGCAAGTAAATCCTGTTTTGTACGCTTCGCTAATCCTTCGGCCCGTTAAAACTAAATCTGGTTGATTTATAACGGGTAGCTAATCGCTCTAATGCGCTGAATTACCCTCCGCCTAATTAATAGGCGCTCTAACAACGACTTGTTAGGTACACGTTCCCTCTCTAATGCCGCTCTAAAAATGTCAAGAGCGACTTTTACTATGTAGAAACTCAAAAATGATCGTGTAAAACGATGTTAGTATGTGAATAGAATCGTTTAGAACGATTTAGAACGGTTCAGGATCAGTTTTTTCGCGTATTTTTTGATGAAAGTTTTTTCCAATTTTTTTGCATTTTTTTGTCAATTATTTCACTTCAAATTTACTTCATTTTTATTGCCTTTTTTGACGAATTTTCCTCAAATTTTCGTTAAATTTTTCACCGTTTTTCACTCAATTTTTTCGCGAATTTTTTATCTCAATTTTTGAGCATTTTTTCTCCAAATTTTAAGCCAATTTTTTTGCATCTTTGAATTTTTGAACATTTCAGCGCAAATTTTGTCTTTTTTTGGTCCAATTTTCGCATATTTATCAGTTAGAACTGCCTATAGAACCATTTTTAACGCTCCAGAATCATTTAGAACTGTCTAAAACTGTTCTAACTCCACTTTTTTGTCCAATTTACAAGCATTTTTTTTGCTTTTTTGAACATTTCAGCGCAAATTTAGTCCTTTTTTGGTCCAATTTTCGCATATTCATCAGTTAGAACTGCCTATAGAACCATTTTTAACGCTCCAGAATCATTTAGAACTGTCTAAAACTGTTCTAACTCCACTTTTTTGTCCAATTTACAAGCATTTTTTTTGCTTTTTTGAACATTTCAGCGCAAATTTAGTCCTTTTTTGGTCCAATTTTCGCATATTTATCAGTTAGAACTGCCTATAGAACCATTTTTAACGCTCCATGGATTCATTTAGAACTGTCCACAAACTATTCTAATTCCACTCTAAAAATCCCAAAAATATCCATTAATTTTCGAAACCCACAGCACACGTTCAGTTATTAGTTTATTAGATCGCCATCGAATAACCCCGAAGGTGGAATTAATTCGTCCGAAACGTTTAAATAACCATCCCCATCGGGTAAGGTGCCCGGAGAAATAACTACGAAATAACTCTATTATTAGACACGTAGAGGTGATAAGGAGCGAGAGAGAGAGAGAGAAGGAGAGAAGGAGAGAAGTAGAGAAAGAGAGAGGTAAAGTGGATAATGACCGGCGTGTCCGGTGATTTATTTAAGGAAGAGGGGAAAGGTGGGGGGCTCGAGTGACCGACGGTATCTACGTTTATACCAGCACACTTTGATATATTCGAGGGCCTTATTAGGTCTAATTCCGCGTTAACTCAATTACGAACCGGCTCGGTTAAGGGCTCGGTTATTTATGTTTGAGGTATATATATATATATATACACGAATTCCTCTCTACTAATTCTTCTTTATCGGTTCATCTTTGATTACTCTACTAATCGATATGTTTATTCGCGTATTAACTTGACAGTTTTACATTGTTGTTATGGAGTAACTAAGGACGCTATATTTAAATTGACAGATTTACATTGGTTGTTATGGAGTAACTAAGGAGATTCATTCGCTTTTGACAGTTTTACATTGGTTGTTATGGAGTAACTAAGGAGATTGTTTCAATTTGACAGTTTTACATTGTTGTTATGGAGTAACTAAGGACGCATTATTTAAATTGACAGATTTACATTGGTTGTTATGGAGTAACTAAGGAGATTCTTTCACTTTTGACAGTTTTACATTGTTGTTATGGAGTAACTAGGGACGCTGTTTTCACTAAATAAATTGTCTAAATCGTCATTTTGAAAATTAAAAATGGTTAATACGACTTATTTCGTATAGAAGTCGCCACTCTGTATAGTAATTCGAGTAGAACAAAAAAAAGCGCTGTAATCAACCCCTAAATTTTTACCTAAACTTTCGAATAAAACCGTTTAAATGGCGTATAAAATTCGAATCGCAGCAAATCCGATATCTCTCAATCTTCTTTAGCGATTATTCTCCCGTCCCGTTTTTTTTTTTTCACCCGCATCGCGCCGGTAAAGTAATTAATGGGAAATATCCGTATAATTAATCGCCTAATTAAACAAAACGGCGAGTTCCCGAGAAGTAGATTCGAATTTCTCTAATCCCCCCGCGCGCGAATCTCCCGGAGATTATATACGAAAGAAAAGCGAATTCTAATTCCTATATAAAGAGTTGAAATAAATTCGTTATTCCATCAGGGAATATGTATCTAAAGTGTATATAGAGAGGAAACTTCCAAAACTCCAAACAATCCAAGCATCATATATAGGGGTGTCTGTATATCGATTAACTCCCTAAATAACTCCCCTATAACTACAAACTACATAAGGCGATAAGATAAGACGTTTCTCCCTATACAATACAATAGTTTCTGTATAGTAAGTTATAGTACATTCGCAATACACACATTTTATAACCCATTCGCTTTAGTATAAGTTTGTGAGAGAAAAAAAAATGGAAATTAAATTAATCGTATGCGAAACTCAAAAGTACAATATTTTATCGAGTCGATTTATCTATAATAGAACGAAAATGCATCGCAGGAATGGAAGATCTACAATCTAGCAAGCACCGTGATCGTCCAGTACAACCAACGAGGACGAAAATAATTCACGAATGAAAAAAAGACACCCTTCGAGAGAGGGAAGAATATAATAATTATTTTCGCGCGAGATTTCTGGCCAGTTTTGGCTGTTATCGATCCCCGCCGGTTATAATAGGGTAAACCGCGTCGTTATGCGCTGATTTCACACAGTTATCAGATGGTAAATCGCCCCCCTATATAATGTATATATGGAGGAAAGTGAAGCCCAACTTCCCGCGTCCCGATCTGTTCACTTTAACCCTCTACAGAATGTCCCACGATGAGTTTAAACTGTCTGTATCATAGGCAACTACTTATTCGATTGATTAATTAGCCTACTCGATTATTGCATCGAATATTTGACAGTTTATTGACGCAATAATGACAGTTATACAACGCTTACTACGATTGTACATACAAAACGGATTTATTCGAGTAACTTTACGAGATTAACGTCAAACAAAAACCATTCAAAACTACAGCGAACTTCAACTTATTAGTAGAATAAACTTGTACATATATTGCGGTGTTGTTAAGTCCTTTTCTGGCGACTCCGAGTTGGGAAATACAATGAGAAACGGGAGAATAAGAAATCGAAATTTCCCAACAAAAGTTTCGCCCGTTTTTCTACGGATTGTCTATATAATAACATAAAAACCGGAGACTTTGTCGTCGACTTAATTCCCCTTCAGTCTTTCGCAATTATACCCGATTACAGCGCCATTAAAGTTTCCCCAATATATACCGGGGGAATCCCCCAACTCTTTATTCCTGTTGCGAATTATCACTAGAATAATTGAGTGTTTAAAACTAACTTTTTTTTGGGGCCATCCTGTATATATATACACACACACACACGAACGAATCGAATCTAATCGATTACACTACTCGATTGTTACTCGATTACAGAGCTTCCTATTTGTACGCGAAACGCTCTGTATATAATACAGGGCGGACATCGAACAGAGGCGACTTTTTCGACTCACCACCCTGTACATTTCTAATGCTACAAGTGTATAATAAAGAGACAAGTATTGCACGTGTATTGCATACGAAACGAGCTCGAGTAATCCTTCCCAATTAACCAACTCCGGTGGTTTGAGATTGGCAATTTGCGCAGGGCGCCCTCTCTCGGATCGAATATAATCGCCGATTTTTCCGTTGAGGTTAATTATTTTTCGCGTCAAAGCGATATTCACCCTTTACGCTGTTATACATATTAATCGGGCGCCATTATATATTGTATATACCTAGCGGTTAATTGGGGTAATTCGCCTCTGTATATAGTCAGAGGGCCCCGCGAAAAATGGGGCCCGGGGAAGATTCCGGTTCTAGTGCAAACAATTCTAGATTGTTCTGGAGCGTTCTAGATGATAATACGAAGCGTTTTGAATGGTTCTAGACAGTAGTAAATGAATCTGGAGCCTTCTAAATGGTTCTGGAGTGTTCTAAATGATAATATGAAGCATTTTGAATAGTTCTAGACAGTTCTAAATGAATCTGGAGCCTTCTAAATGGTTCTGGAGTGTTCTAAATGACTATACGAAGTGTTCTAAACGGTTGTAAATGGTTTTAAACAGTTCTAATTAGATATGGAACGTTCTAAATGGTTCTGAAGCGTTCTAGATTGTTCTATAGTCAATTCTAAATAGTTCTGGAGCGTTCTAAATGGTTCTAAATGGTTCTGGAGCGTTCTAAATGGTTCTAAATGGTTCTGGAGCGTTCTAAATGGTTCTAAATGGTTCTGGAGTGTTCTAAATGACTATACGAAGTGTTCTAAACGGTTCTAAATGGTTTTAAACAGTTCTGATTAGATATGGAACGTTCTAAATGGGTTTGAAGCGTTCTAGATTGTTCTATAGTCAATTCTAAATAGTTCTGGAGCGTTCTAAATGGTTCTAAATGATTCTGGAGCGTTCTAAATGACTATGAAGTTTCCAGTTCTCGTTCAACAACAACAAAATCTTGTGGAATTGGTGTATTAAATGAGTTGAAAAGGATATGTAGGTATATTGTGTCGCTATCCTTCTTATTTTGGAACTTACCTGCTTGGAACTTAATCGAGCGATTTTGGAATTTTTTTTTGAACCTATTTGGAACTTATTTCGAACAGATTCAAACGGGAATTTAAATTATACTTTCCTTCTTCTTTTTTTTGGAACTTATCCTTCGAATTTATCTTCTGTAATTAGTATTACTTCAGCTATTGAGAGGTAGAAAATTAAATAAAAAAACCAGTATATTTTTAAATATAAATTGCGTATTTATTTAATATCTTTGGCAAAAGTCGTTTGGTATTGTTGTTATACGTACATAAAGGTTTACTAATTTGTACTGTATACGAACAAAAAAAAAATTGGCACGAATTTATTTACAATAAATTAAAATTTTTTTTTCAAAATTTCGAAATTTCGAACCCGAATTACGAATCTTCCAAAACGCTTATTTATCAGTCTGCATGTTAGAAGAAAACTAGTTAAATAAATCGAGAAATTTACAAACAAATTCGGTCGAAAAATCGATAGAAAAGCTACTAATATAAATTTCAATTATTCAATTCAACTACTCGATTACAAGTTAACAATACACCTCTAATATATTGCACGAGTCTCTAAAAAAAAAACCAACAGTGTATTTTGAGCATCGATTAATTTACACTTATTTACACTTCTCTAATCACGATTTAAAAAAAAATCACACTACTCGCGAGTCTCTAAAATAAAACGAATCACAGCGGACGAGAATCTCAACTAAAACTTTCAACTGGCCGTTCCCATCGAAAGAGGCCCGTTCTTCAAATGCCCCGCATTTTGGAAATTCTGATTCCCCATTTGATTACCAGCCGGTTGATTAGAATTGTTGTTCAAATCCCCGTTGGATGAAGCGCCGCGATGCCCGTTCATCGCGTGATTTTGCATCGACGCCTGAAACAAACAATCACATTTTCCTTGAATCTGATGAAATGTCGGTAAACGTGGCAACGTTTGATGCGTGTATAGCGCAAGCGCAGATCGCGTTTAGCGGATATTTCAACACAGCACTCTAGGATGTGTAAAATAAAATGGAATAAATTGGGTGAGTACTTACGGGGGGTGGTAGAGAAGTTTGTCGTTTCAAATGGGATAAAGGTGGTGGATTGTAGGCCATATTGGCGAATACCAATCGTTCTTCGTAGTCGTACTCGCAGAGGATTTTGTTTTCGCACAAATAGAACCTGTCGCCTACGCAGAATCTGCAAAATTATTCATATTATAAATATTATACAGATATGTGCAAATTTGTTTGCTATGTTTAATCAAAAAAATAACAGTGGGTTAGAGTGAGGAATATCTGTCTTTCTCCTTTATATGGGATTAAAGGATGTTGTCTTTGTCGCACCCGTTGTAGTTTTCTGTATATCGTGGAGAAACTGGTGTTAGAAATGTACAAAATGTATATCTATCAGAATTCGAATGGGGACGCCTGGAATGATTTCCCTCATGGCGTATAAAGTGTTCTTAAAAAGACAAAATAGCAGGTCCGATTTGTTCCGGTCCGAGCTGGGTAGTTTTCTTATTTTATTTTTATTTTTTTTTTGGTGAATAATTGAGCGATTCTTCGAGAATTGCGCTAAATAATAGTACTGATAAAATAGCAATTAGAAAGGCAAAATAATGAGAAAAATCGAATTATCTAAAACGTTCTGGACTGTTCAAAATGATTCTGGAGCGTTCTAAATGGTCTTACACAGTTCTAAATAATTTTGGAGGGTTCTAAATTATTCTACAGCTTTCTAAATGATTCTAGAGCGTTCTAATAAATGATTCTGCAACGTTCTAAATGATTTTAGACCGTTCTAAATCATTTTGGAGCGTTCTAAATGATTCTGGATCATTCTAAATGGTTCTAAAGCGTATTAGATTGTTCTAGTCACTTCTAAATGATTCTGTCCAACAAATTCTGTCAATTTTCTTATGAAATACTTTTTATTTTGTTTTTATTTTATTTCTTTTGTGAATAATTGAACGATTCTTCGAAAAATTGCGCTAAATAATAGTACTGATAAAATAGCAATTAGAAAGGCAAAATAATGAAAAAAATCGAATTATCTAAAACGTTCTGGACTGTTCAAAATGATTCTAGAGCGTTCTAAATCATTTTGGAGCGTTCTAAATGATTCTGCAACTTTCTAAATGATTCTAGAGCGTTCTAATAAATGATTCTGGATCGTTCTAAATGGTTCTAAAGCGTTTTAGTTTGTTCTAGACAGTTCTAAATGATTCTGGAGCGTTCCAAATCATTTTGGAGCGTTCTAAATGATTCTACAGCTTTCTAAATGATTCTAGAGCGTTCTAATAAATGATTCTGGATCGTTCTAAATGGTTCTAAAGCGTTTTAGATTGTTCTAGACAGTTCAAAATGTTTCTGGAGCGTTCCAAATCATTTCGGTGCGTTCTAAATGGTTCTGCAACTTTCTAAATGATTCTAGAGCGTTCTAATAAATGATTCTGGAACGTTCTAAATGATTTTAGAGCGTTCTAAATCATTTTGGAGCGTTGTAAATGAGTCTAGAGCATTTTAAATGGTCTTACAGAGTTCTAAAAAATTTTGGAGCGTTCTAATAAATGATTCTGGATCATTCTAAATGGTTCTAAAGCGTATTAGATTGTTCTAGTCACTTCTAAATGATTCTGTCCAACAAATTCTGTCCATTTTCTTATGAAATACTTTTTATTTTGTTTTTATTTCATTTCTTTTGTGAATAATTGAACGATTCTTCGAAAATTGCGCTAATTTATTCGATTACCAAACGTCAAAAAACAGCGAAAAAAAAACGCAATTAGAAAGGCAAAATAATGAGAAAAAAATTGAGTACTAAAACATTTCAATCGAATTATCTAAAGCTTTCTGGACTGTAATAGACAGTTCTAAATGATTCTAGAGCGTTCTTATTAAACGATTCTGAATCGTTCTAAATGGTTCTAAAGCGTTCTAGATTGTTCTAGTCACTTCTAAATGATTCTGTCCAACAAATTCTGTCCATTTTCTTATTAAATATTTCTCATTTTATTTTTATTTTTTTTGTGAATAATTGAGCGATTCTTCGAAAATATCGAGCTAAATAATCGCTCCTATTCGATTACCAAACGTTGAAAAACAGCGACAAAAAAAAGGCAATTAGAAAGGCAAAATAATGAAAAAAAATTTTCGCGTGATAACGCACGATGTAGTCAATGCAAATTACTAAAACATTTCAATCGAATTATAAACCGGGGCTGAAACGAAACGAATGTTCGACCGAAAACAAAACGAAAATCTAATAAAAAAAAAAAAAAAAAAGCGAATTACAAAACGAACAGAATGGGGCTAATAAAGCGCAAATCGGCAAACGAAAACTGCAATTATACAACAATACAATACAATAGATCGTCCACAGGTCACCCGGTAATGCAGTTAAATAATATTTAATAATTGCGAACGATATAAAAGCGGATTATTTCGCATGGACTGTCACTGTGTTTTATATATTTCGAATAACCGGGCTGGATGTGGTTTGGAAAACAATACAATGAATGAATGAATGAAAGACCTCTCTCTCTCCGAAATAGAGGAAAAAACCGACGAAATAAAATATTTTATTTTCGCGTTTTTCCCCCCGTTTAAAAACATTACGGGAATGACTGAAATTTAATTAATTTTTTTTCTACTGACACAACCGCAAAAATGTAATTTTTGAAATGTCTCGAAATAATTCGATTTTTCTTCATTATCAAATTGACAAGTTTGTTTTATCGAGCAACCCTGGACTTGATGATTATATGCTTGTACATACAGATTGTCCCAGCACTTTTCGACGTTCTAAAAATTCTTAAAAAAAAAATCTCCAACCAATCAACTAATCGATTAATCGCGCATTCGACTTCGTTATTAAAAGTATTGTAGCAAATAAGATAAAATACGATAGTTTAGTGTAGTTTCTTTTAGCATTCCGAACAGCTTTGGAGCAGCGTTCGAACAGTTTCGGTGTACAAATGGCAAACTGCCGGACTTTGTCGTTGAGAAACCTCAACAATTTCCAGTATCAGAGGGGGTGTTTCGGACAAATCCGGTGCAGATGTTGCATGTTTTATTACTATTAGTAGTAAACTAAAGCGTTAACTTTAAGCGATTTGTCATTGCGACTTTTTCCCAGAGTGAGATATTTCGATTAATTAATCGGTGGGGGAAACCCGGGAGGAGATCTACTGCTTGTTTAATGGGCGATTAATTGGAACAATTCGTTACAAACAGTTAGGATAGTATATGGTAAAATTCGAAGTAATTATTCGTTAATATAATAAGACTGGATTTGGGTGATTGATTCAGAGTAGAATCAGAGTAAATTCAGTGTATAAATTCAGAGTAGAACCAGAGTGGATTCAAAATACGTTCAGAGTATAGAATCGGAGTAGAATTAGAGTAAATTAAGAGTAAATTCAGTGTAATTCCGGAGTTATAAGTAGATTCAGAGTAGAATCAGAGTAGATTCAGAGTAAATTCAGTGTAATTCCGGAGTTATAAGTAGATTCAGAGTAGAATCAGAGTAGATTAAGAGTAAATTCAGTGTATAAATTCAGAGTAGAACCAGAGTGGATTCAAAATACGTTCAGAGTATAGAATAGGAGTGGAATTAGAGTAGATTAAGAGTAAATTCAGTGTAATTCCGGAGTTATAAGTAGATTCAGAGTAGAATCAGAGTAGATTCAGAGTAAATTCAGTGTATAAATTCAGAGTAGAACCAGAGTGGATTCAAAATACGTTCAGAGTATAGAATCGGAGTAGAATTAGAGTAGATTAAGAGTAAATTCAGTGTAATTCCGGAGTTATAAGTAGATTCAGAGTAAATTCAGTGTATAAATTCAGAGTAGAACCAGAGTGGATTCAAAATACGTTCAGGGTATATAATCGGAGTAGAATTAGAGTAAATTCAGTATAAATTCAAACCAAAAATTGAACAAACCATCACAAAAACAAACTCTCAAAAACTATCAACCACGCCGGAGAGACATTTCCAAAAACAAATAGAGAATATTTCCATATCCACCACGAATATAATTCCATAATCTTCAACGGGGAGCAGTAGAAGACTTTGATTAGAATCATCTCTTTCGTTAACTTGATAATGCAAAGATATGCATAGCGAGTTCTTCGAGCTCGAACGAACTGCACCGTATAAAACGCAACAAGCTGGTTGTAAAAGGATATATTATATTATACAGTCGAGGTAACAGCCCTCAGAAGTCCTATATACACCTCTATATATACTCGGAATATGTCTCAGAATATCTACACACACCAAGGAATCAGATTGTATAAGATACAGCGCGTTTTAAAATTAGACATAAGAGAATGGTTTATTTATTATAGGGACATTCTGTATGTATAAAATATTGTCCTGAGTACTTCCGAATGCTAAAGGAGTAACATCGCAAGCGCACTTAAAATTTGAGTGTAAGATTTCTGCTACAGAATGAGTTTTTTCTGGTCCTGTTTTAGAGCAATTCAGGCGCTTCTTTTCTTTTCCAAAAATGCAAAATACTATTACAACATAATTGTATTATTATAGGGACACTCTGTATGTATAAAATAGTATCCTGAGTAATCCTGAATGCACTTCAAATTTGAGTGTAAGATTTCTGATACAGAATGAGTTCTTTCTGGTCCTGTTTTAGAGCAATTCAGGCGCTTCTCTTCTTTTCCAGAAATGCAAAATACGATTACAACATAATAACAGAGTGTGCTGTGCCAACTGAAAGATACGAGAAAATGACAGAGGTGGCCTGTTTTATGCGAATGCCACAGTCACATCGGGAGATATAATTTAAACTATACCAGCACAATAGAGGAAGCGATTGTTTGTGGGGGAAACAACGATGATATTTTCACCTGATTGTCGTTTAGTTCTAATAACGGCCGTATACAGTTGCAGCGCCGCGCACAGATTTAATTTGTACCAACATAAATTTAACAATCAAGTAAACAATGGCCGGTTTATCGCGATGTTCAGATTTCGGTGAGGGAGTTTACGGGCGGGCATTTAGGTGGAAATCGAGCCTCGTAAACTGATATATATATATACACGTATTATGGAAGAGAGGCTTTGTTCCATTCGGGGTATTATATTAGTTATATCTGTATTTCGACGGATTTAATGGCCGCACAATGTCCACTCGTTTTATCGCGGATTCAATGAGACACTGCAATTGTTACTGTTTCTATTATGCCGATCGATTAATCGAAATTTAAAATCGTTTAAAAGTTTTTTATTGCCTTCATACAGACAGATTTGACATTGGTTGCTATGGTGTAACTAAGGAGATTGTTTCAATTTGACAGATTTACATTGTTGTTATGGAGTAACTAAGGACGCATTATTTAAATTGACAGATTTACATTGGTTGTTATGGAGTAACTAAGGAGATTGTTTCGAATTACGGTCGTGTATTATAAGGTCTAGAAACTAAGGATATTGTACAGCATTAACAAATGATTGGTTGATTTGATGAGAAAGAAAAGGATGAAGCACAAAAACACACTACTAGACAGAAATAGAGAAAAACCAGATAAAAACAACGAAGCAAAATAAGAAGATGAATGAAGCAAAAAAAAACCTCCTCCATAAACCCAGTTAACTACCTACTAGATAAAAATTAAATTAATTCTACCATACACTAACCTGTGATTACACTGTTGACAAGCGAAGCATTCCAGATGATAGACATTATTCCTGGCTCTCATCACCATTTCGAAAGCTGGAATAACCTTCGAACAAGCAGCGCAATATCCGGTATTCCCGAAGAGCCTCAGATAATCCCGTTTGCAGAGGATCAAATTGGCCTTGGTGTATAAAGTGGAGCCGACTTCGCCTAATCTGCAATCGCAGCAGCCGCATTTGAGGCAGTCCTCGTGCCAGAAGAGGTCCAGGGCTTTGAGCAGGAATCGCTCGGTGATGGGTTTGAGACAGCCGGCGCAATCTTGGGGGTTGTGGCCTTGGGGGGTGGACTTGGAGGCCTCGGTTTTCGATATGTCCATGGTCATTGTGGGGCGGTGTTTCGTCTGCAAAAAAATGGGTTTTTTTGAGGTATCTGGCTGGTCGTGGTGGGTTGGAAAAATGGTGTTTTTGAAGCTTCGATATTGAGCTAAATAAATCTTCTTTTGAAGCATTGAAAATGGACTGAATAAATCTTTATAATGTACTGAAAAAATCTTCTTTTGAAGCTTCGATATTGAGCTAAATAAATCTTTTTTTGAAGCTTTGTAAATGGACTGAAAAAATCTTGTTTTGAAGCTTCGATATTGAGCTAAATAAATCTTTTTTTGAAGCATTGAAAATGGACTGAATAAATCTTTATAATGTACTGAAAAAATCTTCTTTTGAAGCTTTGATATTGAGCTAAATAAATCTTCTTTTGAAGCTTTGTAAATGGACTGAAAAAATCTTCTTTTGAAGCTTTGATATTGAGCTAAATAAATCTTCTTTTGAAGCTTTGTAAATGGACTGAAAAAATCTTGTTTTGAAGCTCTAATAATGAGCTGAATAAATCTTCTTTTGAAGCTTTGATATTGAGCTAAATAAATCTTCTTTTGAAGCTTTGTAAATGGACTGAAAAAATCTTGTTTTGAAGCTCTAATAATGAGCTGAATAAATCTTCTTTTGAAGCTTTGATATTGAGCTAAATAAATCTTCTTTTGAAGCTTTGATATTGGGCTTTTCTTAGTGGCTTGGGACATCTTATAAATAGAGAAATGGACTAGCAAGTTGTACCTATTATTGAAATAATAAATACAATGGGATGAAGAAAGAGACAAAGAGAAATGAATCGTTATCAATTTTGATTAAAGGTCATTGGAAGGAATCTTTTTTCTCGACCGGCAGCTAAGCGGCCATTTACACCTTTCTCTCTACATTTATCATCGTTTTCTCGAAAATCTACCGAATAAAATACCGGAAAAAATAACGCCAGTATTAGGGGATTCACGCTATCAATAATACGTTATTTCCTGTTGTTTTCCCCCATGACAAAAAAAAAAAGAAGAGAAATGTATTTAATCCAAATTAGAAGAATATTCTTTGGGTGTTTTCAAGTAAAAAATGAAAAGAAAACTGTTTCAATATAAAATTTTCTCGTACAAAAAAAATGCCAATACATTTTCCGATTCAAAACACACTCGATTCCCTTAAAAAAATCTACAAGAAACAAACAATTGATTCACACAAAATCAATTTCACGCTCATCTAGTCGCCCGCGAAACTCTGACCGGCGTCGCGACGCTTCTACCCGTCCCGCTCCCATCCGTCACTTAGTCCATTCTCTTCTCGCTTCTCCTCCATCTCCTTCCGCTTATTTACTTTCAGATTAGACTCGCTCAATTTATCATCTCATTACCGATTTACGAGGGGACTGAAAAAATATCGACTAATCCACCGGACTATACGCGAAATTATAGTACGGTGGATTGGGGATTTGTTCGTTTATCATCTCATTAGGGATTTACCAAAAAAAAAGTCGACTAATCCGCCGGACTATACGGGGAATTATAGTACGGCGGATTGGGGATTTGTTTCCAATTTTTTGTATCGAAGCGATTAAAAAGAAAAAAAAAAGGTAGTTTTCTAAACGAAGCGCGATAATAAAGAAACACTATTAAAAAAAATTAAATTTCCGAGCACGTATACGGGGAAAGTCTTTAAACGAAAAAACTTTCCGCTTGATTAGGAGCGTTAAATTAGCACCGACGCGAACTTAATTAAATTTCATATAACGAACTAAAACCGGAGGCGACAGGGAGGAGGAAATGCCCAACAAAAATAATTAAAAACCCGAGCGACAATCTTAATTAACTGGAGGTTTTATCGCGCGAATTATCGGGGAGCCCCCCCTGAAAAGACTATACTCTTCGCAGATATCTTGATGTACCTCTTATATACCTAACTCGTTCTGTTTTTATCGAAATCTCTTTTGTACTTGCTTTACTTTACTTTACTTTCTTCTCGCGATGCTGCTGATAAGTTTTTATTTTCTCGAGGTCCCTCGTAATTGGATAATTAACGCTTCGTATTCGAGCGAATTTGTTTATTTAGCTTTTATATATATACAGGGCGTTTCGTATATATTTAATCGTAAGAAACAATTCTGGATAGGTTCCATTTATAGGTTCCAACAAAAGAAAGATAGCGATATATAATCTGTCAAATGATTATCGAATCTGTCATTTGTCATAATTTCGCACTTTATTTCTTTATGAAATATTTTTTATAAGGTAAATTTTTAACAGAAAGTAAATTGGCTGGTAGTTTAATTATTTCATGTATGAAAGAAAGTTTTTTTTTTTGTTCGGAAACGATCGTTTTAATTAAGACAATGCCCCAGCAATCGATGGAAGTTTAACAAAAACAATTTAATTAGCCGTAAAATAAACAGAAAATTAACCTTTGGCTATCAAGCGAAATCATAATGAAGTTTAAACGAAGGTGGAAGAGAGAAAGGACGAGCGAAAAAAGAAAAGCCAGTAAGGGAATTTTTAATTTTTAAGGTAGTAAAACGAAATAGGTAGTAATTTTAATTAAAAAGTTGGGAAAAGTACCTTTTGTTTTAAGTATCAGAAGAAGCAAATAAAGTTAAGGGGTAGAGAGAGAGACGTTTTGTTCGCGTAATTAGAAGGAAATTAAACCGGTCCCGATTGGTCATCTCGTCTCGGAAAATCTCGGAAAGGAATTTATACACTTTTACCCGGAAAATATACTAAATTTTACCTGTGAAAATTCTTAATACAAATCCGAATTTTCAACGTAAATCGACACCGATGTTTTGTGTATCTAATAATTATATTCCCGAGCACTTTAGCTCGTTAATTGCATTTGCATCAGTCAGAAGAAGGGGGCCCGGAGGCGGCACGTCGTCGATGTTTAAGGTACAAAACAGCCGCCCCCATGAATTATTCACCGTCTCCCGACGACTTACTTAATTCGATATTGATAATTCCCGACAAAATCGATTAGCAGAGGGTGCGAAAAATGCCAAATTCCGCCCTGATGATGGGACTCAATTGAGTCGAAACGTTGATTTTATTGTTCGAGAAGATGTAAACAATCGATGAGTCGATAAATGACACTTTCAAGTTTATTATTACGTTCTATAATCGAGCGTTTTTGGAACTTTTAAGCCGGATTTGAAGGTCTCTAACAAGTACCAAATTTCGCGTTGATGATGGGACTCGATTGAGTCGAAACGTTGATTTTATTGTTCGAGAAGATGTAAACAATCAATGAGTCGATTAATGACTCTTTCAAGTTTATTATTACGTTCTATAATCGAGCGTTTTTGGAACTTTTAAGCCGGATTTGAAGGTCTCTAACAAGTACCAAATTTCGCGATGATGATGGGACTCGATTGAGTCGAAACGTTGATTTTATTATTCGAGAAGGTGTAAACAATCAATGAGTCGATAAATGACACTTTCAAGTTTATTATTACGTTCTATAATCGAGCGTTTTTGGAACTTTTAAGGTCTCTAACAAGTACCAAATTTCGCCCTGATGATGGGACTCAATTGAGTCGAAACGTTGATTTTATTATTCGAGAAGATGTAAACAATCGATGAGTCGATAAATGACACTTTCAAGTTTATTATTACGTTCTATAATCGAGCGTTTTTGGAACTTTTAAGCCGGATTTGAAGGTCTGTAACAAGTACCAAATTTCGCGTTGATGATGGGACTCAATTGAGTCGAAACGTTGATTTTATTATTCGAAAAGATGTAAACAATCGATGAGTCGATTAATGACTCTTTCAAGTTTATTATTACGTTCTATAATCGAGCGTTTTTGGAACTTTTAAGCCGGATTTGAAGGTCTGTAACAAGTACCAAATTTCGCGTTGATGATGGGACTCAATTGAGTCGAAACGTTGATTTTATTATTCGAAAAGATGTAAACAATCGATGAGTCGATTAATGACTCTTTCAAGTTTATTATTACGTTCTATAATCGAGCGTTTTTGGAACTTTTAAGCCGGATTTGAAGGTCTGTAACAAGTACCAAATTTCGCGTTGATGATGGGACTCAATTGAGTCGAAACGTTGATTTTATTATTCGAGAAGATGTAAACAATCGATGAGTCGATAAATGACACTTTCAAGTTTATTATTACGTTCTATAATCGAGCGTTTTTGGAACTTTTAAGGTCTCTAACAAGTACCAAATTTCGCGTTGATGATGGGACTCAATTGAGTCGAAACGTTGATTTTATTATTCGAGAAGATGTAAACAATCGATGAGTCGATAAATGACACTTTCAAGTTTATTATTACGTCCTATAATCGAGCATTTTTGGAACTTTTAAGCCGGATTTGAAGGTCTGTAACAAGTACCAAATTTCGCCCTGATGATGGGACTCAATTGAGTCGAAACGTTGATTTTATTATTCGAGAAGATGTAAACAATCGATGAGTCGATAAATGACACTTTCAAGTTTATTATTACGTCCTATAATCGAGCGTTTTTGGAACTTTTAAGCCGGATTTGAAGGTCTGTAACAAGTACCAAATTTCGCCCTGATGATGGGACTCAATTGAGTCGAAACGTTTATTTTATTATTCGAGAAGATGTAAACAATCGATGAGTCGATAAATGACACTTTCAAGTTTATTATTACGTCCTATAATCGAGCGTTTTTGGAACTTTTAAGCCGGATTTGAAGGTCTGTAACAAGTACCAAATTTCGCCCTGATGATGGGACTCAATTGAGTCGAAACGTTTATTTTATTATTCGAGAAGATGTAAACAATCGATGAGTCGATAAATGACACTTTCAAGTTTATTATTACGTCCTATAATCGAGCGTTTTTGGAACTTTTAAGCCGGATTTGAAGGTCTGTAACAAGTACCAAATTTCGCCCTGATGATGGGACTCAATTGAGTCGAAACGTTTATTTTATTATTCGAGAAGATGTAAACAATCGATGAGTCGATAAATGACACTTTCAAGTTTATTATTACGTTCTATAATCGAGCGTTTTTGGAACTTTTAAGCCGGATTTGAAGGTCTGTAACAAGTACCAAATTTCGCGTTGATGATGGGACTCAATTGAGTCGAAACGTTGATTTTATTATTCGAAAAGATGTAAACAATCGATGAGTCGATAAATGACACTTTCAAGTTTATTATTACGTTCTATAATCGAGCGTTTTTGGAACTTTTAAGCCGGATTTGAAGGTCTGTAACAAGTACCAAATTTCGCGTTGATGATGGGACTCAATTGAGTCGAAACGTTGATTTTATTATTCGAAAAGATGTAAACAATCGATGAGTCGATAAATGACACTTTCAAGTTTATTATTACGTTCTATAATCGAGCGTTTTTGGAACTTTTAAGCCGGATTTGAAGGTCTGTAACAAGTACCAAATTTCGCGTTGATGATGGGACTCAATTGAGTCGAAACGTTGATTTTATTATTCGAAAAGATGTAAACAATCGATGAGTCGATAAATGACACTTTCAAGTTTATTATTACGTTCTATAATCGAGCGTTTTTGGAACTTTTAAGGTCTCTAACAAGTACCAAATTCCGCCCTGATGATGGGACTCAATTGAGTCGAAACGTTTATTTTATTATTCGAGAAGATGTAAACAATCAATGAGTCGATAAATGACACTTTCAAGTTTATTATTACGTTCTATAATCGAGCGTTTTTGGAACTTTTAAGCCGGATTTGAAGGTCTCTAACAAGTACCAAATTTCACGCTGATGATGGGACTCAATTGAGTCGAAACGTTGATTTTATTATTCGAGAAGATGTAAACAATCGATGAGTCGATTAATGACTCTTTCAAGTTTGTTATTACGTTCTATAATCGAGCGTTTTTGGAACTTTTAAGCCGGATTTGAAGGTCTCTAACAAGTACCAAATTTCGCGCTGATGATGGGACTCAATTGAGTCGAAACGTTGATTTTATTGTTCGAGAAGGTGTAAACAATCAATGAGTCGATAAATGACACTTTCAAGTTTATTATTACTTCCTATAATCGAGCATTTTTGGAACTTTTAAGGTCTCTAACAAGTACCAAATTTCGCGGTGATGATGGGACTCAATTGAGTCGAAACGTTGATTTTATTGTTCGAGAAGATGTAAACAGTCAATGAGTCGATAAATGACACTTTCAAGTTTATTATTACGTCCTATAATCGAGCATTTTTGGACCTTTTAAGTCTCATTAAAAGTCTGGAGTTCTACTCTAAAGAAACCTTCTATAATCTTCCTAATTTTCCAACGCGATAAACCTCAATTCCCCCATTAAAAAAAAAGACGTAAACAACCACTGAATCAGTCACTGACACATCCAACTTTATTATTATGTATATATACCAAGCGATTCGAGAAGTGTAGAGATGTTATCGAGGGGATATAAGAAAGCGTTGTTTCCTTATCGAAACGGCGGGATTATTAAATATTGCTCGGGAAATCGGAAAGATTTTCCGGCGGGCCGGGAAAAACGAGAGGAAAATAACGGATCTCTGCTATCCATCACGAATGCTAAGCGGGCGAAAAGATAACCGGGGGTCCCGCGAATTTAGTTATACAAAACCGACCGGAGATTTATTTTTCCGCGAGAGAACTTTATTTTCCCCGAGAGGTGATTAATGAATTTTTCCGGGGCGTCGGTGCGGAATAATTAATACGTTCTAATTACCGGTGAAATGTCGCTAGAATTGAACGAGTGTCGGGGAGTTTTTTGCGATTCGTGGCAACGCTGTAAAGTATTAAATTGGGCGTTTTTTTGGAGCTGAAATTGGACAAGTTCTGGTGATTTTTTGCGACTCGTGGCAACGCTGTAAAGTATTAAATTGGGCGTTTTTTTGAGATGAAATTGGACAAGTTCTGGTGATTTTTTGCGACTTGTGGCAACGCTGTAAAGTATTAAATTGGGCGTTTTTTTGGAGCTGAAATTGGACAAGTTCTGGTGATTTTTTGCGACTCGTGGCAACGCTGTAAAGTATTAAATTGGGCGTTTTTTTTGGAGCTGAAATTGGACAAGTTGTGGTGATTTTTTGCGACTCGTGGCAACGCTGTAAAGTATTAAATTGGGCGTTTTTTTAGGAGCTGAAATTGGACAAGTTCTGGTGATTTTTTGCGACTCGTGGCAACACTGTAAAGCATCTAAACTTCTCGTGTAATATTTTACGAAATTATCCATCGAGAAACGTAAATAATAACCCTCTGGTTATTGTTTAAACCCGCGGTTAATGGTAAAAAAGTTCCCTTCATTTTGTTTTTCGAGCTGAAATTGGACGAGTTCTGGAGCTTTTTCGGCGCTTCTGGCAACACTGTGAAGTATCTAAATCTCTCAAATAATATTTTAAGAAATTACCAATCGAGAATCGTAAATAATAACCCTCCGGTTATCTTTTTAACCCGATGTTAATGGTAAAAAAGTTCCCTTCATTTTTTTTTTCGAGCTGAAATTGGACGAGTTCTGGAGCTTTTTCGGCGCTTCTGGCAACGCTGTAAAGCATCTAAATCTCTCAAATAATATTTTAAGAAATTACCCATCGAGAATCGTAAATAATAACCCTCCGGTTATCTTTTTAACCCGATGTTAATGGTAAAAAAGATCCCTTCATTTTTTTTTTCGAGCTGAAATTGGACGAGTTCTGGAGCTTTTTCGGCGCTTCTGGCAACGCTGTAAAGCATCTAAATTTCTCGAGCGATATTTTACGAAATTATAACCATCCGGTTATCGTTTTAACGCGAAGTTATTGGTGAAAAAAAGCCCCATCTCGGGCGATTTTCCCTCCAAAAATTAATCAATTTGAGAGTTCCCCGGGTTCTCTGTTTTCTGTTCGAACTTGTTCAAGAAAATTTCCAATTTCGTTAAAAGGGCACTTTGTTACACATCGATTCCTCACACACGCTCATAACGACCCTTTTATTAGATTACTTCATAACTCGAATTAAGATTTAATGCCCGATTATCGGTAATTATTTCGGTAATTTATTCGAAAATCTTACCTACCGATGGCCTGTAACGTCGCAGAGACGAACTATTCCGGCCCGCTCGGTCGCCCGATGTCATTTCCCGATGTCATCTCACGATTTTCCTACGAAATATTCCTGAAATTCAAAGAAAAACCGATCAAACTGTGAAAATAACTGCGAATTACCGAAACGCCCACCTCTAACAACGCCAGCTAGATAGGGACGATTACATTGGAATAGAGGTGGGCGTTGATAAAAATAACTTCACTGTTACATCGAGAGATTACAGTTACCTATTAAATTATTAAAATTCAGCCAGAAATACGTTCGATAAACGATAATTTAATAAAGGAGAATTTTAGGATGAGAGTCCATTAAGAAAATTAATCCAGCAATTACGCCGGTCGAGCGTAATTACTTTTTTAATAAATTATTACACACACACACACACCTTTCGTTTAGTTGAAAATGTATAGTGGAGCTTATGACGTTCTTCTCTTATACAACGAGACATTTTAATTAAATTTCCTCCATTCACTATTATATATGAATATATTCCCCTCTTCGGTAATTAAACAAGACGCACGTCATCCGTTCGGAAAAGGGCCCGGGGAATTTCATAAATTCTCGATCAACACGAGAGACATTCTGTTGCAAAACTTCCACACTAGCGCTTTATAATAAAACGGACGAATTTGGTACTAAATAAATATGTAAAAATGACATACACTGTGTACTGAGTTGAACAAAGAAAGATTATTAAAATGACAGTTGTCAGAGTGAAAAGTTGCAATGACACAAATGTCATTCTTTCTTTTTCCTTTATAAATGTCTAATTGAAGTAGTTGTCTTTGTTCTTGTCTTTGAAGTAGTTGAAATGGTTCTAATTGATTCTGGAGCACTCTAAATTGGTTCCGAAGCGTTCTGAATGGTTCTAAATAGTTCTAATTGATTCTGGAGCATTCTAAATTGCTTCCGAAGCGTTCTGAATGGTTCTAAATAGTTCTAATTGATCCTGGAGCATTCTAAATTGGTTCTGAATGGTTCTAAACAGTTCTAATCGATTCTGGAGCATTCTAAATTGGTTCTGAAGCGTTCTGAATGGTTCTAAACAGTTCTAATTGATCCTGGAGCATTCTAAATTGGTTCTGAATGGTTCTAAACAGTTCTAATCGATTCTGGAGCATTCTAAATTGGTTCTGAAGCGTCTGAATGGTTTTTAAACAGTTCTAATTGATTCTGGAGCATTCTAAATTGCTTCTGAAGCGTTCTGAATGGTTTTAAACGGTTCTAATTGATTCCTGGAGCACTCTAAATTGGTTCCGAAGCGTTCTGAATGGTTTCTAAACAGTTCTAATTGATTCTGGAGCGTTCTAAATTGGTTCTGAAGCGTTCTGAATGGTTTTAAACGGTTCTAATTGATTCTGGAGCATTCTAAATTGCTTCCGAAGCGTTCTGAATGGTTCTAAACAGTTCAAATCGATTCTGGAGCATTCTAAATTGGTTCTGAAGCGTTCTGAATGGTTCTAAACAGTTCTAATTGATCCTGGAGCATTCTAAATTGGTTCTGAATGGTTCTAAACAGTTCTAATTGATTCTGGAGCATTCTAAATTGCTTCCGAAGCGTTCTGAATGGTTCTAAACAGTTCTAATTGATCCTGGAGCATTCTAAATTGGTTCTGAATGGTTCTAAACAGTTCTAATCGATTCTGGAGCATTCTAAATTGGTTCTGAAGCGTTCTGAATGGTTTTAAACGGTTCTAATTGATTCTGGAGCATTCTAAATTGGTTCTGAAGCGTTCTGAATGGTTTTAAACGGTTCTAATTGATTCTGGAGCATTCTAAATTGGTTCCGAAGCGTTCTGAATGGTTCTAAACAGTTCTAATTGATTCTGGAGCATTCTAAATTGGTTCTGAAGCGTTCGAAATGGTTCTAAACGGTTCTAATTGATTCTGGAGCATTCTAAATTGGTTCTGAAGCGTTCTGAATGGTTTTAAACGGTTCTAATTGATTCTGGAGCATTCTAAATTGGTTCTGAAGCGTTCTGAATGGTTCTAAACAGTTCTAATTGATTCTGGAGCATTCTAAATTGGTTCTGAAGCGTTCTGAATGGTTTTAAACGGTTCTAATTGATTCTGGAGCGTTCTAAATTGGTTCTGAAGCGTTCTGAATGGTTCTAAATAGTTCTAATTGATTCTGGAGCATTCTAAATTGCTTCTGAAGCGTTCTGAATGGTTTTAAACGGTTCTAATTGATTCTGGAGCATTCTAAATTGCTTCTGAAGCGTTCTGAATGGTTTTAAACGGTTCTAATTGATTCTGGAGCATTCAAAATTGGTTCTGAAGCGTTCTGAATGGTTTTAAACGGTTCTAATTGATTCTGGAGCATTCTAAATTGGTTCTGAAGCGTTCTGAATGGTTCTAAACGGTTCTAATTGATTCTGGAACATTCTAAATTGGTTCTGAAGCGTTCTGAATGGTTTTAAACGGTTCTAATTGATTCTGGAACATTCTAAATTGCTTCCGAAGCGTTCTGAATGGTTTTAAACAGTTCTAATTGATTCTGGAGCATTCTAAATTGCTTCTGAAGCGTTCTGAATGGTTTTAAACGGTTCTAATTGATGCATATTAAACTGAATAATTGCAATTTGATGTATATTCGAATAATATGTATCATAAGAGAGAAAAAAATCGGGACAATATGTATATAAGAAACGCGTTCGAGATAGAGATGGTCAAGACTGTGTAAACAGATCGAACAATGATGGAGGATATATTGGATGGGAGATACTCGATAGGAAATAGAGGTACCTTTTTCATTCTTTCAAACTTACATAAATAAAGATAATCGTCCTATGTCAATAACGTTTTCCAAAACTTTTATTTAGATAAGAAAATAGAACCGTTTTCAGGGCTCCTATTTGAATTCGTAATTCTTTCCATTACACTATACTATATACATCGGACAATAATACTCGATTGATTGATTGATTTCTTATTCGCCCTTCAACCAAAAATCCTTTATTTATTTATTTATTTATTTACACGTACAAATGACTATGAACGACTATGAATCATTTAGAACTTACCAGAACAATCTAGAACCCATCTAGAACACTCTAGAACGCTCCAGAGTCATTTAGAACTGTCTAGAACGTGTCTGTGTCATTTAAAACGCCCCACAGAATCATTTAGAACAATTTAGAACCATCTAGAACGCTCTAGAATCAATCAGAACTATATCTAGAACCATTTGAAACGCTCCAGAATCATTTAGAACTGTCTACAACCACTTATAAAGCTCCAGAATTATTTAGAACTGTCTAGAACCATTTAGAATCATTCTCCATAAAGAATCTACCAGATTAAAACACCGTCCTTTCGGTTCTCAGCTTTATACTCGAGCTCGAGCAGCTCGCGAGACCCCCCCATAAACACTCTAACTTAGAGCTTAGAGCGAATATCTAATCTCGCGTTTACAATAGAGCAAATTCGTCCATTAATTTCGAACAAATCGAGCGTAACAAGTGCACAATGGGGGGAGAATTATCCCGAGCGAAAGGGACATTACAACTTGTACTCCTACAATAATACAGGGTGTTTCGTTTTGGCCGATATTTTATTATACTAATTTCGTTTTGTAAGGGTCTTGAGATACTTTATAAAACACCCTGTAACTCGTTTATAAAAGGCACAACACGCTTACTAGATGATAAGTTTAGTGTGCGACAAAGACGACTTCTATTTAGTCTCGTACAAAAGAAAATGACAGATGTAAATTGCAACTTTCTCACTCTTTCTCTAACCACTTTATGACACCTGTTTCACTCCTATGCACTTTCCTATAAGGTCATTTCAAAATGAAGCACCCTGTATATCTTTGTACGTTAATTGAAATCCCGTGTTTGCGGATGCTTATTAGCAAATTAGCGACGCTTAATTACCGATATGTTTTATTAGTAAACACACGACTAGTCGGCTGTGCATTAGCGCCCTAAACTCGCACCACGGCCTTCTATTTAGTTTTAGAACAAAGCCGTTATATTCTCTTTCTCTCTCGCTCGCTCTTTCTATGTATATTACGCCTCGCTCCCGGTTTAGGTTTTGGAGAGATCCTAATTAATATTACCCTTGCGTTGATTGCGTTATTTACACGAACAACGGCTAATTATTCCCCTTTGATTCGCCAAAATAACGGTTATTTTGTCACTGTCGTTACGACACCTCTACATCGAGTAATCGACGTTCCCACCTCTATTACGAAACGTCAATGTTTGTGTCGATTTTTTTGACAGGTTTTTCGTACCATCGAACGCATCTTAAAGTCGTTTTAAATAGTTTAAAAAAAAAAACGTGCGATTCATTATTGGAAGAATAAGTTGACAGGAAACGAGGGTGGAAACTAATTCGAAACGAACGACGGGAGGGCGACTTTTATTTTTCTCTAAACATCCTAATCATTTTACGAGATATGTATGACAGGTGTTGCGAAATGGAAATATAAATATAAACGAGCGCTTCAATATTTTATTCCCCTTTTCCTGTCCTCTGCATGTAGGAACTGAGTTTTATTGTATACAGGGTGGCTCGTTGAAAACGAAACAGATTTTTTTTTTGTTATTTTCATTAAGAAATTACCTTTCTAACGACACAAATTTAAATTCCCTATTCAATTTTTAATACCAATTTTGAACGCGCCACCCTGTATATAATCGAAAGACGCGTATATTGGAGAAAAATGTACAAGAATTAAGGGTTGTTTTTAATGAAAAAAAAAATAAAAAACCCGTCGCGAGACGGGGATGATTTTTCTAATTTAATTCAATTTAATTTCTCGATGCTCCATTGAAATGCAGATTCGCAAAATGATATTTTTCTAATAACGAACAGTTAACTGTCACAACACCGTCCTCATTTATATCACGATCTTTTTAATTTCGGGGAAATCCCCTCGAATTAAATTTCCCTTTACGCGATATTAAAGGATATAAATCAAGTCGACTTGTCATATCCCCAAAGAAAATGTTTTAGTTTTTTTTCGTACTAAAATAATACTATTTTTCACCGGTAACTTAAAGTTTTTTTCCCAACGACTTTAATTCCCGTTTTTTTTCGAGAACTTTTTGCATTTGCGGGTCCCCCCCGGGTAATTCCCCGATGACTCGTTAACTTTAACGTACGATAAATGCTCCACGTTCGAGACATTTATTTTCGAAAAGTTACTCGCAATGATTTGTGGATTCGATAAATCTAAATCTACTAAAAAAAAATATTAGATAAATCTACTTAATTATACATTAATTTGATACTAAAATAATTTGGGCGCAATTTTAATTACTTATAACTTATAACTTACCGGTTTTTTTTTTGATTATATTATTGCACTAATCACCACGAACATTATATTAAATTATATTATATCACACAAAAAATGGTGGGAAATTATTTCGAAATTTCCAAGGGAATCACACGTGTAGATTTATTTATATATTTTAGTAGGCTTTGGAGCTCGGAAAAATCGCGATCGATTCCGTTGCGATGCGGCCCCGACGAACTGCCTGCACTGAATGAGCTTCGATAGAGCTTTTTGTATGAGAGAGCTTTGAGCTTTATTCGGCTGGTGAGGCGCGCGCCGGGCGCTTTGGGGGACGGTCCGGGAGGAGGCGGGCGCTCTTTTTTTTGGAGATTTTTTTCTTTTTTTTTGAAAGAAATTGGTGGGAATTGTTGTTAGAAATCGCGGGGAGGATTCGCTGGGTTTTGGGGTTGTTTTATTTCGATTTTTGAGATTAAAAAGTTTACGATTTTGTACCTGATTTTTAGCTAAATTTTTCATTAAATATACCCGTTTTTTTTTTCAAAAAAAGGATCGTTTTTTGGATTTATATTGTTTTCTCTATCACCCCTATTTATCCTCCATACTTATACTTGTTTATACCCCATTCTTGGATTAATTTCTTGTTAAAAACCAAGTAAAAAACTCGATATTATTTATGGTTAAATAAACCTTTAATTTGCATTAATTAACCCCTATTTTTTTGAAAAAATAAACCATTTATCACTCCTATTTATCCTCCATACTTTTATACTTGTTTATATCCAATTCTTGGACTAATTTGTTGTTAAAAACCAAGTGAAAATTTCGCTATTCTTTGTGGTTAAATAAACCTTTAATTTGCATTAATTAACCCCTATTTTTTTGAAAAAAACAAACCATTTATCACCCCTTTTTATCCTCCAAACTTTGACTATTCGATCGATTAATTTCTTGTTAAAAATCAAGTAGAAAACTCGCTATATTTTGTACTAAAATAAAACCTTGAAATTCCATTAATTAACCCTTATTATTTTCAAAAAAACAAACCATTTATCACCCCTTTTTATCCTCAAAACTTTGACTATTCGATCGATTAATTTCTTGTTAAAAAACCAAGTAGAAAACTCGCTACATTTTTGCACTAAAATACCTCTTCGATTTCCATTAATTAACCCCAACTTTTTTCGAAAAACCGAACCATTTATTACCCCTATTTATCACCCCTATTTATCCTCCATTGACCGTTCGATTCGAACATTTCTTTCGACAACAAAAGCTTTAATTTTCCACCGTTCCTCGAATCGCATTGTTATCGTTATCGGTCCGGATTAAAAAGTCGCAATTTACCCGCCATATAAAACCGATCAAATACCCCAGAACAATCCCCGGACAATCCTCGAACTCTAATACCTATTACACCTCCCTATTTTTCACCACCAAACGAAATAAAAAATAGTAAAAAAAAAAAAATGAAATAAAATTTCTATCCAGAATATCTAATCTTTTTTTTCCGCTAATCAATCCGAACGGCGTCGCGACGGCCGAAAAATCCCCGGGACACGTGACTTGTCTGTATCAGTAGCCGCAGACGCCACGTGTTTGATATCTCCTCGGTATATCTGCCTTTTATTTATATAGCATACAGCTCATTGTACAATCTAACGGGAATCTAACTTTTATACGACCCCTACTGAGTTTGTATTCGGCGAATTTTACAACAAATCCACTGCGGAATAACCAGAAATTATTCTTCATTCTTCACTCGAGTTTTCTACCACTTATACAGGGCCAAATTAAGCAAAGTATAAGGGCTAGAATTAGGTTTATTCTTTACCTAACTCTGTTATTTGAATAAACAAATCCATTTTAAAACGAACAAATCCAGCTAAAGCTTTGACCTGCCTTGTATTCGTACAGCATACAGCCCACTACAAATATTTTCCTGATCTCATATATTTATCAAAATTCGTCAAGTTTATCAAAACCCTTCTAGAAGCGAATTGTGCTATTCTAAACAATTTAAAACGCTTCAGAACCATTTAGAACGCTCCAGAATCATTTAGAATGCTTCAGAACTATTTAGAACGCTTCAGAACCATTTAGAACGCTCCAGAACCATTTAGAACACTTTAGAATCATTTAGAACGTTCTAGAACCATTTAGAACGATCCAGAATCATTTATTAGAACGCTCCAAAATTAGTTAGAACTGTGTAACACCATTTAGAACGCTTCAGAACCATTTAGAACGCTTCAGAACCATTTAGAACGCTCCAGAACCATTTAGAACGCTTTAGAACCATTTAGAACCAATTAGAACGCAGCAGAATCATTTAGAACGCTCCAAAATTAGTTAGAACTGTGTAACACCATTTAGAACGCTTCAGAACCATTTAGAACGCTTTAGAATCATTTAGAATGCTTCAGAACTATTTAGAACGCTTCAGAACTATTTAGAACGCTTTAGAACCATTTAGAACGCTTTAGAACCATTTAGAACGCTCCAGAACCATTTAGAACACGTTAGAATCATTTAGAACGTTCTAGAACCAATTAGAACGATCCAGAATCATTTATTAGAACGCTCCAAAATTAGTTAGAACTGTGTAACACCATTTAGAACGCTTCAGAACCATTTAGAACGCTTTAGAACCATTTAGAACGCTTTAGAACCATTTAGAACGTTTCAAAACCATTTAAAATGCTTCAGAACCATTTAGAACGCTCCAGAATCATTTAGAATGCTTCAGAACTATTTAGAACGCTTCAGAACTATTTAGAACGCTTTAGAACCATTTAGAACGCTTTAGAACCATTTAGAACGCTCCAGAACCATTTAGAACCATTTAGAATCATTTAGAACGTTCTAGAACCAATTAGAACGATCCAGAATCATTTATTAGAACGCTCCAAAATTAGTTAGAACTGTGTAACACCATTTAGAACGCTTCAGAACCATTTAGAACGCTTCAGAACTATTTAGAACGCTTCAGAACCATTTAGAACGCTTCAGAACTATTTAGAACGCTTCAGAACCATTTAGAACGCTTCAGAACTATTTAGAACGCTCCAGAATCATTTAGAACCGTCTAGAATTATACTATCACAGCATTACGCAAGCATAACGAGTAAATTGGATAGAGAAGATTAATTTTTTTTGCGTATTCTAACCGGTCTTCGAACGATCCAATCCGTTTTAAAAGACCCGAATTAAATCCGGCTTACGCACGGTCAGAGAGGGCGAGATGTCGTGGGAAAAAAAAAAGGGAGAAATCCCCGCCACCCTACTTTATACCGTTATAAATACCCTCTTTTATAAATCTAGCGTGTATAACTTCTCCCGGCCCGGCGCGTTACACGCCAATTTAATTAAATTATATAATAAAAAAAATTATTCACCAACAGGTAAAAGTACAAGGGTGCAAATAAACGTAAATACAACCCCCGTTAGGGGGGCGTTTTGTTTAGAAAAAGGGGTATTAAAGTAGTAATTGTCTTTTGAACTCTCCATCGGGGAGGACCCGGGGAATGCGCCGTCTCTCCGAAGTTTCCATCGACTTTTCCGAGGCGAAAACGAATTTTCCGCATCGCCCGAATTCCCCGAGTAATTCCCCGCGACTTGTTCGAGACTTCAAGACGGTAAATAGGTAAATACCAGGTGATCGGGTATGCTTTGAAGTCCCGAAACTTTACCTTATTATTAAACGCATACTCGCTACTTGTGCGATATATATACTTACGAGGAGAGTTCCTAGCAAGTGTAATCCCCCCCCTCGAAACCCGATAGGTTTGCTTTAAATAGTAGATCCCCCGGTTCCTGCGGGGGAATTTAAGTTTCTATTAGAGGATTAAATGGAGAGGAATCGCGGTCGTTGTGCTACAATAGAACGGTGTAATAAACGGTTGTTAGTGTGATAATAAAGTTGGAAGAGACGCTGATTGATTCAGTGATTGGATGGTAGTTTATTATAGTCGATTCGCTGAAGTTACACCGGCTATTTATTGATCAAGGAATTTACCAGGGAATTGCAAATTTTAGCTTAATTCGAGACGGTCAAATTATAATTTTGAATAAAATCGAAAACTATTTGAATTGTATATACCATTTTTAATTCTACAAAGCCATAAACAAACATAAAAAAACGCTGAATAATACAGACGAAAAAGTACTTATTGTAACCCTCCGGAACCATTTAGAACATCTCAGACACATTTAGAACGTTTCAGAACCATTTAGAATGCTTCAGAACCATTTAGAATGCTTCAGAACTATTTAGAACGCTTCAGAACTATTTAGAACGCTTCAGAACCATTTAGAACGCTTTAGAATCATTTAGAACGTTCGAGAACCAATTAGAACGATCCAGAATCATTTATTAGAACGCTCCAAAATTAGTTAGAACTGTGTAACACCATTTAGAACGCTTCAGAACTATTTAGAACGCTTTAGAACCATTTAGAATCATTTAGAACGTTCTAGAATCAATTAGAACGATCCAGAATCATTTATTAGAACGTTCTAGAATCATTTAGAACGTTCTAGAACCAATTAGAACGATCCAGAATCATTTATTAGAACGCTCCAAAATTAGTTAGAACTGTGTAAGACCATTTAGAACGCTCTAGAATCATTTAGAACGCTCTGGAATCATTTAGAACCTTCCAGAATCATTTATTAGAACACTCTAGCATCATTTAGAAAGTTGCAGAACCATTTAGAAGGCTCCAGGACCATTTAGAACGCTTCAGAACTATTTAGAACACTTTAGAATCATTTAGAACGTTCTAGAACCAATTAGAACGATCCAGAATCATTTATTAGAACGCTCTAGAATCATTTAGAACGCTTCAGAACCATTTAGAACGCTTTAGAACCATTTAGAATCATTTAGAACGTTCTAGAACCAATTAGAACGATCCAGAATCATTTATTAGAACGCTCTAGAATCATTTAGAACGTTCTAGAACCAATTAGAACGATCCAGAATCATTTATTAGAACGCTCCAAAATTAGTTAGAACTGTGTAACACCATTTAGAACGCTCTAGAATCATTTAGAACGCTCTAGAATCATTTAGAACCTTCCAGAATCATTTATTAGAACGCTCTAGCATCATTTAGAAAGTTGCAGAACCATTTAGAATGCTCCAGGACCATTTAGAACACGTTAGAATCATTTAGAACGTTCTAGAACCAATTAGAACGATCCAGAATCATTTATTAGAACGCTCTAGAATCATTTAGAACGCTTCAGAACCATTTAGAACGCTTTAGAATCATTTGGAACGTTCTAGAACCAATTAGAACTTTCCAGTGTATAATCGATTGAATTGGCGGCGATTTCGAATCCTTCGTTATACGCATTATTCCGTAAATTATTTACCCTTCTATTAAATACCGACCCTAAAACCCCAAAACAAGCAGAGAGCTGAGTTTAATATGCAACTCGAAGGTGCCCCACGTAATGAATTTATCATGCCCGGAAATGCCGAAGTTTCGGGACCATCCAGATATATATATATCCAGAGATATTCCGAATTCGAAAATCGCAGTCGGCATAATTTCGATATGATGAATGGTTCGGGGCAGGAGGCTTTGATATTCCGGCGGAGAGAAGGAGAAGGAGAAGGAGAAGAGGTCAATCCCGGGGGCGCCTAATGGGCGTCGCGACGCCGCGCGTCCCGATAGATTACACCGTCGGGAGCGTCGAAAACTTCGACTCGAAACCGTAAGTTTCGCTTCTCCGATTTGCGAATAAAGTATTCCCGGTTGGGCAACAACTAAAAGCGCCGGGGATTCCCCGGCAAGTTTCCAGAGATCCTTCGATGATGGGAAATTTATTACTGGCTTATAAGCTTATAGGCAAACTGGTAAACTCGTTAAGAATCCAGCGGGGGCTCGATCGCTGCTCAAGCTCGACTCTATTCGGCTCTTTTAGAGGGTAAAAAACCGCCATTTTCTCGAAGAAATCGAGTAACCTCGACCTGCCTCGTACTTGTATCGTATACAGCACGCTACGAGTCTCTTTCTGATCGTGTATTCAGCGAGTTTAAGTAATAAAAAACGCCATTTTCTTCATAAACTTTTATTATTAACATAAAAATACATATTTAATCGCTCCCTTCATCATCATCTTCATCACTAGAAGCTTCTTCGGCTTCTTCCAGCCAATCAGCGAACGGTTTCACTCGCTTATACAAATCTCCGGAATTTTCCAGGTTCCTGAACCAATCCAGAATCACCTCTTCGGCTAGATAATCTTTATTGTACATGTGCTGAAGCACCGCTATCACCCATTTCTCTTTTATATTCTCACCGGACGAAACTACATCCTATAAAAAATTCGTTTTATTTATTTATTTATTTATTTCACAGCCGTCTTAGTTACCTCGATGGCTTGTAGGGAATCCAACATGGCGCTCTCGTTACGCAAATAATTCTTCAAAACGGGTGCGAAATAGGATAATAAACGCGATAAATGTGAGAAATATTGCACACCGATTGGTTCTCTTAAAGATATCAACAAAATGGCTCTTACTACGTTGAAATTCACCTAAAAAAATACAATTTTTTATACACTTGTACTCCATTTTTAAAACGTATTATACCTCTTTTAAAGTGACATTATAAGCGTACCGCGACGAATTAATTTCCAAAATCAGATTTTCGCAAACCAAATTGTCATCGAAACCTCTCGTAAGGCTATCGATCACCTCCGTAAAGAATACTAAAAAACATATGCAAAATAATACATTCTAGGTAAATCAGTAAAGTGGCCTCTTACGTTTCGTGTCGTCGGGCACCGGCGATTGCGTGTAGGATAACTCATCTTCGCTTTCGCTGAATCCTTCTTCATCATCATCTTCTTCATCATCACTAACGAATAATCTGTGGGATTTATTCGAATCATCATCTTCTAGTAACTTGTAAGCTTTGTTCGATAACTTCTCGAACGATTCTACCAACACAAATAGCCGTATAATAAGAGTAGATTAAAATGTAACGAATACAAGTACCGTTATCCGGTGTAGAGCTTTGTAAAAGGCCGTTTTCTATACACGTTGATTTCTCCAAAACGGTGTCTTGTCCTAACACGCAACCGGTTAGTGTACAATCGGTTTTTATTATACATCCAGGCCCTATTATGGAGCGTTTTATAATTACATTATCTTCTAATTTTACATCGGAGAACACAAAACTATCTTCTACTATAACATTGTTTCCGATTAATAAATTCAATCCGAGCACCGAGCTGGATAACTTAGCGGTATTAGACACCTTCGAACAAGCTCCGATTACCGTATTATTCTTCAAAATTCTATTCCTAAAACAAACATTTACTAATCGCGTGAAGTTAGTAACGATTCTACTCACTTTTGACGCGGTTGGTTCAAAGGATGGATCCATTTCTGCATCAATTCTTGGCTGAAACACGCGAAAATCAACACTAAAACGCGTTTTTTATTAACTAATTTAAGTACCTGAGTGATCGATAGGTTCCCCACGAAGCTACGGCTCCCCCGAATTGGTTCCCGCGAAGCACATGAGCGTAAATCGTACCTTCTAGTATCTCTTCGTCCATTAATAACCCTCTGATAAGGTCGTCTTTGGTTTGAAAATCGAAATTGTCGCTGAATAAAGGCAGGACCGAGGCCGAGCAAATGGCTATGCGAGTGTCTCGGACGTTGTGCAATATCGACAAGCTCGGGTTCTCCAAGAACATCTCCTAAAAATCGATTATTTAGTGGAGTTAGTTGGGTTTTTAGGGCGTTCGCTAACCAGCGGGAATTCGATTTTTTTCGATCGATTTTTAGTGGATTTATTGTAGAATAAAATTCGATTCTGCGAGTCTGCGGCTAGTACTAAATCCTCCGATCCTCTTCCTCGATGACCCACTCCGGATTCTTGCAGAACGATTGTCATCGTAGCATATTTATCCAGCTTCATGATGTCCCTAGAAATCACTCGATTTTATTTAAAACACCACAAAGTAGCTGCTCGTTTACCGGTGCTTCTCGAGTAAAGTCAACAACGGTACGTTCGATAAAACCCCTGGTTCTAATAGAACGAAATCGGATCGAAGCAACCCTTTAGCATCCAAATCTCGAAGACAATCCCCGAATGATTGACAGGACTCCGATACGATGATATGAACTTTCATCGTTAAACTCCAACCTTCCCCTTTTGCGATGCATTTACTAAAAACCAAGAATATTACTCGAAATTGGAATTCACGAGGGTTTAATGGTGGTACTCGATGTGTTGTTTGATAAGTTCGCTTCGATTCGAACAGAACAAAAAGACCTCTTCGATGCCTCCGAGGGAGAGAAATTCCAACGTGTAGTCGATTAGCGGTTTGTTGAGCATCGATAGGAGCGCCTGGAATGGTTTATTTTGAGTGAAATATTTCGAATATCGTAAGATTAACATACGTGAGGAATGTCGTTCGATATGGGAATGAATTCGTCGGTGAAAGTATCGGCGATCACGACGGATTGCACCACTTTTTCTTTGCTTAGTAAATCGTTCGTTTTATTCATTTTTTGGCGTTGAATAACTCCGAATTGTTCGAAAAGTGAGTTAAAGTTAATAAACAAGTTGACGATGCAAACTAACCCAACTTTTTCTTCGTTTCTTAATACAAAAAAGTGGTCTCGATTGTAGGGTTAGTTGGTGTCGCTCGTAGTCATCGAAATCAACTGTCATTAGAGTCATTTTAAAAGAAGAAGAAAAGTGAGGCAACAAAATGTCGGTTTATTAGAAGTTGTTTGTGAATCGCATGTTGTTTATCGAATTTATTATAAACCGGTGAGGTTGTTTTGTTGGTATAATAACTTTTTCACTTTTATGAATAAGAAAAAGAAGATTCGATAACTGTCATTAGTGTCATTACTGTCAATTTAGAAAAGAAGAAAAGAGCGGCAAGCGGCAAGAGAACAAAATGTCGGGTTATTAGAACTTGTTTGTGTTTGTGTGTGAATCAGACGTTATTTATCGAATTTATCGTAAACTTTCTTCGTATTTAATCTATCGAAAGCTTCTACAAGATGTCTTTGCAAAATACAGGCAAATATAGACCGGAAAAACCGCAACCAACCACCGAAAATCAACAACCTGTTAAACGGTAAGAAACACTTTCTACAACACATTAACACACAATTAATCAATTAATCGATTAATTTAGAGAAGAAAGTTCCGAGTACCGGATACGCCAAGTCTTCGAAAACGAAGCCATCGATCTCAAATATGGCTTCGAGAAAATCAAAGACCAAAACGAACGGACCGGTTTCCTACTCAACATGCACTCGGTAACTTCCCCCTGTAAACCCCCCATCGAATTAGCCCAATAACCGTAACGTTCCAGACCGAAATAATCGACGAGGACAAAAGACTCTGCGCTGCTGTGGATTATTATTTTATGGAAGAAGACGGAACACGATTCAAAGTGTCCTATCCTTTTATGCCTTATTTCTACGTTTTGACCCAGAGGGAGCTCCTCCAGGAAGTCGTGGAGTTCCTATCGAAGAAATACACAGGCACTATCGCTCGAGTGGAAATAATCGTTAAAGAAGATTTAGATCTAGTAAGTATTAAACGAGGAGTTTCGATCGATAATTAATTTGTATTTTCCAGCCGAATCATTTAATGGGATTGAAACGAAAGTACATCAAATTATCCTTCATGAACCAAACCGATTTAATGAAAGTTCGAAAAGATATTCTAAAAGTCGTTCGCAAAAATAAACAGAAAGATTCCAATGATACTTTTTACACGGAAATGCTGACGAGTACTCTAACGAATCATCAGGAATACCAACATTCGAATAAAAACACCGATCAAATGGAAAATATACAAGATATTAGGTATATAATAGTGTTTATACAACTAGTAGTTGAGTAATAATAATTCTTTTTTAGAGAATATGATGTACCCCACCACGTAAGAGTCTCTATAGATCTAAAAATATTCTGCGGTTGTTGGTACAACATAAAATGCAACAAACAAAACGAACCCCCTACGATAACCCACAGAAGGGACATAATCGAACGCCCCGAACCCATCGTACTGGCCTTCGACATCGAAACCACCAAACTACCATTAAAATTCCCCGATGCAGCCACCGATCAAATCATGATGATCTCTTACATGATCGACGGGCAGGGTTATTTAATCACCAATCGGGAGATTGTATCGCAGGATATCGAAGACTTCGAGTACACCCCCAAACCCGAATTCGAAGGACAGTTTACGATATTCAACGAACCAAACGAAATGGCCTTGATCCAGAGGTTCTTCGATCACATATTAGAGATTCGACCGCACGTATTCGTTACCTACAACGGGGACTTCTTCGACTGGCCGTTCGTCGAAGCCCGAGCGGCCTCTTACGACTTGGACATGAAGCGAGAGATCGGATTCTCGAAAGACAAAGACGACGTGTTCTCGTGTCGACCCGCCATGCACATGGACTGTTTCTGTTGGGTCAAACGCGATTCGTATCTACCGGTCGGTTCGCATAACCTCAAAGCCGTAGCGAAAGCTAAACTTCGGTACGATCCGGTCGAATTGGATCCGGAGGAAATGTGCCCGTTGGCTACTTCACAACCGCAGGTTCTCGCGAATTACTCTGTATCAGATGCAGTTGCTACTTATTATTTGTACATGCAATACGTGCATCCGTTTATATTCGCTTTGTGTACGATTATCCCCTGCGAACCGGACGAAGTACTACGAAAAGGCTCCGGTACATTACAACCCACATTTACAAACATCAATTATACATTTACAATACTTTTTAGGTACTCTTTGCGAGTCGTTGTTGATGGTTGAAGCCTTTCAAGCCAACATAATATTCCCGAACAAACAGGAAACGGTGTTGAATAAACTGACAAGTGACGGGCACGTTTTGCAGCAGGAAACCTACGTAGGAGGCCACGTGGAAGCTCTGGAGTCTGGAGTGTTCCGGGCGGATATACCGTGTAGGTTCCGGATCGTTCAGGATGCGGTCGATGGGCTGTTGGAGAAGATATCGAGTACTTTACAACACGCTATAGAAATCGAAGAGGGTGTACCGTTAGAGTGCGTGACGAATTTACAAGAAATTACAGAGGATATTAGAGCTAAATTGTTGGCTTTAAAGGTACTGTGAGTTATATATGTTGAGTAATTGTTAATGGATGTATCGTAGAGTACTCCGATGCGATTGGAACGACCTTTGATATACCATTTAGATGTTGGAGCGATGTACCCGAACATTATCCTAACCAACCGGTTACAACCGTGCTCTATAGTAGACGAAACGGTTTGCGCTTCGTGCGATTTCAATCACCCCGGAGCGATTTGCCAGAGAAATATGTCGTGGATAATGCGCGAGGAATACTGTAAGTACTCGCAATAAACGCATTATTAGTATTAATTCGGTGATTTCGTTAGTACCGGCGTCGAGAAACGAGTACCACAGAATCCAACAGCAACTGGAAACCGAGAAATTCCCGCCGCAATTGCCCGGACAACCGCCGAGGGCCTTTCACCAGCTAACCAGAGAGGAACAGGCCGAGCTGGAGAAGAACCGCTTATCGATTTACTGTAGAAAAGTATATAAAAAAGCGAAATGCGTGCGAACTGAAGAGAGAACCACCACCATTTGCCAGAGGGAGAATTCCTTCTACGTCGATACGGTTAGAGCGTTCCGGGATAGGAGATACGAGTACAAAGGTTTGTCGAAGAAGGCCAAGCAAGCTGTGAGCGAAGCGGTTAGAGGCGGAGACGCCGGGGCGATTAAATCGGCGAAAAATCGGGAGGTTTTGTACGATTCCCTGCAAACCGCTCACAAATGCATCTTGAATTCGTTCTACGGTTACGTGATGAGAAGAGGGTGAGTGTATTGTGTGTTGCCTAGGTTACGGAACTGGTGATGTTACTAGATTTTGGAGAAATTGCTAGATTTTTCGAAAGTCACTAAATCTGGTGGTTTTACTAGATTCTGAGGATATTACTAGATTTTGGGGAAATCACCAGATTTAATGACTTTTTCAAAACCTAGTAATTTCCCTAGAATCAATCAATATCCCCAGATTTTTATCAAAATCACCATGGTTACGTTTCGTTGTATTGTATATTGCCTAACCATCAGGACATATAACAAATAACCAACATAATTGTTCCAGGGCGCGTTGGCACAGCATGGAAATGGCGGGAATCGTCTGTCACACTGGTGCCAACATAATAATGAAAGCCCGCGAAATAATCGAGCAAATCGGGCGACCCTTGGAATTGGACACCGACGGAATTTGGTGCATTTTACCCGCTTCGTTTCCCGAGAATTTCACCGTAATTACTACGTATGACAAGAAAAAATCGTTCAATATATCCTACCCGAACGCCGTGCTCAACGCCATGGTGAAAGAACACTTCACCAACGACCAGTACCACGAATTCGTGCGTCGCGACGCCGGCGTCGAGTACGAGGTGAGAAAGGAGAATTCGATTTTCTTCGAAGTCGACGGACCTTACAAGGCGATGGTTTTACCGGCTAGTAAAGAAGAGGGTAAGAAGTTAAAGAAGAGATATGCAGTATTTAATTTCGATGGTACTTTGGCCGAATTAAAAGGGTATTTTATGAGCGATAAACTGGTTAGGAATTGAGTGTAGATGATGTAAATGATTGTAGGTTCGAAGTGAAACGCCGCGGGGAGCTCCAATTGATCAAAAACTTCCAATCTTCGGTGTTCGAGGCGTTCCTCAAAGGCGACTCGTTGAGCAGTTGTTACGCTTCGGTGGCTCAAATCGCGGATTATTGGCTGGACGTGCTCTATTCGCGCGGCAGGAACCTGCCCGATTCGGAATTGTTCGATCTAATCGCCGAGAACAAGTCGATGTCGAAGAAATTGAGCGAGTACGGCGCGCAGAAGAGCACGAGCATCAGCACGGCTAGACGATTGGCGGAGTTCTTGGGGGATCAGATGGTGAAAGATGCCGGATTGGCGTGTAAATATATCATCGCGAGGAAACCCGACGGGGCGCCGGTTACCGAGAGGTATTTGATGCTGTTTTCTAACCTCGAAAAAGGCCACTAATAAAAAAGTTTCCAGACCTTATAATACACGACCGTAATTCGAAACAATCTCCTTAGTTACTCCATAACAACAATGTAAAACTGTCAAATCACAACCTGTCAAAACTTTTTTAAACAAGATGGCCGACTTTACGAACTTTTCCAACTATTTCTAACTTATTTTATTCTTATTTATTTTAGAGCGATACCTCTGGCGATATTCCAAGCCGAAGAATCGATCCAAAAGCACTACCTGCGCAAATGGCTGCGCGACCCCTCGTTGAACGAAGTAGAAATCCGCGACATACTCGATTGGAGCTACTACATCGAACGCTTGGGCGGTACCATTCAAAAAATCGTCACGATACCCGCCGCTTTGCAGGGAGTACCCAATCCGGTACCGCGCGTGCGCCACCCGGATTGGCTACACAAGAAAATCCTCGAGAAAAACGATACGTTCAAACAGCGGCGCATCAACGACATGTTCTCGGTAGCGGCTACGAAACCGATCGGTGATATCGAAGATACGGCCTCGACCAATACAAATCCAGCTACTGTTCGAATCAAACAAACTGTAGCTGTCGTAACGAAGCGTAAGAGGCAATGTGATACGGAAAATAGATTTTCTGAAGAGGAATTGAATAAAACTTGGAGGGAAGTTTTAGGCAACCCGCCGCCTTTGAGCAACGCTCAGGTTCGTATACTACTCGCTTATATTCGCTTATACTTGCCTACATTCGCGTACTACTCGCTTATACTTGCCTATACTCGCTTATATTCGCTTATACTCGCGTACTACTCGCGTACTACTCGCTTATACTTGCCTATACTCGCGTACTACTCGCTTATATTCGCTTATACTTGCCTATACTCGCGTACTACTCGCTTATACTTGCCTGTACTCGCGTACTACTCGCTTATACTTGCCTATATTCGCGTACTACTCGCTTATACTTGCCTGTACTCGCGTACTACTCGCTTATATTCGCTTATACTTGCCTATACTCGCGTACTACTCGCTTATACTTGCCTGTACTCGCGTACTACTCGCTTATACTTGCCTATATTCGCGTACTACTCGCTTATACTCGCTTATACTTGCCTGTACTCGCTTATACTCGCTTATATTCGCTTATACTTGCCTATACTCGCGTACTACTCGCTTATATTCGCTTATACTTGCATATACTCGCTTATTCTCGCCTATACTCGCACGAATATTGTACAAAATCCGTTTCAGGAGGAACTCGAAGCTTGGATACGCTTCCAAAAAACGAAATGGCTGTTCCAATTGGCTCAGAAACACGACGGGCGTCGGTGTAAAAAGAAGAAATCGAGCGCCGCGACGGCGGTGATGCGTTCCTCGACGCCGGGCACCATGAACGATTTCATACAGAGGGCGCAGAGGGCGTTGGTTACGTCCCCTTGGCATGTTGTACAGATAAATCCTACGGGGGCTCCGGGGGAGTTTAAACTGTGGGCTATGGTGGGTTCGATGGTGTGGGGGAGAGTGCGATTTTGGGGGGTTTTGTATTTTTTTTTGGGTTAATCGGGTCGAAATAAAGCGAAAATGAAGAATACATTTTTTTGATATCTCGCTAGGTTTTCGAGATATCGATGCTTGAAGATGTTACCTAAAGTTTGTTCGAGGTTAGTGCAGTGTCATTTAGAATAGAGTAGTGTAGAGTAGAGTAGATAGACTCTGAATCTTCTCTCTTCTGAATCTACTCTTCACTTCCGAAGAATTTGTTAATAAGAAACAAAAAAAATGTTCAACTTCAAGTACCGATATCTCGAAAACGGAGCGTGGTATCGAAAAAATGTATTCTTCATTTTCGCTTCATTTCGATTCGATTAACCTAAAAAACATTGAATTATTTTATTTACGAGTATTTTTAGGTCGAAAACGAGCTACATTTGGTGAAATTGATCGTACCGAGAATCTTCTACGCGAATCTAAAGTGTCCAAAAGTGGCCGAAGAAGGGGCTTTGTTCAAAAAATGCAACAGGACTCTACCGAGGAGTAAACCGGTGCACCATTTGTACATGTATTCGGTACCCGAAGAAATGTACCAGCGACACGGAAAGTAATATTGATAATTGCTTTATTATTAAGTCGAATTGTTGAGTTATTGGTTTGGTTTTTAGGAGGATATTTCTGGATCAAACCGATCCGAATGTTGAAGGTGTGTTCGAAATGCAGGTGACTCCGCTGTTCAGGGCTCTGTTGCAAATCGGTTGCATTTGTAAGGTAAGTTACTAGATTTTAAAAAAAAGTTACTAAATCCGGTAACATGACTAAGATTCTGGTGACATAACTACAGATAAACCGTCCTATTAAAGGTAACCAGTAGGACATCGAATTTGGACACGTTCGCGTTGGACCAATTGGACAAAGTGAACGTATCGCGTCAGCCGTATTTACCGAGCAACTCGATGAAACGATTGTATTTGTACCATCACAGGCACGTCAGTAAACCCCAGCAAATGTTCGCTTTGTTTTTGACTCCGTTGAAAAAGGCCATCGTGATTGTATTGGACACAGTCCGGACGAATTTGATGCCCAACATGGCGAATTTGTACCAATCGGAACGATCGACCAAGTGAGTTATTTATCCGAAATCTTGGGGATATTACTAAAAGTTTTAGTAACTTTCTATTTCGCTCTTTTAGGCTCGAACAACAATCGGAAGAGGACCAACTCCCGCCCAGAGACGTTACATTCGAAGTAAAAATCGAAACGAGCATCGAGCAAGCTTATAAAACCCTACAGAAATATCTACAATCGTACAAAGACGAGAAAAAAGGCCCGACTTACATCGCCCTACAATGCACTATCGACGTGGGGGAATTGACTCGCAACGTTTCAAATATAACCGATTTTCCTAACGTACGAGTCCACATACAAGACATCGACGAATTATACAACGCGATCGATTGGCAGAAAATGGGCGCCCGGGCGATCGTCAGGCATTATTTGAACAGCGAAAAAGTGTTGGATTTGATGACCGAACAATGCCGGTACTTTCATTTGCCTTTGGGGAACATGCCGGTCGATCCGGCCGTCTTCGCGTCGGATTTGTTCTTCGCCAGGCATTTGGTCAAGCACAATCACGTGTTGTGGTTTTCGAGTACCGATAAACCGGATTTGGGAGGTAGCGAAGAGAGCGACGCGAGGTTGGTATCGATGGTTATTATTCTGGGGATGTTACTAGATTTTTGGGGAAGTCGCTAAATCTGTTTGTTGTCATTCAGACTCCTCGCCGACGGCCAAGAGGCCTCCTCCGAGGTGTGCAACCAGCCCGGCTGGTACTCTTCGGTGTGCGTCGAACTCGACGTCGATTGTCTCGCCATCAACACGCTGCTTCAATCGCATCGCGTCGGCGACGTCGAAGGCGCCAGCCAAGCGATCGCTTTCGACGCCTCGAACGTCACTTCCATCGATCACTTGATATCGGGCCAACAACCATTGACCGGTTACGACGAGTCCGCCCGGTGTTCGGAAGCTTATAAGATACTCAGAACGATGGCGGTGGCTTGGATGAGGGAGATTTCGTTGTACAGGAACGTTTTCGCCGATTTTCAAGTCATACATTTCTACAGGTAAATCGGTTTTTTGGACGGTTAACCGTGTTGGTAGAGGCCTCGTTATATAACGATTACATACTAAAAATGTTGTTTTTTTCGTGTTGAAATCTAGATGGTTGCGATCGCCCAAGGCGTACTTGTACGATCCGGCGTTGTTGCGAACGTTGCAGAATCAAATGAGGAAGCTGTTTCTGCAGTTGGTGGCGGAATTCAAGCGGCTGGGTTGCCGGATTGTGTACGCGAATTTCAATAAAATTATCGTGTGTTCGAAGAAGAGTTCGGTGGAGGAGGCCCTCGCGCACGTGGATTTCGTCGTGACGTCGATCAGGAACAAGGAGTTGTTTCATTCGTTGGATATCACCTACAGGTAACTAGATCTGGTGATCCCCAAGTAAACTATCAAAAACATACGCCTAGTTTCCAGACCTTATACTACACGACCGTAATTCAAACGATCCCCTTAGTTACTCCATAGCAACCAATGTAAAACTGTCAAAACTTAAAAAAAAACATGGCCGAGTTTACGAATTTTTCTTAACCATTTCTATATTTCAATTATTTCTATATTTTTTTTTATTAACAAAAAGGCAATGTTGGGAGAACCTCGTATGGCTGGACACCGCGAATTTCGGCGGAATACAAGGCAAACTACCAACCGAAGAAAACGAAAACAACGCCGACGATATCGAAGAGGATCCCAACGAGGTATTTCATTTAAAAGCGCCGTTGCCACATCTCTCTAAAATTCCCTAAAACTAAAGTAAATATATATTTCTACAGCCCGCTGTTGTGATGAAATGGCACATCGCCGAGATGCTACCGGAACGTGCGAATTGCAGAGACAATTTCCACACCATCATAGCCGGTTTTTTAATAGCCGTATACAACAAATTGAAAGAGAAAAATCGCTCGACCGTTTCCTCTACGACCCTCAGTCAACCATCGTTCGGTTTAGCACAGCACGAAATCGTTTTGAACTACGCCGGGGAATTACTCAGCGGAGATATCAGCCAAACCTTATTTAAGTAAGCTTAAAAACGCTTCAAATTGCATTATTTTTAAGCATTTTGTTGATTATAGAATGACGGAGAGGATACACAATCGTTTAGAACCTCTAACTGACGGTACGAGCGCTGCTTTGGACTTTGTAAAGGCGATTTGCCACGTAATTGCACTCGAACCGGCCCTTAGAGACTCCGTAGACGCTCTAAAAAGCAACCTACTCCGTTTAATAGGTAAATATAATCGAGTAACCGAACTTCTGAATAGTCGAAGGCCAGTTTTACTGACGCTTGTTTGTTTGTGTATCCAGGCGTGGGGGAGTTCTCGGAGAAGGCCCTTTGGAAGGACTCGACGGTTTCGTACGTGGTGCCCCAAGTAATTTGCAAGGCCTGCAATCATTGCAGAGATATCGATTTGGGCAGGGATCGGTACAGATCGGATAGGGCTTGGTTGTGTCCTTTGTGCGATTCCGAGTACGATAACGCCGAGATCGAGTGTATGATGTTGGACGCTGTCGATAAGAAATTGCTGGCGTACAATTTGCAGGATTTGCGCTGCATAAAATGCTCGCAGGTAATCATGGTTGCATAACCATTAGGAGATTGATTAGAATGGATTACATTCAAATATAGTAATTTACCTTTTTGGAAAAAGTATATTTGGTAGACTAGTAAGTAGTAAGCAGACTAGTGTAAATATATCACTATAGACTACTTAAGATTACTAAATATTAATATATACTAGTAAGTAGACTTTTGATGTTTTTGTTTTGTTTTAGATTAAATTCGATAATATCAAGAGGTATTGCAGTTGTTCGGGGGATTTTAAGTGTTTGATAACGAAGGAGGATGTGGTGAAGTTGTTGAGGACTTTTCTGTCTTTGGGAGAGAGATTTAAGATGCCCGCTTTGTTCGAAACTGTTACGCAGATTATGACATTAGTTTGAGTTTTTGAAAATGTTTGTTCTTGTTTTTTTCTTATATAATAAGAGAGGATATTTTTTAATAAAATTTATTAAAGCGAATTTGTATTAGTTGTACCAATGAAAATTGGACTTTTAAACAGAATAATTTTATAAAAAACCCTTAAAAGTGTACAAAACAAAAAGTCAAGTCAAAAGTCAACTGTCAATTGAATTTGAGGTTATGTTTACGATTCGCGAGGAAAACGTGCGCAAAATTTACCAATTTATCGCGTTAAAAACGCATCGGAAGCGACCGATACACCGAAATTACCGTAAAACAACCACATCGTAACGAAAATAACGCAAACTTACCCAAAAAATCCACCGATGGCAGCGCCCCAAAATACAGATCGCAAGGCGCCCAACATACTAGTAACAGGCACACCGGGCGTCGGCAAATCCACTCTATGCTCCAAACTATCCGAATTAACCGGCCTAACGTGGCTGGACATCTCCAAAATAGCCAAAGACCACGATTGCCTCGAAGGCTTCGACGAAACCTACCAATGCTCCTACCTCGACGAGGACAAGCTCCTCGACGGTCTGGAAGACACCATGAGCAAAGGGGGCAACATCGTCGACTATCACAGCAACGAGTTCTTCCCGGAGAGATGGTTCGATGCCGTTTTCGTAGTACGATCGGACAACACCACGTTGTACGATCGATTGACGAGCAGAGGTTATACGGGGAAGAAATTGGAGGATAACGTGCAGTGCGAGATATTCCAGACTATATTGGAGGAGGCGAAGAGTTCCTATAGAGAGGAAATCGTGCACGAGATGTACAGCAGAACGCCCGAGGAATTGGAGGAGAACGTTCGGAATATATGCGGTTGGTTGGAGGGGTGGTTTCGCGACAAAGGCGAATCGAATTAATTTGAAATAAGCGTAATTGTAAGATAATTTTAAGGTCTAATAAATGATAATAATTAGTAGAATTTTCATAAATAATAAAACCGTTCAGAACACTCCGGAATGAATTAGAACTGTCAAGAACCATTTCGAATCGTTCAGTACGCTCCAGAGTCAATTAGAATTGTCTGGCGATTTTTTGTGGTTAATTTGAGGGTGCTTTAGTAGTCATTGATACAAAAACTAACGTAAAAAACCTACTATTTGTTCTTAAAAAAAACCCAATTCACAAATCGTTTAACTTACAAATATCTTCGTATTGAACGCCTTCTATCCGCCTTCCTTTTAACAATCCACAATGTATTTCGATTTCCACGCAAAAATTAGCCTCGTCCACTTTCACCAACACAGCAGTCTCCCCTCGATAGGCCCCGTTAACAACTTTCACCAATTTACCAATAGCCGGTATAACAGTCTCCAAATCGGCCTGATCGATTTTCACCTTTTTACCGCTTTCGAGCAACTTCACCACCCCCACGTATCGATCGATCACCTCCCTAACGACACCCTTTTGCTTGTAGAATTCATCACCTAGAGTTTTAGTGACGATTTTCACTACGATGTTTTCACACAACCAGTAAGGTTTCCGATTATTTTTCTCCTTTTTCAGCTCCTCTTGCTCGCGAATCTCATCGAGTGCAGTTTTCCGGCTCGCTTCCTCTTCTTTCTTCACCTTCTTCGACTCTTTTGCACCGATCGATGCGGGTTTTTTAAACACATTATCAATCGAAGCGGGCAACTTCAATTTCTCAACGTTCAATTTGATGTCCAATTTAATCGGAGCTTCTTCGTTTTCTCTCACCAAATCGGTGTAAACCGGCTCGATCGAAGGACCGGCTTTCTCCAACGCCAACTTCGCCTGCTTCTCCACAAACTCCATGTGCAACTCCTCGTCGTTCTTGTCCATCCTGAGCTTCTTCTTCTTCGTTTCCTCCTTTTGCACCGTCTCCGGGCTGCGGTCTATGTAAGTTATGTACCAACCCTTCTCCGTTTCGTCCACCACGGCCTGCCCCGTTTTCCCCAACCACTTCACGAACCCCGTGAGAGTGACCCATCGGGTACCGTTCATGTGTACGTGGTCTCTGTCGTGAATATACTCCTGGTAGACTCTGTTAGCATTCACCCTCTTCGAACCGAACTGCCTCCGGAGGATCTCCACGTAGCCCTTGGCGAATTGATAGGAGAAATCGTCGATGTAGCGCTTGCTGTTGTCGGCGAACAACAACAACTGCCGCTGGTGGGACTCCGACGTCGTGTGGCACTTGAAACCGTTCTCGTCTCGACACTGTTTCTGGCACATCTGGCAGTACCAGCGCAACTTCTGCAGGCCCTTCGCCTTCATTTTGTTGGCCAGGTACTTGGGGGTACCGACTTCGGCGCGTTTGCCCATTTTCGCGGATTTGTTTCACGCTAATTTACGGAAGTTTTTATTTATTGTTGTTGTAACTTTGAGTGACACATACGAATTAATTATTAGACACTCGCTGTCAATTGTCAATGTCGAATAATATGCAGTGTTGCCATGTTTTCGATGTATCGATTGCGGTTTGCAGTTCAAATCAACTGGCAACGTCGCATTAATGCGAGTGAACAAACGTTTTAGACAAAAAAATCAATAAATTCAATAAGTAGAATTCGAATGGAATGTTGAATTAAAGGATTTTTACTTACAAATGCACTATTTTTCCCATTTTTTCGCCTTTATTTTACACGAATTACTTACGTCAATGTCAAATTATTACTCGTGTACAGTGTTGCCAGTTCCTCTTCTTCTTCTCTGTTACATGGCCTCTTGCGTTGTGTCGCATCCGGCCAGCAATGCCAGTTCCTCAATTTATCAATTACGGTTTCTCGACTGGCAACGTCGCAGTGAGGCAGGTAAACAAACGTTTAGGTATAAAAATCCCTAAATTTAAGGAGGGAAATTCAAATAGAATGTTTAATTAAAGGGTTTTTTTTTTTTTACTTACCAATACCCTATTTTAAGTCTTATCTCCTTCGGTTTCCCAGCGAAGGTCATTTTTTTAAAAAAAATTCACTTTATTGACTACCGACGATTTTATACTTTCTAAAAAGGAAAAAGAAATAAAAAAATGTATCAACTTTATAACGAAAAATAGTTTTCAACGAATATATGCGAAATAAAACAACACTTATGTGAAATTTAAAATCAAGATGTAATATACAGGTCTTAATGATTGAACAATAACAAATCCTAAAATATTCATTCACATATCAAAATATTCATGTATATTATAATGAATAAACATAAAAAAAAACCTATAATAGATGATAAAATAAAAATTTATAGTGCATAAACGCATAAACAATTACCTTACGTATTTTAAACTTTAATAGAATAAACAAGATAGGACATAACAACGTATTATTCAACATTTACTTAATATTTGTAAATTTTTAAATTTTCTTATGAGCACGTAAAAAAACCACAGAGAAGTTTACGAAAAGACGAAGACATTTACATGTATTATTTCAACATAATTCACAATATATTTTACTAAATAAACTCGATATAAAAGAATTGTAATTCGTCCAAAATAATACATGGTGTTTAAAATAAATAAAATTCTTAAATGGCATGATTGTTAAGTCTGTGAAATTGTGAATGTCAATAAATATGTATAATATAAAATCTGAGTATTTAAGTACCATCACAAAAGATTAAAAACTTAAAATACGTTAATTTTCGAGTCTTAAAATAAACCGTAATTAAATTCAGACTTAACGCAAATACTTACATACAATAATTTCTAAAAATTAAATTAATACAATAAATATTTATTAATCTATTTAAGTCTCAAGTCACATCAAACGTGAATTATGAAATTTCGAGAATATGGCGGCCATCTAGAGTGCTGGTACTTGTTAAAATTAAAAAAAAATAATAATAATAAAACCGGAAAAATACTCGTATTTACAAATTTAAAATAAACTTACACCATCGATGTAAATGATATAATAATGGAGTGCTAAAATATAATCTGGCATTTAATTTTAACATTTATTTTTATAGGATACGCGAAAATAAATGAGCGCTATTGCTATCAACATCAAAAAAGAAATTATAGTGAAAAAAAATTCGATTATTTTTCAAACGAGATCCGATCTTTCAACATTCACAATTCAAATTTGTATACTGCAGCGCTTTACACACACACATCGTTTATTTTATAGAGAATTTCATTCTCTAAAATAATAAAATTATAAATTAATGATAAAATAAGTAATTCTATAAGAATTATATTTGTACTCTAAAGAGATATAAACAGCACCCCATGTACAATAGAAAGAACAAGGGCAAGTGATATAGATATTATATCGCGATATGATTGTTACGTCACTTTGAAACGTAAAAGGCATGTTTGAAATATATATATATATATATATATATAATGACGTCATCGCTAAATTATAATGAATGTATTATATGTAGTGTAGTTTTTGAGGAGCTCGAATCACCGAATTCAAACATACCTTAACGCTTTATAATGTATAATTTACTTCCAAGTAGTTATTAATTAATTAATTGATTAATTAATAAGTAAAATTCAAGCACAGGAGGTACATAAGCTACTCTCGTATCGACATTTTGTTTCTGAACGTTACATTACAATTATAATTATATTTTAATACCCGAAAAAAACGATTCCCGGTTCGCTTTTTTTCCGAAATCGAAACGATTACCGATCGATCGAATTTTATGAAATTTATAAAAATTTATTGCGGGAACATCACAATTGATTTTTCTTTTATATTTCGAACAATCAAAGTTCCGATAAATCGATAAATCATCGACGATCGGTAACGATTTCGACTCGAAAAATAATTAAAAAAAATAAAAATAAAATTCGAACCGAAATTCCTCCACACACCAAAAATTTATAAAATAAATCGCAACGCGCCTATTTACACCAAACGTTAAATTATTTATCTTCTTATCGAAATCATTCTCAATGATATGTATACATACAACGTTTTAAAAAAATCTCAGTTTATATATAAACTTAAATTTAATCACTACGTGAATAAAAAGCTTGAAGACCCTGTCAATCACCGATTGACGTGTAGCACAGACTTGTCCCAATATTTCATATTTAATAAATAAAGAGTGCACATAATTATTGTTTAGAGATGAGAGTTAACAAAGGAAATTCACTCTTATTAGAGTACAATTTTTCTGGATAAGATACCTGCCAAATAAGCGTATGAAATTCGGGACAAATCGCGTGTACACGCTCCGGAATTCCACAAAACTTCCGTACATTCGATTTTCAGCCTTGTGTAGCACGTTTTTTTGTTTTGAGCAAGTAGAGGCATTAATATCTAAGACTCGTCTCCGCCACGACACTTTAAACAATTCAATCTTTCACCCTATCTAAAAAAAAAATAAAAAAACGAACAAATCGGTCACTGGAGATCGTCCTCGGATTTGGGAATGTCGAAAATCTCCGCAAACAACGGCGGCAACGTCAACTTCGTCCAATTCATCCTATACCAATCCAAATGGGCCGTGTGCTTCGCCCCTAAACTCCTCAATTCGGGCAGCTTCATCAGCAAACTCGAGAATATCTGCGGCTCGTTCGCGTGGTTCCTACCCACCTGCAAAACCATCCAAATTCAAACCTCTATAGAGTAGAGTAAATCATCTCTAATCCTATTACCTGCACTTTCAGCGCCTCGATCAACTTATCCTGATGGTGTTCTATCGTCTTGACGTCGGTGACTCCAGGTCGATCGGCCGTCAGCAGCACCACCGCCGAAAACAGCCCCACCTCCGTATCGTTCAACGACAACGCGTTGAAACTCGTCGCGAAATGGATCACCGACGACGTGAATTCGTTCTATAAACAACACAACGATTCCTTTCTATAATCAACGGCATCCGATATTCAAACATCCCTCGCTTATAGCGCCCTATCCTGATGCATAGAAAACTCAATATATACACTCGTTAGCATACACTTTTGGGAGAAACCACCAACTTGGAGCTCAACCTAATAGATAGGCAACTCAATATACACTACAATAGAAACTTTACTAACGAATAGGCAACTCAAAATACACTTATTAACATACACTTTTGGAAGAATCCCCGACTTGGAGCTACCTAATAGATATGCAACCCATTATACACTACAATAGAAGCTATACTAACAAATAGACAACCCAAAATACACTCTTTAGCATACATTTTTGGAAGAATCCCCGACTTAGAGCTACCTAATAGATATACAACCACTTATACACTATAATAGAAGGTATACTAACAAATAGGCAAGTCAAAATACATTCTTTAGCACACATTTATGAAAGAATCCCGTACTTGGAGCTACCTAATAGATATACAACCAAATATACACTAATATAGAAGCTATACTAACGAATAGACAACTCAAAATACACTTTTTAACATACACTTTTGGAAGAATCCCCGACTTAGAGCTACCTAATAGATATGCAACCAATTATACACTACAATAGAAGCTATACTAACGAATAGGCAACCAAAAATACACTCTTTAGCATACATTTTTGGAAGAATCCCCGACTTAGAGCTACCTAATAGATAGACAACTTAATATACACTACAATAGAAGCTATACTAACGAATAGGCAACCAAAAATACACTCTTTAGCATACACTTTTGAAAGAATCCCCGACTTGGAGCTACCTAATAGATATGCAACCACTTATACACTACAATAGAAGCTATACTAACGAATAGGCAACTAAAAATACACTCATTATCATACACTTTTGAAAGAATCCCCTACTTGGAGCTCAATCTAATAGATAGACAACCAATTATACACCACAATAGAAGCTATACTAACGAATAGACAACCAATTTTACACTAGAATCGGGTGTTCTAAAGCGTAAAATGCACATTATACTCACATCGTACATGATCTCCATCTGCCTCCGACTCACCGACGTGCCGTCGTCGAACGTCAACGAGGCGTGCGTGGTCAATCGAGCGACGTGGGCGAGCCAAATCTCGAAGAAACCGATCTTGATCAGTATCAACTGATCGTCCTGGCCCAAATCGCAGAAACCCGGCACGCGTTTGGCGAATTCGACGACGCGCTGGACGCTCGGCGTCACGTTGGCGGCGAATCGCTGCCACAAGCGGCGGCGTTCGGTCTCCGTGGATTCGGCCGAGGAGGAGGCGGTTTCGTCGGCGTCCGAGTCGGGGCTGGGAGGCGGCAGGACGACCGGTTGGCGGGAGAGGTTGCGCGTTTGTTCCTCCGTGTACCTAGATGAAACGAGACGGGAATTAGTATTAGTAGTCTAAAATGAGGTGCTATAATGCGATTGTAAAGTGTATTCTGTAAGAATAAAATGAGGTACTATAATGCGATTGTATAGTGTACTCTGTAAGAGGCTTTCGAAGGGATTTTCGAGTATCGAAGTGAACTAATGATCGGTACAAGAACATTATTACCGTTTAGATACATACAATCGTGTACTTAATTGCACAGAAAGATAGTTGTGCTAGTTAGTTTGTTAGATATACTCTAATTTCAAAAATAGTAGGCACTAAATAGAAATTGATTGTGAAGTTTTCGTTATTAGTTCGTTATTAGCCGAATATATTCTATGGTTATTTAGCAGCTTGTATATTATTTAAATAGAAGATGCTTAAATATCTAGAATCACAACCTGACACAATGTTTTCGTTTTAAATCGATATTTCCGAGAATTTAGTGCCTACTATTTTGGAATTTGGAGTATAGTTTCTAGAGTGTCTAAACGAGGTACTATAATGCGACTGTATAGCTTACTCTGTAAAAGGCTTTCGAAGGGATTTTCGAGTATCGAAGTAAACTATCGTGTGCTTTATTGCACAGAAAGATAGTTGTTCTAGTTAGTTGGTTAGATATACTCTAATTCCAAAAATAGTAGGCAACGAGATGAATGAGTATGAGTGTCTAAAATGAGGTACTATAATGTGACTGTAAAGTGTACTCTGTGAGAGGCTTTCGAAGGGATTTTCGAGTATCGAAGCGAACTAATGATCGGTACAAGAACGTTATTACCGTATAGATACATACAATCGTGTACTTTATTGCACAGAAAGATAGTTCTAGTTAGTTTGTTAGATATACTCTAATTCCAAAAATAGTAGGCACTAAATACTCTAGAAATTGATTGTGAATTAGCCGATATTCTATGGCTATTTAGCGGCTTGTAAATTATTTAAATAGAAGATGCTTAGATATGCTTAGACACAATGTTTTCGTTTTAAATCGATAATATTTCCGAGAATTTAGTGCTGCCTACTATTTCGGAATTAGAATCTAGTTTTCTTTGGAGGGATGTTAAATATACAGTGAGTTAAATAAGTGATGTATTTAGGATATAAAAATGGTATACCCGCAATTGGCGTGATGGGCTTGCGATACGCTCAATATGACATCGTAGACGGCCAATTGTTTGGTTTCGACGTCGGATTGATCGGCGTCGGTTGTCGTCACGCGCGACGCCTCGTCGGTACTGCGTTCTCTCGACCGTTTCGGTACTCTACCGTATCGAACGGCTATCCAAAAAAATGAAAAAAAAAAATATATATATATATATAACGATTTTAATCTCTACAAATTACAGCAGAGAAGGGTATAGAGGAACGTAGAAGGAGGTAGGAAGGGTAGAGAGGGATGTAGGATGGTAAAAAGGGGGGTAGAAAGGAGTGGAAAGGGTTCAGGATGAAGAGAAGAAAAGAAGGTGGTTGAAAGGGTAGAATGGGTTAGGGTAGAGGGTAGAAAGAGGTGTAGGATGGTAGGAAGGGGGGTACAAAGTAGTGGGAAGGGTTCAGAGAGGGGAAGAAGGTGGTAGAAAGGGTAGAATGGGTTAGGGTAAAGGGTAGAAAGGGGTGTAGGATGGTAGGAAGGGGGGTACAAAGTAGTGGGAAGGGTTTAGAGAGGGGAAGAAGGTGGTAGAAAGGGTAGAATGGGTTAGGGTATAGAGAGTATAGAGGGTATATACTTACAGTCTCTGGACATTCCAACGGCTAGGCATTTCTTAAATCGACAATATTGACATCTGTTCCGGTTCAATCTGATCACCAGGCATTTGCCGTCGCGCAGGCATCGGTATTCGATTTGTTTTTGGATGCTCCTCCGGAAGAATCCCTGCGTGAATAAAAAAGCGAATTCATTAAATTTATTTATTTGGTATATCGGGCGAGGTATAGCGCGCGAAACGAGAGAGAAAAAAAGTAATAGACGGTTAGTTTCGTATGTAGTTTATTAATGGTGTATAGGAAACGAAACGAGAAAACTAGTTTGTTGTAACTGCTCGAACGAGCAGTCGAGAATACGAAATGGTATAAAGGCATTTTATAAATGGAATCGCCGAGAAGGAAATCGAATCGACAGGCTACTTTCGATGCCGTTACATGTTCAGTGAAATGTTTGTTGTTATTTTATTTATTTAAAAGGATTCTCTTATTTGCTCGTCCTGCGAAAACGAACGCCGACGTTTATTCGGACTATAACGTAGCAGTCGTTCGGCCCGGTGAGTGAGTATGTTTTTGTACTCTAACGTTACGGTAATTCGGCCAGTCGAAAATTGATAATTTTTTTTTATATTCCTACCTTGCATCCTTCGCAAGAAGTCACTCCGTAATGATAACCGGACGCTTTGTCTCCGCACACTTTGCAAGGTACGAATGATTTAGTCGTGCTGGAACTGTTCGAGTCCGCAGCCACATAATGTTGCTCTGAAAAAAAGAAAATTATTAAATTACCAATAGATCAAACGAATCTATTTATCTAGTAGGCTGGTGTTTAAATTGTACCATTGTCAATTTCGTTTTTGACAGGTGTCGAATTATCTAGTAGGCTGATGTTGTGTCAAAATTGCATCGGAATTTTCTATCATTTAAGATAAAGATGCGTTATCGAGTTTTGTTCTAGAATATTACCTACCTCACCTTTCGCGAATTGTAAAAAAGATGAACCGTTTCGTTTAGGAACTTATCGATTCTCGTCTTCGACGAGGAAACTTAACACTCGCTACTTCTAGTTACTAGAAAGTGACTGTAAGTGGAGAATAGAAGAAAATAAAAAAACTCACGACAATCGATCTACGTACGAACGATTCGGAATGCAGTTTGGTTTTATCGCGAGAAGCGCCTTTCGGATAAAAGATTAAATCGTTCGTGTGCCGGATTTTCCGCATTTTATCACATAAAATTACACATTACACACTCGCTTAAACGTCCATTTCACAGACTGTCACAAATGTCAAACTTGTCAAAACGGCCTACTTGATGTACATGTGTACTTTTAAAATCTTCTAATAATTAATCGTCTTTCTACAGCAATTAACGAAACAAAATCTCGACCATTAGCATGACAATTACGTTCCGTTAGGATATTTGCATATTTTCGCATCGGTATTATAGAAGAAGAATTAAAAAAAATCGACTATAATACGTGTGGGAACGATTCCGAAGCTGAAAAACCCGACATTATTATGCCGAAAGCCGATATATTGACAGCGATTAGCGTAACGAACGGTACTTAATTTCCAAGCACGACACGTCTTACATATTCGATAATAGGAGAGTATAAAATACCCGTACGATTCGCGAAAGGTGAGGTAGGTATTCTAGAACGAAAACCCACGATAACATCTCTACTCTATCTTTTACAAATGTTCTAGAAAAGTCCATTGACAGATGCAATTTATTTGACACCAGCCTACTAGATAATTCGACGGCACATCCTGTCAAAAAATAATAAATTGACAAAACGATGCAATTTTGACACCGGCCTACTAGATAATAAAAGATATATTTCCAGTAATTAGTTGTGATTTTTTTTTTATCGAATCGGAAAAACCTCTCTCATCTCTCTTGAGGAGCCGGCAACGTCCATATAATATAAAATATACAACATCTAGGAGTCAACGACTCCTCCGTATCCTTGAAAGAGCGTTTTTCTATTCCGCTCGACTTAATTATATAATGTGATAGAAAATGGCGGACCTCCAGTAAATATCCTCATTTACAAATAATACAATTCGATTACAAATAACCGGGAATTCGCGAAGGTGGATGCAAATGTCGAATTCGAGAGATTTGGTTCTAGTTGAACAATTTCAACGCGAGAGAGCAGAGAAGAAAGCGCCTTAATATGGTTTTCATTAAGATTAAATAGGAAATAATCGCAAAAATAATAGCAAAAAAATTGAAAAGCACAGCTAAAATCTTTAAACAAACAAGGTGGCCCAAAAAAATAACAATCTTACGTACTAAAATCGGTACAATCTCGATCTAAAACGATCGGTTTTCTCCCCGAGCTTCTTATCCTCTCCGAAACAACGTTACGTAAGAGGCCACTCGTCAAAACGCATCGAAACGCGGAGGAATCGAAACCGGGAGTTCTCGTTTTCGGGCAGGCCGAGTTCAACGGCCGATTCGGAATCGAAATATAACGAGGAGAAGAAGAGGAAGAAGAAGATGATGAAGAAGGAGCCGAACGACCATCGTGAAGAACAAAAAACGGCACGAGGAGAGCTCTCCGAGACAAACCAGTTTCTATTATGTACACCCGAAGCGAAGAATCATCATCATCATCATCATAGTATTTATTAATCATCGACGTGTTTAAGGATTAAAATCTACTTGTGGTGTATGCAGTTCAATATGAGAAGAAAAATCGAAACTAAATGTAAATCGGGTGCTAAAGTACTAATTTTTCGAATAAGTGGGACTTTTTAAGATGCGTTCGATGATACACTAACTGTCAAATATAACATTTTAATGACATTTCGAATGACAGATGTTTAATAGAGGTGGGAATCGATTTTTTGGTATAGAGGTGTTACAAAATAACTGTTATTTTCCAAATATCGTCATGATTATTCTAATCCCGTAATGAAATATCAAACAATGGTATCTACTAAAATTTATTTTCTTTATAAACGTAAGAAACGTAATGGAATATTCAAACGAATAATGTATTTTTTTTTTTAATTCCGCAACGTATAAAGCGAAAGATATATAGGAAGAGAAGCTTGTATGGTTAAAGATAAATGCATAAATTGCGGTTACTCTCACGAGAATGCGCGCCTCGTTCGGATAAATTACCGTCCTGCTTCTTCTTCTTCTTCTTCTTCTTTCTAAATCTAATCTAATGGCAACAGGAATTTCAATTTCCTCGTTGCCTTTCGAGAGATAATTTTCGAGTCTCCCTCGTAACATCCACACTACGAATTGTTTTTTTTTTTCTTTTTTGTTAGGACGGAACGAGGAGAGTTGATCGAACCTATATATGCTATTCGGAAAGGTCAAAAACGAATAACACAAGACAATATTCTTACGTAAAACCGTCTGGTAGAAATATGTAATATGTGGCGAGAGGAAAGAAGTCGATTGGAATACCAAATTCTATTCCGATTTATCGATTTATATACGAATTCGAATGTCGAAAAGGTATATAACGAATATACAGGGTGTTCCATAATGACATGCTAATATTTACGGGAATGTAGTGGAAGCGTACAAATGATTGGATTTTTTTTTTTTTAATGCGAAACGATGAGTCGTACGGAAAAAAGTCAAGATAACAAATTTGTTCGAAATTGAATGAGAATTCCGTAAATATTTTTTATTTCAATATTAGTCAGTGGCGTACCATTTTTTTCGTCAAAAATATTTAATGCAAAACCCGTACGGACGCCACTGCTGAAAATAATAAAATTATTTGTATATATCAAAAAATGCATCTCGATTCATAGAAGACGTGTGCCAAATTTCATAAAGATATCTAAAATAGTATCACAGTTATTACAAAAAATTTGATTTGTTTGATGAAGTTTTTTCCTTAAAATAGATCCAGGAATTACCCCCTTAAATATTAGCAAGTCATTTTTGGCAACATCCTGTATATCCTTTCGATCGGATATGGTTTTATTAAAAATCGGTTACATACCGTTTCGCACGGGTACTTTCACTATGCAATTATATTACGAATATGTCGATTTTCACGTTACGAGCACTTCTATTAGATGGATACTTTCTTTTAAATTGTCGATAAAAAAAAAATAAACAAATTGAGCAAACATTCATTTTCCCGGCGTTATTACAAACGATTATCAAATATGACACTTTCAATCATCCACTTTTCTCATCAACATATTCGCCAATAAACGGTAATCATTTAATTATTTATAGAGAAAGTATTATAAATTGTATATAAAAACATTTTATGTGTATACCTATAATGAAAATATACAGGGTGTTTCGTATAAGAACCGACACGTAGGAAAGATCAATTTAGAACAGATTTGTTGAACGTTTCTTTATCCCTTTCGAAATATCCCCAAAATATGGATTATCCAAATGGCAACACTGCTACATTTCCATTATTTCCAAAAACTATATCATAATAATATACAAGGTATATAGAAGTTAGTTTCAAGTTTCTATCCTGATTGAGCATCGAAATCACCATAAGGCGTTGCCAAATTGTCTAAAATTCCCTAAAATATCCGTGGATTTCTCCATTTATTACATCTTCCCTACAATAAACGATATTTTCATCAGGAAGTACAGGTTTCTATCCCAATCGAGCATCGAAATCACCATAATATGTTGCCAAATTGTCCAAATTTCCATAAACATCCATATATTTCTCCATTCATTAAATCTTATTACGCATATAAAACGCATATAAAAGCATATAACCATCTAATATACACCAAATAAGTTTCTATCCCGATTCGAGCACCGAAACCACCGTACGCAACGTTGCCAAATCGTCAAAAAAATCGCGAATCTCCCTCGAAAAAAAAAAACACCTTCCCTTTACCTTGTTTAACAGTGGCGGATAAATATCCATATATTTCTCCATTCATTAAATCTTATTACGCATATAAAACGCATATAAAAGCATATAACCATCTAATATACACCAAATAAGTTTCTATCCCGATTCGAGCACCTAAACCACCTTACGCGACGTTGCCAAATCGTCAAAAAAATCGCGAATCTCCCTCGAAAAAAAAAACACCTTCCCTTTACCTTGTTTAACAGTGGCGGATAAATATCCATTAATTTCTGCATTCATTAAATCTTATTACGCATATAAAATGCATATAAAAGCATATAACCATCTAATATACACCAAATAAGTTTCTATCCCGATTCGAGCACCTAAACCCACCGTACGCAACGTTGCCAAATCGTCAAAAAAATCGCGAAACCCCCTCGAAAAAAAAAACAACCTTCCCTTTACCTTGTTTAACAGTGGCGGATAAATATCCATATATTTCTCCATTCATTAAATCTTATTACGCATATAAAACGCATATAAAAGCATATAACCATCTAATATACACCAAAGTAAATTTCTATCCCGATTCGAGCACCTAAACCCACCGTACGCAACGTTGCCAAATCGTCAAAAAAATCGCGAATCTCCCTCGAAAAAAAAAAAACAACATTCCCTTTACCTTGTTTAACAGTGGCGGATAAATATCCATATATTTCTCCATTCATTAAATCTTATTACGCATATAAAACGCATATAAAAGCATATAACCATCTAATATACACCAAATAAGTTTCTATCCCGATTCGAGCACCTAAACCACCGTACGCAACGTTGCCAAATCGTCCGAAAAATCGCGAATCTCCCTCGAAAAAAAAAAAACCTTCCCTTTACCTTGTTTAACAGTGGCGGATAAATATCCATATAAACTGCTCCACAAAAGTTAAGGAAGTTCGCAAATTTTGCGATTATTTTAAAAATCACATACTTTTTGATAACCAAATTTTCAAATATGCGAAATTAAATGTTTTCTCTCATATCTAATAGTAATTTTTGCTTCTACCTCTACAACTAAATTTGGCAATCAAAAAACCTGCAACTTTTAAATTAATCTCAATATTTGTGAACTTTCTTAACTTTTGTGGAGCAGTATATTTCTCCATTCATTAAATCTTATTACGCAACGTTGCCAAATCGTCAAAAAAATCGCGAATCTCCCTCGAAAAAAAAAAAACAACCACCACCTTCTCGTTACCTTGTTTAACAGTGGCGGAGGCGGCGACCGAACCGGCGGCGGCGCCCGACGTCAACGAAATGTGCAGCGGCGGCGGCGGCGGCGAACCGTCGGTGGTCGAACCGACGGAGCCGGGATCGTCGCTGAAGCCCTGCGTGTCATCGGGGGCGTCGAAAAAGCACAAATTGAATTCGGCCCCCGGCGAGCCGGCCCTGGTCAGGTTGCCCGACAGCGATTGCTCCATTTTGAACACGTCCATTTTGTTTATACTAACTCTCTCTCTCATTCGGTGCCTAATCTGTATAGTGCGTTTGAATTTATTCTACACCACCCGTATTGTATACCTACTTATAGGTGTGATTGTTTTATACCTATGCAACGCCCCTCGTATACATATATCTATAGTAGATTTGGTTTTGGTTACAAAATTCATCATTTTTTTTTTCTTTTTTGTGTATCATTTTATCAGTTACTCGTTCGATTGCAATATATTTCATAATACTCAGAAAAAAAATTGTTAAGTACCCATCGAAATTCCTCCGCGATTATTTGTTATTAAATTTATAAATAAATCATTTTCTCGCCAGTGCATTAACAACGGTAAAAAAATACTTCTTGCGACTCGAGAGTATTAAATGGACAAAAAATAAATTTCACCGATGGATTTTACGATTAAAATTGATTGATTAAAGATTAAAGAAATAAAAAAAAAAACTGAGATAAAGAAAGTGCACATTAAATAAAATTAACTCGCCCTGCAGGTGCAATCGATTCCAAAATCACTTTTTATAGCCTCAACTTTCTTACTTTTAGATAATGGTTCATAATGGTTAATATCAATAAATTAGATATACAGGGTGTTCATAAAAAATTAACCAATCTAATACAATTTTTGAATATCGAAGTAATGATGAATATGTAACAAAAAAAAAAACTACATAGGGCGTTGTAGAGGCGATGTATACAGGGTGACAAATTCAAATTTCGAGTTTTCTAATGCATAATAAATTCAAACACAAAACAAAACTCGAAAAATCCCAGCATCTCCTCTTACTAGAAACCAACTATTACAACAATCCTTGATACAGCACTCCGTATATCACAAATATCCACTCTGTATATATATATTTCTATATATATCACAATTTCACCCTGTATAGGCGCGAGTACCGGGCGACGTCGCGCCGCCACCGAGCGCCCCGACGCGCCTCATTTACGCTCTTTTCTTGTCGCGCTGCGGGTACTGGAAGAGAGGTACTACCCGGCCGGTACTACTCCGGCGGAGCCGCGCGCGCGGCGAGAGTGGGGCCCTGCCCCCCTTTCGGCTCCTCTTCGGCGGGTCGACGAACTTTCGAGCCGAGGTACTTTATAACCGATGGTGATGATGGGACCCGGTACTCTCTTGGATCGGTACTATCGGATGCCGAAAACGGAGGTTTTATTGGAGTAAAGGGTTGCGTGGAAATTTCGACGTTGTTGTGTATACTTGAATTGTAGTACCTATTGGTAGTACTCGGTGGTACTGCACCCGAAAAAAGGGAAGTTTTACTGAATTAAAGGGTGTGAAAATATTCAAAATTTCGACGTTGTTGTGTATACTTGAATCGTAGTACCTACTGGTAGTGGTACTTTAGCCCAAAAAGGAACTAAATGGTGTGAAAATACTAATAATTTCGACATGATTTATTTCATTTCCGGTTAACGATTTATTTTCAAAGAATCATTATAAAGTCCAAAATCGCCTAGTTTAGGTTCTGATAAGAAAAGGATGGCGATAAATTTGTATATTTCATTTCCGGTATGAATCTGTCAATTTTCTTATTTCCTGACGTTTCAAAACTAAACAAAATGGAGTCCAGATAGAATGATAAGGTCCAAAATCGCCCGATTAGGTTCCAATTAAGCGATAGATGTATAAATTCGATTACACACAAATAAAAGCTCTTTCGATTTCTTTTTTTCTATTATACAATTCATCTTTTATAAGCCAGGAATCTTTTTCCCATTACATATATACCGACGTGAATTCGAGTGGGGTTATTTTTATATTCGGTATTCATCAATTGAATAACATACGCACATACATATATTCGAACACTCTTTTGTCATATATCATCCTTTGTATACTCTCTTAAATAGAAGGGTGAATTCGACGAATCAAGGAATTAAATACTACAAAGAAAAAGAGTAGAGTTCCATATACTTTTATAAATCAGCAGAAATGCGAAATACCGAAGAGACGCGGCAACGTCGCATCGCATCCCCTTACACGTGTATTCACGTGCGTGTGTGTGTGTGTGTAGATGCGTATGTGTTATCTCGAGAGAACCGAAAAACCGGTTTTCCGATCCATCCTAAAAGTTCATTCACACCCGTTCCTTTCCTTTCCTTTCCTTTCTTCGTTTGCGGTACTCCGAGCAGCAGCAGCAGCAGCTCATTCGAACGTCCGATTCTTCGATTATCTCCATATCGCAAAAGACACAGCTAGAGTCTCCGAATTAAGTTCTCTGTCGATTCCCGAACCGTCGTGACGTCACGTTATGACGTAGACGCGCTCGCTGTTTGCAGCGCCATCTGGAGTTGTAATTTCGAAGGATTCGCAAGCGCAAACAAAAGAGTTTTTCTCACGATTTGTAATTATAGGTGCGCTATAATAATTATTTCGCTTCCTGGTGTCGGATGCTCGACGAGAGGAATTCTTTAAATGGCGCTTTACGAAAGGCAGGTAGCGACTTAAATACATATATTCTTCGTTCCTCGTTTTAGGGAGTTTAAATCAGGGCTGTCATTACAGTTACTAAAGTTTAAAATGACAAGATTAGATTCTTTTTCATGTTTAAATTCAATTTTTTTTCCGAAATCAGTAACGTAAAGGATTTCAATGACAACACGGCAACGTCGCAACAGGCCGACTCGTGACGTCATAGTCGTTTTAAAACGTACAAACTTTACCTACTGCCGGATTGTCCAGGGCCTACTTACGATGGTTTGCGCGCGTGGCCTAAAATCTCTCGATTATTCAGCCAATTATCCAAAAAATTGGTCGAAAAGAAACTCGATAAAGTCGCTACCGTCCAGTCGATACTCGAAGAGATTCTCTTTTATATATACAATTTATTTTATTTTATTTTCGTGAATGCTCCGGCACTCGGACGAAAAGGTGAACGACCGGCGCGGTTATTCCTCTCTCGGTACTACCTTATACTATATATAGTAGAGGAGTAGTACCGAGTACAGGCCCGAAGGCTCATTCTCTTCGTTTCATAACGAGGATTATACAGGGTGTTAATTAATAAGTGCGACAAACTTCAGGGGGGGGTGATTCTGCATGAAAAAATAATGATATTTTGCTATATAAACATTTGTCACTAAATGCTTCGTTTAAGAGATACGGGGTATAAAAGTTTCTTCTTAAAAAACTGAAGATTTATGTTTTTTTTGCGAGTTTTCTCGCGAAATTTGATATGCATTTCGATTATTTCTCTTACCTGTAACTGATATGGAACCCGGACTGGAAGCTTCCAATGGACTGCCCGGACGCGATCCTGATTCTTGTTTAACGCTAAAAAAAAGCAATTCCCGATATTATTAATAATACACTACGATTGTTGAAGCAATGCAATTTAACACAACCAGCTCCAGGTACTTTTTGAACTCACAGACCTACAGGATCCGGCATTATCGCTCTAAATTGCTCAATATATCGTTGTATAGTGTGAAAATTGTTAACAATATACATTATAGAATATTTTTCTTGCTTATTAGAGCGTTTTTATATGGTGCAATTTATTGAAAAACTACTCATTTCATTTGAACTCAGTCGACGTGTTTAAACAATCACAACAAATTCCGGACGCGGAACGAATCATCGTCATAAAAATCCCTAAATAATTAATGTATCGAATTCACCCAATGCCCCAAATTAACACCCCCTTCGGGGTAACTAGAAATACCACATACAATCGGAGTATAGATATAATTAAGGGAAAAACTACTCAAATACTCCAACGTATTCATCACCAAATCATTTCTTTAACTTTTACTAATCGACACAAGTTCTCGAGAAACAGTACAGACAATTAGTATACTTCAGGGTGTTACAAATCCCGTGGAGTATCCACCAAACCCATCGAATTGCTAGTCACATTTCCCTCATACATCCACGCTCCGATCGTACGCGCTTTCGAGGATACAGAGCCGCAAAATAGAGCGAATAGAGCGAATCGATCAAGCGACAGGACTTCCGCATTTACCTGGCGAACGTCGAATCGGCGGCTCCCGGTGAACAGGGAGTCGAACTGGTCGCCTCCATGGATCGAACACACCGCCCCAAGACATCCTCGAATCACGAACCCCACGACACCATGGCGTTCTACTAATTCTTCTACTACTACTAACAATAATCCTTCTACTTCCACTGGTTCTGCTCGTTTCGCGCCGTTCTAGTAGATGTTTATAGGCGAAGGGATGCGAAAGCACTGTGTTGTAAGGGGACCGGGGTGGATGGGGCGATTCTATTCCGGATCGGGGGGGGCGCAGGCGCCCGAGCGGGGGGTTGATGGGTTTGGGTTACTGCTCCGATTACCTATATCAGTTTCCGGAGCGGATTCGCCGGGGTCGGTTCGATTTCGATGAAGAGGGGCTCGATTGAGGGAGAGGATCGGATCTGCGGAAAGGACGAAACGGAATGATTAGAGGATTATTCGAGGCGCTTCGTTCGGGTTAAATTCGTTTTAATTAATTGATTTTTTTTTCCAACAATTAGAACATAAGTTTTATCTAACTATGTAAATATGCTGCTCGGCAAAAGTTGGGGAAGTTCGCGAATGTCGCGATTAATTTAAATAGTTGCAGGTTTTTTGATCGACAAATTCGGTACGAGTTGTAGAGGTAGGAGCAAAAATTACTATTGATACAATTAATTTCGCATATTTGAAAATTCGGCGATCAAAAAGTCTGTAACTATTAAAATAATCGCAAAATTTGCGAACTTCCTCAACTTTTGTGGAACAGTTTATATGAAAATATCATCTCTGCGCTTCGCTTATTAATACAAATCGAATTAATACAAAATTCCAAAAAAATAACCTCTAGTAGTGTGTAAATATACATATTAAACATATTAAAAAAATTACATACTTTCTTAAAGCGTACTGTTAACAAATACAATTAGGACTCCTAACCAAAGGCATCATCGAAGGCACTTAATAAATATTATTCGATCGTTCGAGACAAATTTTAGCATTACAAAAATATACCAGCATTATTATTAATCCTCAACGAACCATCCTCTCCAATATAGGCAACACCATATCGAACGTAGGCCTCTTACCGGGATCCTCGTTCATGCAAATCTTAATCAACTTAGTCATGTGCGATGATATCCCCGGCTTGATACCGATCCTCAGACCCTCCAAAGCTATCCTCATGCCCACCTCCATGGGGCTCTGATCCGCAAACGGTACTTCTCTAGTGGCCAATTCCCACAACAACACTGCATAGCTCCACATATCCGAGGCCTCCCAGTTTCGATCGTTCACGCGCTTCTGCAACGCCTCGGGCGACATCCAAGCAGGATAATAAATCCTGCCCTTCTCCTGGAAGCTGAACTTCGCATCGGCCATGCTCAGACGAGCCGTCAGATCATCATCGATCATCACGTGCCGGCTGTTGAGGAAGTACTCGGGCGTTGTGCGCTCTAAACTATGCAAAAAAGCCATCCCTCTAGCGATATCTATAGCGAATTTCAACGCTTGCGCTGTATCCACCACGATACCCCCGCTGCCTTCGTGTAGGACGTTATACAGCGAACCTAACGGGAGGTATTGGCTGATTACGATCAAGTGCGGGGGGCTGTTACAGCAACCGATCACCGGCAGAACGTTGGGATGGGAGAATATGCGCAATTTGGGAAACTCCTCGTTGAAATCTCGGCTTATCCTCGACGTGACGTCGCGGATTTTCAATATTTTCGCCACGATATCGTTGTGCTGCCATCTACCGATGTACGTTACACCGCTGTGAGTATCGGATATCTTTCGTTTCATCTCCAGCTCTTTGATGTTGATGCCTTTGTGTCGAGATAAAGTGGCGTCGCGACTCCTAGTTTTTAAACCTAACCAACTTTGGTCTTTGAATTTGATGGTTTTTAGGTCTTGTCCGGCCTCGACGGCGAGGTCGTGCAGCGCCTTGGCTAGATTCCCTCTGCATTTATCCAGAGCCGTTTGACCGTATTTGTTCGCTATAGCGACTTTAGCACCGTGATGGACCAAATCCTCGGCTATGGTATCGTAGCCCCAGAAACAGGCGTAGTGCAACGGGGAGTTGCCGTGTTCGTTGGTGAAATTCACGTCGGCCCTTTGCCTCAACAACTAGAAATAAATACAAGCATTAAATCTACATGTTTATCTCCGATTTCGTGTAATCGTACCATGTTAACGATGTCTCGGTGTCCGTGGGCGGAGGCCACGTGTAAAGGGGTGTCGTCGCCTCTGTTGGTGGCGTTTACTCGGGCGCCTCTGAGTAGGAGCATTTCCACGATTTTGTTGTATCCTTTCATGGATGCCCAGTGGAGTGGGCTGAATCCATGGTCGTCGCTGAAACATAAAATATTACGATAACTCGTATATAATTCTAAAAATATGCGCGAAATGTAGGTCGATCGATTGAGTTAAGTAATTTCGTTGATATTATCCACTCCCACTGTACAGTAGACATTCAACGAGCATCGTCCTTATAAGGACATGTGAAAGGAAACGCGAATTTAAAGGACTATATTAGAGGACTCACCCTTGGTTCATGTCGTGTTCGGGCTCGTCTAGCCATACTCGCACTTGAAGGGCATTACCCTCTTTGCACCACTGGAAAATATCTTCCATTTCTTTCGGGTGGTGAATTCGACTGGGCGTTTCTTTGCGATTGATCTGGATGTACCGTCACGGGCGACTTGGATTTTCGCGTTGTTTGGTGGTAATTGAAAGGACGCGCTTTCAAAACCGCAGAAACTGATAAAAAAACGAACGAAACCGTCGATTAATTGTTGTTATTTTCGTGAAATTATGTCACCTCCATTTCGACTAGCTGCCATTTGTAAAATTACACGTCAATGTCAAATGTGTCAAATTACGCAATTTAAGAAAAAGAAGAAAGTGTAAAACTGGTTGTCTAACAGTAGTAAGTTATTTTCAGTTGTAACACGTTGCCATACCTTTTCATTGGATTGTGTTGAAGTGCGCTTTATAATTGAAAATTTAAATTATTCTTAAAATCGATCGAATTAATGCTAAAATGAATCTACCGCCTACTTCTCCGAACGCGCTACTAGTTTTATACACCCTAAATCTGCCATTTTGATCGATTTATTACCAACTGCAAAAATCTTTTTTCCCTAACAAAGAGGATCAATCGCTACATCCGGCAACGTCGCTCCGGTCAAATTCTCTCCTCCAGTCCTCCATCATTCTTCGAAAAGAAAGAAAACAACAAAACCGGGAGTGTAGCTGTGTAGAGAGTAGAAAGAGTAAATACTATTCGATATATTACGTGATTCGGTTAGCGGTTTTTAGTGTTTAGTTCGAACACGAATACGCACTCGGCGTGTTCGAGTCCTTTTTATCTAAATAACAGATTTGTTGAAGTGTCTTTAAAAGGGTGTATTTCATAAATCCAGTTGGCGTGCATCTGTTGCTATCTTCCTTGATTATTGGCATTCATTATTGTAAGTATAAGACAAGTTTCCTATTGATGTTATTTTTATTGTTGTTGTTTGTTTATGTTTACATTGTAAAGTATTAAGTAATAAGGGTGGGTGAACAATCAAGTGACCTTGAGAAAACATGGGTGAGTCAATTTATAAAAATGGACATGTGCGTTTGTTTTGAATTTTTAATCCAGCTCTTAAATTGATTTTTATGCAAACAATCTTTGTTTTAATTAGTAGTTAATTAGAATTCTCGCTTTTTAATTATACGGGCGTGTATCTAGGAGGCTTGTGTTAAAATAAAAGCTTTTTGTTTGTTTTGTTCAATCACCCTGTATATATTTAAAATGCTATAAAATGGTTGAAATTGTATAAACTCATTGAAGTAATAAAAGCCGCAAAGTAATGGAGATGCATTCAAATGGATTATTTAATTATTATTGCGATTATTTAATATGTTAAAGGAAGCCTGTGTTTGTTTCGTTATGAATTTTTTTAATATAATATAATAATTATTCATCAATAAATTAATGACTGAGTTAATTATTGATAGTTGAAAAAGTAAAACTCGTTATTTAGAACAAACACAAATAAATACTTTCAATTTAATTGGGCCATTAACAGTTAAGTAGATTCGGTAAAGTAAATTCCAAAAAAAAATCCTTAGAAAATTAGATAATTAATTAAATATTTCCCATCGTCTAAAAGGGGTAAGTACTACAAAAAAAAACATAAAACTCATCGTTTCGAATTAATTGGTATACTCAAGGTAATCAAGTTTAAAAAAAAAAACTAGCATTTTGTCTCTACGTTCTAATACTTTGTAGGTGTGCTAATGTATTCAAAATGCAGGCAATTTCCAAAAATAAAACCATTCCTGTATAAAAAAATTATACTCCGTTCGTTCTTCAACTTTATAGAATCTCTTTAACGTAAACAACGTCCTTAGTTACTCCATAACAACCAATGTAAAACTGTCAAAATTGAAAGAATCCATTTAATTGAATATCCATTTAAAAAGCTTTTTAACTTTCAAAAAGTGGCGCTGTAGGCATCTCCTGATCGCGAACGGAGTATAAGTAATTTGGGCATCTCGTTTTATATCATTTGGATTGTTTATTTGGGTAATCTATGTCTCAAGTGTGGATTAAAAATTGTGTACCGGCATTAGCGGGTAAATAAAACATCATAATTCATTCTGGCTCGAAGCGAAGCGAATTTAAATCGGAATTTCGACTAAAAATAAATCGCATACAATCGATATTATACAAGTTTTCGCGAATATATTAGAATTCAATTCATCCTTGAATATTTTATACACGAATTTGCATTATTAAAATTTACTGAATTTAGTACATCGTTTAAAGTTCCCCGATTTTTCAAGAAAAGTGAAACCGTTATCTCTCGTTTGGCTTCTCTTATCTCTTAGTTTGACCTTGACATTGATTAACTCGAAGAAAAAATGATCTTTTAATGATTTATTCGTCCGGGGAATTTTCTAATCCGTCTCCATCGTTTCCTGCCCGAATTCGTGCTGATGACGTGACCCAAATTCTAGCCGAATCTAAAATAAACCGAGTACAGTCCAGAGTAAAAAAATATTTCTCAAGCGAGGCGAGGAAACCAAAATATTTGCCTTCATAAGGAACTATTATTTAATTATTTTTTCTGTTTCAGAAGATGGGAGAATCGTTGAGTAAAACAACGCAGCCAGAAGAGGTAAGCTTTAGAAAAACGAATTGATAAAAATTAAAAAAAAGTTTGTTTTGATAATAAATTTACAAACCAATATGTACTTGTTATTTTATCAGATTGGCCCGCATGATGCATTCGTTGCCCTTTAAATTGTCGATGCACGTGTGTAGAATTTTAATTTTTTTTTAACTACGTGGAATTCCGGTCATCCCCCTGCTTCCCGGTCACGCTTTGGTTATACCGTTACGTCATTAATATTTTTTGAATGAAAACCGACCTTGTGGACATCCTGTCGCTGCATATGGACTCGAAATTATAGCTTTTTTTTTTATATTTCACTACCTGTTATTATATCCAAAGTAAAGGTCACAGTTTAATTTCGTGGATAAATTTTCCTGTACTAACAAATTCCCTGTACTATAAATGTTTATAAGCAACGTGAAGTTAGGCACTTGTCGCACCTATGCCAATAAATGACAGTTACATTGTGGATTTCCTGTTACAACAAATGTATTATATTTATAATATAGTTTTATTTGTGCATTTTCGTATTTTTATTACCCATTCGGTTTAATTGCACTATAAACATTGCATTATAAATGTTTACGAACAACGTGAAGTCAGGCACCTGCCAATAAGTGACATTTATAATTCGAAAATTTCGTTGACAGTTCTACTGTCAAATTTTAATTTAACATGGTTTGCGCGAATTGATTTTATTTTTCACAATGGATAAAGATGAAGATGAAGATAAAGATAAAAATGAAGAGGAGAAAATCGTCGATGTAGAAGATAAAGACGATAAAGAACCGCCGATAATCGCGGAGAAAACGACCAGCGAAACTTCGAAGATTACGGGGGAAATTAAAGAGGAAATAAAAGAGAAAAATTCGAAAATTACAGTGAAAGAGCCGAGCCTGTTGCGCAAAATAATCGGATCGAAATCGCTGGCGCCGTTGAGTTTCGTTAAGGAGACCTCGAAGGAGGAACCGAGCGTAAGTTCGCCTGAAAAAAAAATAATCGATAAAAATAGGGAGAAAACGGCAATTTACTGTACTATTTCTACGCCATAAAGAGGACGTGAGAACTTGAAATATTAAATTTCAAACACGTTACAAAATTATCTATAAATATACCACAAAATGCAATTAATACAACAAACAATGAACCAGTTATTCGCGATTATGTGCTCTATTAAACTTTTTGAATAACATTTTTAGTTGCATCGATATAAAGATTAAAGACAGCGCCCTCTTTTTATCGCTTAAAAAGTCTAACTTAAACAAAGTCCCTAGTTACTCCATAACAACAATGTAAAACTGTCAAAACTGCCAATTTAAACATCGCCCTTAGTTACTCCATAACAACAATGTAAATCTGTCAAATTGCAAGAGATTATTAGCGAATTATTTAAAAAATTACATACTTGTTAGTAGCGCGAAATAAACCCGTTCTTTTTTTAACAACCTGAATAAATCCATCGTAATTTATTTTAGTCAATGATCAAAAAAACTTGGATTCAAAAACCCGCTTTGTATCTAACCCACATCTAACGTTTATTTAGGCTTAATTTTTAATATTTATGGTTTCGCAATGGATTTTTTTTATCGCATGTTATCATACCGATAACGTAGCAATTTATTTATTTTTACCAACCGTGTCGAGTTACATAATTAAAGGCGTACAAAATCGCCATGGGACTGCTAGATGGTGAACTAGACCCAGTAAAACTGCACTCATACATCGCTTAAATTCCCCATTAATTCTAATTCGTCTACATTTCAGTTGGCCGTGTTCAAAAAACTACCGTCCAACACCCTTTTGGACAACATCGAGATACCGGAAAGGCCTGAAAATCGCGTCCCCACCGACCGGAAGTTCCTCATCGTCTTCGCCGTCGTCGTTCTTCTACTGGTGAGTCCCAAAAAAAATTTAAACGATTTTTTTTCTAATTTATTTCGTGCGAATTCGTTTGGCCAGTTTCCATTCCTGATCTACTGCTTGGTGTTGGGCGATTTGTCCCGCTTGAAGGGATACGATCAGTGCGGCAACGTTTGCGGCAAGAAGAACTCCAAATATGACGAGTGGCCTTGTACCGGTCAGGATTACACCGACCTACCGTAAGTGTACAAATCTTCTAAAATAGAATCTCCCAAAACCTTCCCTAATGATTCAAAATCTTCCCTAATCTCCCCAACCTTTCCCTAATCACTCAAAATCTTTCCAAAACCCTCTCTAATCTCCCCCAAACCTTCCCTAATGACTCAATATCTTCCCTAATCACTCAAAATCTTTCCAAAACCCTCTCTAATCTCCCCCAAACCTTCCCTAATGACTCAAAATCTTCCCTAATCTCCCCCAACCTTTCCCTAATCACTCAAAATCTTTCCAAAACCCTCTCTAATCTCCCCCAAACCTTCCCTAATGACTCAATATCTTCCCTAATCACTCAAAATCTTTCCAAAATCTCACCTAATCTCCCCAACCTTTCCCTAATCACTCAAAATCTTTCAAAAACCTTCTCTAATCTCCCCCAAACCTTTCCTAATGACTCAAAATCTTCCCTAATCTCCCCAACCTTTCCCCTATCACTCCCAATCTTTCCAAAACCTTCCCTAATCTCCCCAAAACCTTCCCTAATGACTCAAAATATTCCCATCTATTTGAACAATTTTTCACTTAATTAATTTTTCACCAGCAATTAATCATTTATTTATTTTTAGATATCTGCAAGTTGAAGCGAGATCCGCTCTATCGGAGGACGCTTTTCTATTATCTCAAAGGAAATGCGTGGCTTCGTGCGATTCGAATTAGTAAGTATTTCCCCCCAAAAAGATTCATCTTCTCTTCGTTAAACCGGCCTCTTACTAGATACGCGAACAGCCACTTTAACGAACTCTGTTTTTTCCAGCATAAAGATATTTTCGACGTGCTACCTGCGTCTCGCCGAAAGCAGCAACAGCTGGAACTCGTTCAGAAACGGGAAATCGTCGAGCGACGGCTTTCCCGACGATTTTCCGTCGTTCGATGGATTTTCCCGCTCGAATTACCGCAACAAACGCTCCTCCGATTTGGAGGACTTGGGCGAAGGTCTGTCGGCTTATTTGAACAAGCACGCTTGGAGGATCGTCTTGGCGTGTTTCGTATCTTTAGGTAGACTCTCGGTAGACTCGGGTAGATTGATAGATAATGAATCGATGTGATGAATTTTAGGTGTGGCTATTATAATGCTGGTGCTGTTCAAAACCGCCACCGCGGCCGTCGTTTGGGGTATTTTGGGCGGTGTTTTGCTGTTTGGCGCTATCCTAATCGGTGGACTTTGGTAATTTTAACCCTCTTCTACCCTTTCTCTACCCTCTACTCTATTTTATATGCGTTTTAGGTACGCTTATTTCAACGTAGAGAAGTTCCTATCGGAGTCGTCGAGCGACGTGGAGGCGAGCAAAAAGGGCTTCCTCTTCATGGGCATCTTCTTCACGGTGTTCTGGTTGATCCTCTTGTGCGTCACCGTTTTCATGTACAAGAAAGTCCAATTGGTCATACAGTTGCTCAAAGAGGCCACCAAGGCCTCCTTCGCCATGCCGCTGTTGATTTTCATACCGATTCTCGTAAGTACTTTGCACTATTTAATCTAATAGTACTTGTACTAAAATATTCTTCGGTTTCCAGACGTTCCTGTGTGAGTTGGTGGTGTTGGCTTTGTTGGCTTTCACCAGCGTGTACATCACCACGTCGGGGGTACTAACTGAAATTCTACCGGGTTATTTGTATTACAAAGATAACGTGGCGATGACTATAACGTTCGTGTTCAATGTGATTGTAGCCTTTTGGTCTACGCAATTCATCATCGGTATACAGTACATGGTGATTGCGGGCGCTGTTGCCAAATGGTACTGGTCTAAGTAGGTCTACTGATTTATTGCGAGTGTACATTTTTGGATTTGTTTGTTTGTGTGTTGTAGAAATAAGGAGAATTTGGGCAGTCCGATTGCGGATAGCGCGAGCATCGTGTTCAAATTCCATTTGGGCAGCATCGCTTTCGGGTCTTTGGTGATCACTATAATCGCCATTATCAGGGCGGTGTTGACTTCGTTGACTAAAAACAAGAATTTGAAGGCCGTCGTGGATTTCTGCATCGGTACCCTCGAGTCGTTCCTGAAGTTCCTCACGAAGAACTCCTACATTTTAACCGGTAAATAATGCGAAGTTGTGGAGGTGAAGGATTCTATTGGATTTGTGTTTTGTAGCTATGCACGGGAAACCTTTCTACAAATCGGGCAAAAGGGCGGCGAAAATTATCTTCCAGAACGTGGTGAACATTTCTTCGGTTAATTACGTGGGCGATTTCGTGCTGGGTATGGCCCAATTACTCATCGTGTTGATTTCACTGTTGATTACTGTTGGAATTATGCAGGTAAATGGTTAATTATACTAACATATAACAAGTAATTAACGTATTTTTTTGGAAGGGTGCTGAATCGGATTACTCGTGGATCGTGTACCTCATAGTCTTCTTTGTGTCGCTGTTTATCGCCATTACTTTCTTCGCTACATTCGAGGTAAGTTTATTTTCTATTATTAGAGTAATTCGGGTTAAATTTGTATATTTTTTAGACTACTATCGATACGCTGTTTTTGTGTTTCTGCGAGGACAGTCTGCTTAACGACGGGATGAGCCGACCTTACGCGATGTCTCGAGATTTGATGGAGTTTGTGGAGAATTCGAAGAAGCTCTACGGGGATAAAAAGGAGTAGAGGAGTTGTGGAAATTCGTTGTAAGTTGCGACTTGTATATGTTATGTTACGCGCATTTAAAAATTCTTCGATGTGAAATGTTACTTATTGTAATTTGCGGCCTTTACGTAGACTTAATGTGGTTATATTGGAATGGTGACGATTTTTTGTAGTTGCGATTTCTATATATATATATATTATATATATATTTTTTTTAAAAAATTTTACTTTGTAATGTGAAATATGGCATATTTGGCGTGAAATTTATTTTTTTACGAATCAAAGGAAATGAAACTGGTTGCACTCATACGCTGATTAATGAATTATCTTTAATTAGTGTTTGTACGAACGAGAATTTATCTTCCAATTATCAATCTTCCGCTAATGAGATTATTATTTGTATATCTTATGTTTCATTTCCTTTCAAATGACTATTTACGCTGTTGAAGCGACAAAGAATTATATGTTAAGTTTTTGTATTTCACAAATTTACTAACCAAACTTGTCAATTTACCTCCAAATTGTTCAATTTTGTTGAATATTTTTTCTCAGGTAAATAAAGCTTAAAAACGTATGAATTCGCTGGTTTGTGTAGAGGGATCGTTCGAAGAAAAAGAAATGTAAATTGTGTAAATTTTATAATTAGAACCAAGACAATCGAAACGAATATTTTTAAATAACAATGTGGATGTTTAAAAAATATATAATTAATGCCTAGGCACTGTATCATGAGAAGTGGACACATTAAGTAAATTAGAATGTGCTATTTATGCTTTTAGCGACAATCTTTTAATAAACACTGGTCTACCAAAATAAATAATTGGCCAACGATTAATTTCGAAAATTATTATAGTCAAAATTTTGATCAGTAAATCCTGACTGTTTCTTTGAAATTTAAACAAAAATCGTACAATACTAGTGATGGAAAATGCGATACAATATAATAGACCAGTGCGATCACAGAATTTAATATAATTGTGAAAAATACACTAAGGAAACGATACAAACTATAATAATAATATACCCAACTAACACATTGGTCATATTTTATATGAAAAAAAACTATTTTGTACTCTCAACTGTACAAGTATATTATTTTAACTGTCCAGCAAAACGAATATTTAACAGAAAATTTCCAAACCTATTTTCGAAAAATTATTTTCTAACGGGAAAGAATACCAGGAAAGATAAAGATTATTTATATCACCGTGAACAATCAACGCAACGGAAGACCCGAACAAAAATTTTACTACAAAGATCAAAAAATCTCTATCTTTCGATTTCGAAAATAAACAAGATTACGATACGTTATTTTTAAGTTTAAAATTCTGGTTATAATTTTACAGGCACGATAAAGTAACTAATTACGCTACGTTGCAAGGGAAATGGATTTATATCACAATTATTCGACAAATGGATTTATTTCTTCGCCTTTAAGCAACATCCATTTTCATTTCATTCAACTACGTTAGGTGTTTTCCAGAAACGTTTTTTTTTTAGGAACAACTTCAATTTACAATGTACAATTCGGAAGTAACTTTTTCTCTCGTATCAAATTCACTTATTTAAGTACGAATTGTTTTCCGGCTATTTCTAGATATAGGTGAGCATGTAAAAAAAATTTAGAGTACAACGAAACAAAATTAAGCGCTAGTACGATGAAATAATGCGATTATTTGGATGATTTACGAAACTACATAACGAGATAAGAGCGGCGCAAATACTGGGCGTTTCGAGAACAAATCGAACACTGATGGAGTTTAAGTAAACATTTTTTTTTCGTTAAAATTATCACATTTTAATTGATTCGCCTTTCCAACTACACCCGCCTATGAAAAAGTGCTTTAACGAATAACCTAAATTGTTCTATTGCACATTTCGAGATTAGAAAAATTCCAAGAAGTTTTCGAAACTCGCGATTACAATTAAACAAAGCTTTCGTTTTTGATGTACAGATGGCGTCGCAATTAATTAATAATTACTATCAATATAAATTAATTAAAAATTGACAAATTTACTTAAATAATCTACTTATCTAATATTCGTTACTTCGAACCTTTTAAAAGGCTTCATTTAACAGACATCCGGATATTAGATTAGCGATTAATGTTAATAAAAAAAATGTATTTCATATACAATTTACTTAATATTGCTAGATAAATACGGAATACATTTTTTTCCTATTCGGAACCCTGCAGTAAAGCAACAACTGCCTTTTTTTGTGCTTACAAATACAAATTAAGGAAGAATCCACATTGTGTGAAATATTACAACAAAATACAGCCACGTTTTCGACGAAACTCTCATTACTTTTCCAGGCATCAAATCGAAATCACTACATATAAAATAAATACACTTAATAAATATCGAATATGTAAATGTATAAATAAAAATATTGATTACATTCCTCAGCGAAACAGCGCGTACAAATTTTCCTTTTCTTTTTTTTTTCAACTATTATTAAATTAACATATACGTCATCACCGTTTTGACAGGCAGCCATTTTATTGTTCTGTGATCAAAAACGTTTCCTTCTTCAAATTCAATAAATTGTGATATGTCAGAGAGAGAGAGAGAGATTGCTCAAACATTCTCCGCCGGTTTTTCGTCGATCGCGGACGAAGACGCCAACGCCGCGGACGCTTCTTCTTTATTTCTACAAAATAAAAAAAAAATAGTTAATCACGTGAAAAAATAACGGTTATTTTGTAACAGTCGTTACCGCATCTCTATACTACACCAAATCGCCACCTCTATTACGAATTGTCATTAGTGACAATTTTGACAGTTGGCGTACCATCGAACGCATCTTAAAACGGGGGAAGTGCGAAATTCCACCGTCGGTAACGAATTTCGTATCGAAATATACTCACTTGGACGGTTCGATACACTCGACAGCATCGCCGATCGTCCCCTCGTCCTTCGCCCCATCGCCGGCGGCGCATTTCGCATCGCCCCTCGCCGCCTCATCGACCGTCCCCTTTCCGTCGATCAAATTAATGCTGGTCGCCCGGCTGAAGTTGTGCAAATGCGCGTCGAATTCGGCCGAATTGAAATCGGCCCAACCGCCGCCGCTGTTCGCGTTGTCCTCGTTCAACGACGACGTCCACGGATCGCCGGCGCGATACGACGCCCCCGACGCCGACGACGACGACGCCTCTTCGCCCTTCGGAGACGTCCAAGCTACGAGCGACAAACCATTTAAACCTCACAAAACGACGCCTAACTCGTATACACTTACGATCGACTTCCATGTTATCATCGTTCGTCGGTAATTCCTCCTCGTCGCTGTCGCTGCTGTAAGCGGTTTCATTGCGATCGTTCTTTTCTATAACCGTTTGGAACGTGTTCTCACGTTCCTCGAATATCTGATCGTCCGCATCGTCTAATGTATTGATGCTTTGGGCGCACACCTGCTTGAATATCTCCTGTTGTTGCACCAAATCGCCTTCGGTGAGATCGAAATGCATGTCGGTCCTGTGATCGATATTCCTACAAACATACAAAACATTTAATACTAATACTAGCAATTCGTTTTTCGACTAATCAAATTTACTGTAACGTATCGACGCCGTCGTTGAAAGCGTCGTCGTTGAAGCCGCTGTAGCCTTCGATGAATTGCGACGTCAAATTCTGCATCTGGTATTGGAAGAACATCTGAAACGATGCAAGAAAAACCAATCCTGAAGGCGACTACGCGTAAAATTAACATGATTTTTCTGAATCGATCATTACCTGTTGGTGTAAAGCGTTCGATTGCGTGAAAGCGTTGTCGCCGTAATCGTCGTTGTCGTCGGAATTGTACGGGTGAGCGCCCCCCTTTAAAAACCATTCATTTATAATATTTATGTATAAATAAATAGCGTTTTTTTATTACCAATAAGGATTCCTGCGTTTTGTTGGTTTCCGCCAGCGTGGACTCCTTGAATTCTTCGAGAGATTTGGCAACGTCGGGAAGGTTGTCTTTGAGGTACTGGCCCAACGGGGCGTTGCACAAATCCACGATTTTATTCATGATGCTTATCAAATGGCCCATGTAACCCTTACGGATACCATTCTTTTCCGATCTAAAAGAAAAATAAATTCCTATAGAGATGATCCCAGTTAACAGGGCGCCCAAGCTCAAAGGTTACAGAAGAGCAGGGAAGGATAGAGAAGAGTTAAGGAAGATAGAGAAGAGCAGGGAAGGATATAGAAGAGCAGAGAAGGATAGAGAAGAGCAGGGAAGGATAGAGAAGAGTTGGGAAGGATAAAGAAGAACAGGGAAGGATAGAGAAGAGTAGGGAAAGGATATAGAAGAGCAGGGAAGGATAGAGAAGAGTTGGGAATGATAGAGAAGAGTAGGGAAGGATAAAGAAGAACAGGGAAGGATAGAGAAGAGTAGGGAAAGGATATAGAAGAGCAGGGAAGGATAGAGAAGAGTTGGGAATGATAGAGAAGAGTAGGGAAGGATAAAGAAGAGCAGGGAAGGATAGAGAAGAGTTAGGAAAGATAGAGAAGAGCAGGGAAGGATAGAGAAGAGTTGGGAAGGATAGAGAAGAGCAGGGAAAGCATACAGAAGTGTATGGAAAGTAGTTTACTACTACAGTACATTTATACTGGTTCAAAAAACGAAACAAAATCATTTTATCTACTGCAACTACTCACTGTTGTTCGTCGTTTTCCTTCCACGCTTTCAGTATTCTCTCGATCACATTACACTTGGTCAACAACTAAAAAAAAAAACAAAAAATCACCCTCGAACGATTCGCTTTTTCGTAATACTCACGTGTTTGGTTAAGGCATTGGTTTTGTCGTCGCTATCGGACGAAGCCGAGCGATTTCTCAAAGCGGCTATAAGGCAATTCTCGACCTGCGCGTGCAGGAAATTGTTCCACTGATAGTGGAAGAACAGATCCAACAGTACGGCGAACGTGTCGTTGGCCTCGAATTTGTTCAACAGCTCGTCGTTGTTCGATGCTATCAGAGCGGCGAACAGCTTGGTCACTTGCAAACGGGTGTTGCCCAACGGTGGATTCAAAGCGCCCGTCGTGGTCACCACTACGTCTTGCTACAACAGGAATTCACACTAAATGTACTTAGAAACAAACAGGGAACGTCTTTTGAGTCAATCGAGCTTCTACAGCCACTTTATCTTTACAAGTTTAAGGTTCTACAGCCACTTGAACTTGGAGCTTACTTTGGGCGGATCGACGAGCAAATCGTGGAAGTCCTTCAAGCGCTCCTTGATCACCTGAGTGATGCCCAACAGGCTCTTCTGTTTCAGCTCTCTATCGCTCGATTCGTCGTTGATGTTCGAGCCGTACAAGTTCTGCGTGCTGCTGAACTTCGTCAGGCCGGTTTGGCTGTTGTCCAACAAGGCGAGTAGTACTTGGATGCCTCCTACGATGGCGCTCTCGCTCCTCTCGCCTTTGGTGAACATCGAGTCCAACAGTAGGGACACCGTTTCGGCTCTAAAAGTAACATAAATAGAGCGATTGAGGAGGATTGTAGTGGAGGAGTTTTCGTACGATTCCAAGGTGTTGAGCAACGGATCGGGATCGACCCGTTCGACCGAATTCTTCTGGTTGTCTCTGGCTATCCGGATGAAATCGCAGAGCAATTGGGCGACGTTGTAGTGTCTGTCGCTGTCCACATCCGGATTCAGCAGGGATATCAACGATTGGACGACCCGTTGGCTGTCCAGCCACTACTCGAAACAATCGAAATTTAATCGGTGATGATATAAATAAGGTTATACGTACGTTCAATATGTTCTGGTTCATTTCGACGCCTTCGACTTGCGTCATCAATTTGAGCATGAGATCCATCACGGCTGAGATGCCGATGTGCTTGAGCAGCAACGATATAAACGTGTCTTTAGCCTTTAGAAAGTCTATCACCTGTAAGCAAGTGAACTGATAGGATAGCCAGTTCTACGATCGTCGCATTCCCATCGATTCGAGTGAAGGAAACCATGCAAAAAAAAGGGAAAAAAATGTTAATTAATCGAGTTACTGGTGATGTTAAAAGATGGGCGTACCTGCTCAGTCTTCTTGGCGATTAGGGCGCCCATTACTTTGCTAAAATAGGAAGCCAATAGGGGATTCAACGGCGGATCGCAATCCAGAAACTTGTATAACTTATCCAAAAGTACTTCGTCGCTGGCCAGTCGCTCGTTGAGCACGGGGACGTCGCAGGTGAGCAATTCGCAAGCTATGTTCGGATATTTAAATCTAGTTCTTTCTTCTAATACGATCGAGGGTTCTTTGGTGATGAGGGTCACCAGTTCTTCCATTACTTCCGTCTTCTGGAGACTATAAAACGAGATTTAATCGAGTTGTATAAATTGTATACGATTACTTACAAATCGATTAAGAGTTTATTTTGCACTCTACATTCGTTTATAATATCGTCCGAGTCCATGACTTCCTGCAAGGAAACATCCTGGAAAAAGCATTTCGTGTGATTATTGATATATCAGGAGTATCGAATAAATTGATTGTTTATTACCTCTTTGGAGAGCAGGGCCTCGATTTGCGGCGAAGAAGTGTTAAATTTCCAAAACATGTTAATACAATCTGTAAATAAAATACAAGACGTACGTGTTAAACATTAAAACGAACCAATTGCGGATAAAACAGAACAGTAATTGACCCACCTTTTCGAACTTATAATTATTTCTGCGGGAGTTGCGGTTGTTTAAAATAAGTTCATTTATAATGACCCTTATAGAGGCGTTCTGTCGAATTTTCACTAATCACACGCGCGTATCCTTCTATCCTAAAGGGCATATCACAAATATAACGGCTGTAATTCCTAACTTATGCGTAATTGTTGAAATACTGATAGAAATTTCGCAAATGGTTAAAAATTATCGTCCATTCGAAGTCCAGTCCACAATGCACTTGTTGAAAATTGAACGGTGACAGGAGACAGGACAGGAGCCACGAAATGGCGGTAAATTCGAATCGGTTTCGGTTAATTTGCCGGTTTTGCACCTTCGATGGGATTAATCGACTCGATAAATCAGCTAAACGTTAGAGAAATTGGCATTTCTTGCGATTTACTATAATAAAACGTCAAATGTACGTACGAAACGAAACTGTTATATAAAAATGAAGTCTGTACGTTTGGGGATTTTGTTTTTGCGCAGTTGGTACTTACACGTAGGAAATTAAATGGGAAAAATGGAATATTTTATTAAAATATATTAAAATTGATTATATTTTGAGCAGTATAATAATATGCGGTAGTTAAATTATCGTTTGAACCATTTTTTGTCTCATTTATACTCTTATTGTAACCTTGCGCCATTTTGTTGGTAAGCGAGGTCAGGGGCGTAATCAAAATATTTGTAGCCCCAACACTTACAAATTTTTAATATTTTTATTTGGAGATTTTGTAGTGAATTGTACCAAAAAGGAAATTACATATAATTAACACTACCCTTATAAACGGGTCTATTAGTATTTAATAACATTAATTGAATAATTATACTCGAGTGGAATCGTTAAAACTCTTTTATTTCACCTAATGTATGAAGCAATTATTTTAATTTCCCGATTGATTGAAAAAATTCGATATAGCACAGGTAGGTATTACTTGATCAAATATAATTATAAAAAACTTTGTACCTGTAATATGTGTAGTCAAATTACGCTCGAAAACACGCTAAATCATTAAGTTATCGGTAATAAAAATCAACAATAATGACTTGTGGGTAATTTAAAATAATTTCCCGTTTGAATCGAATTATAATTTCATCATATAAATGTACCGAAAATTGCGTAGTCAGTGAGATGATTTGATAGATGTAACAGACATTTTTTAAAAGGGCTCCATTTGAGGCACTTTTTGTAAGTACCCTGTACGAAAATTGTTGGCAAAATTATGGAATTTTAATAGCCAAATTAACAGGTTGTTTTTTGTTTTCATTCACAGCGCGTTACTGGTTTATGAAACATTGTTATGCAATAAAAAAATTAATTAAAATTAAACAGAGGTTGGGTAATTAAAAATTTTCTATAAAGTCGAAAAATAGTGTAAAAATGAAATATTGTATCGTCGAAAATCGTTAGAAATGCACAATGGATTAGTTAATTATACAATTTAATTAGTGATTAATTTTTTTATATCGCGTAGGTACGAGAACTTAATTAATTTAAAAAAAAATAATATTTATTTCATTTTTTCTCGCACAATCATCCAGACTAAACGTCATTAATTTAGTGCATTTTTACGGCATAATTTCATGCATAATCACAATAATTTCCTTGCTCAAATACCTTACACATTTTTTTCTAGCCTTTCGAAGTGTTCCCGTTGATATTTCTTTAGAACAAATCGAAAATTGTTCAGCAAAATGGTGAACAAAAATGTCCTGAAATTATCCAACAAAGTTTTGATATTCGTAAGCGTGCTCGGAGCTTTAATGGTAATCGGTGGAGCTTATTTGGGATTCAAAGTCGTTCCTGATATTATAGTGAACAAAATTTGGGAGGTAAGATTTTCGAATTTGTTAAATATTTTTTTCGCTCAGCAATTTTTTGCGAGTAAATGCGAATTTTTGTTAATTTATTTTCGAGGTAATGAGATTTTGAATTTATCAAATATTTTATTCATTTAGCAACTTTTTAAGAGTAAATTGCGATTTTTTTTTCAACAAAAAATCGAAGGTAAATAACTCAATTAAAAATTAGAAAAAAAAATCATCCTAATTTAATTGAACCAAATTCGTATAACAACTTTTTAATTAACTCAACAACTCGTACGTAATTACATCTAATTAAATAGCATAATTAAACATGTTTACTCAGCTTTTTTTTACATACACATAATTGCCTTCAGACGAAAATTCTCAAAGAAAACACCGAACAATGGGAAGCGTTCATGAAAACCCCCTTTCCATACTCCTTCAAAGTCTTCGTATTCGACGTTCAAAACCCTGATGATGTCCTGCAAGGGGCGAAACCTCGCGTCAAAGAAGTGGGACCTTTCGTATACAAGTAAATATTATTATACAGGGTGCAAAATAGATTAATTATTTACTATATTTATACAGGGTGACCAAATGGAAGGATGACGTACAATGGACCAGTCCAGACGAAATTTCCTACCATTCTTACACGAAATTCGAATTCGACGAAGCATCTTCGGGAGAATACACGGAAAACACCGAAGTCACCATACTAAACTCCCCGTTATATGTAAGAAAAAAACTACATTAATTATTTCGCATTAATTGTAATTGTAATGAATTAAAGGGAATACTTCTGAAAGTCGAAGCCACCAAGCCGGAAGTGTTCGGTCTGGTCGAGCAGGCCGTGCCCGTCGCGTTCGCCGGTCACAGCCAACTGTTCATCAAAGTCAAAGTCGGCGATTTGCTGTTCAAAGGGATAAAATTTTGCGAGAACGCCGGCAAAAATGGCGGATTCGCCACCTCCATCTTCTGCAGGAACGTCATGCAAAAGGCCAACGAGTCGCAATCGTTGCGATTGGAAAACGACGCGATTTTGTTCTCCAATTTGCATTACGTGAGTGGAATTCGAACGCCATTTTGTATCTGCCATGTGTCAATTTTTTTTTGTACTGACATGACATATGTCAACTTCGTATTCATCATATACAGGGTGTATAAATTTGTTTTGCAGAAAAACAACACGCATTTGGGAAGATTTACGGTGAAATCGGGCGGAAAGGATCCAAAGGAAAGCGCTACATTAACTTTATACAACGGAAAACCTTTCTTATCAACTTGGCCCGGTGAAAATTCCTCTTGCAATCGAATCAGAGGATTTACCACAGTTTTTCCGGCTAATATAAAAACTGACATGGTTTTCGAATCTTTCTCCGAAGATATTTGCAGGTATAAACATCCATTTTTTTGCAGCTCACTCTGTATTATTTTATTTTCTAGACACGTCGCTTTGGAATACGATTCGAAAGATGCTGTAAAAGAAATCGCCGGTTACAAATTCGTGGCGAAAAATGACACTTTCAGCAGCAAAACTAATAAGGAGAATTCCTGCTTTTGCAGCAATCGCACCAAGACTTTTACCACTGCAGAGGGTTGTCCTGAAGACGGGATTATCGATCTTACGCCTTGCAAAGGTAACTGAATTTTCTCAATCCACAATCCGAAATTCGCAAGAGTTGAATTAGTGCAGAATCAGAGTAAAATTAGAGTACAATTAGAACAGAATTAGAGTAGAATCGGTGCAGAATCAGAGTACAATTAGAACAGAATTATAGTAGAATCAGTGCAGAATCAGAGTAATATTAGAGTACAATTAGAATAGACTTAGAGTAGAACCAGTGCAGAATACAGAACAATGGAGTACAATTAGAACAGAATTATAGTAGAACTAGTGCAGAATCAGAGTAAAATTGGAGTACAATTAGAACAGAATTAGAGTAAAACCAGTGCAGAATCAGAGTAACATTAGAGTACAATTAGAACAGAATTAGAGTAAAACTAGTGCAGAATCAGAGTAAAATTAGAGTACAATTAGAACAGAATTAGAGTAGAACCAGTGCAGAACCAGTCCATTTGCTATTAAAGCAGAGCAGAACTAATGTAAAATTAGAGTGTTATATATAAATCAGAGAAGAATCAAAATCGAGTAGGTTTAGAGCAACATAAAGCAGCATACCAGTAATTATTACATTTAATGGTTAATTATTAATTCAATAGTACCTTCTTTTTTAATCGTTGGCTTAACAATTTCACAAGTTTTTCTATCCCTAATAGCGAATTGAGTATACATATACAGCATTTTAAGGCTTTAAATTAGTTTGTTTTGTAACTATTTGGTTATCACAATATTAGATATTCATCGAGCACCCTGTATAATTCCGCTTAGTTCGATAACCGAGAAATTGTCGCCTCTTCCACCGAATTCACACATCAAAACCGGTATTATTATAGCACTGTTGAAAGTTGAAATGTCACGGTAAAATCGTCGATACATCGAAGATAAAAACACCACAAACTTCACGACCGGCCTACGAATTCAACCTCAAATCCTCGATTAAAACACACCTATAAAACCGAAGACGATCTTTCGCGCTCTCCCAGTCCACCATGCGCACCACCATCGCCTTATTACCTCTCATAATCCGCCTAACTTTCGCCGAAATCGCCGATTTCCACGGCGCAAATCGCCTCGAGGAGAAACCCACAGCGAAGATCTACGATCGCTGCGAATTGGCCAGGGAGCTGCGCGCCCTCCACGGCGTCCCCCTTCACCAGGTACCCACCTGGGTGTGCATCGCCCAAAGGGAATCCAACTACAACACGTCTGCTATTAATCCAGGGAGTGGAGACCACGGGTTGCTCCAGATCTCCCAGGAATACTGGTGTGCTGTGGGCTACGAAGGAGGAGGATGCTCCTCCAGGTGCTCTTCGTTCACCGACGGGGATATTACCGATGACGTGGAGTGCGCTAAGAAGATTTATAAGGAGCATACGGAGATCTCCGGGGACGGTTTCAACGCTTGGGTGGTGTACCCGATTTACTGTAAAGGCGACACCAGCCGGTATGTAAGAGGATGCTTCGAGGATGAGGTCGAAATAGCTACTTCTGGTGCGTTTGTAAAGCTGGATGTTGTTGATAAAGCGATATTAAGTGCACCAGGTCCTCTGGAAACCTCTAAATTTGCTGGTGTATCGGATGCTGCATCATTGGATCACCAGGAAACGCTCTATCGCTCGTTGGGGACCCCCAAAAGGGCTAAATTCCCCAAAAGACGACCGCCGCAGGGCGACAACGCGCTAAGACCGGTATCTTCTGGAGATCCTGTAACTCTATCAAGACCTCCAGGTCCACCAAGACCTCCAGGTCCTCCGAAACCGCCTAGACTTCCACCTGCTGCGCCCGGTAAACCACCAGGTAGACCGCCGGGTCCTCCGAGGCCACCTACGGGTAGACCGAAGCCGCCTCCGTCCACCCCCAGGCCCTTCGATTGGAACAATCTACCGGGGGTGATATTCACGTTGTGGCCGAGTTCCACTACGGGGCCGGTTTCCACGTCGGTTTACTCGACTACTGCGAAACCCCAGCAGGGAAAAACCTCGTGGAGTCTCCACGAGGATGCTAGGAGTACTGTTAAGAGGGGCGCTGGTAGAAACCGGTATCCGGGTTATAGTTTTTACAGGACGAAATCGGGGTTTAGTTTGGTGCAAGTTTGATTTGTTTAATGTTAGTTTTATCGTTAAGAGTATGTTATAAGTGGTTTGAATTCGAAGGGGGTCCTGTGATGGTTTCGTTTCCTCATCTGCTCTACGCCGACGAAGGATACGCGAGGAGTGTGGAAGGACTCCGTCCGGTGAAGTCCAGGCACGAGCCTTTCGTGATTTTAGAGCCGGTGAGTGGATGAATGGATTGTTGTATTCGATGTAATTACTGTTGGGAGTTTTAGTTGAGCGGGTTACCTCTGTACGGGTCTCAAAGGATACAGTTCAACATGTTCCTGAGGCCGATAGAGGGCATGGAGAATCCTTGGAACGTGTCCAGGTCGCTTTTGCCGCTCATTTGGGTCGAAGAGGTAACTGTTATTAGTTCTAAAAGTTTGTAAAAGTTTCCATCAGAAGTGGGATTGTCTACTATTGTTCGTTCTTCGAATTGATGTGGATATTTCTGTTTTAGTCCTTCGTGATACCGGATCAATTCATCGAGAAGTTAAACGACAATCTGTTCAGCAAGTTGAATATGATCAACATCGTGAAATGGATAGTGATTGTAAGCGGAGGGGCTGGCCTTTTACTAGCCGGTTTGACGTTAGTTTACAGACAGGCCCCTTGATTGGACAATGAGGATCCCCTGCCGTACGTTAATTGAATTATAAAAAATCGTTTTCGAGTTAATTGTAGATAATTATTAGTCGATTGCGTGTGAATTATTAATTTATTTAATAAGGTAATGTGTTATTAATGAGATTGTTTTTTTATTTATCGTTTATTCGAATTACATATACAATATGTACAAGAACAAAACGTTTGCTTAAGCGATAGTTTTAGGTATTTACATGGATTAAAAAATATTATTTCTATAATTAAATACGATAATTGTAATATTAATAATACATCGGTTGCAATTTTATTATGTACACATGTTTTTTGGCAGTTCGGCATAATTTGCGTAAAGTTTTCTTTACGATTCGAAGAAATATTGCGAAAATTTTATTTGTACGAGAGTTAGGAAACTTACTGTGATCAACATCAGAGTATAATCGTCCGGAAAAAACGCAAGAAAAGTTACAAAAATAACGTTATTATAAAAATAAAATCTATTCCCGACAACCCCATCGAATTCACACCAGCTATCCCAACTTAGTCCCGAACTCGTGCAATATATCACAAGCCATATCCACGTTATTCCTGGTAATTCCCAACGCTTTAATCACCGAATCCTTCGAATATCCTTCGCCCACCAGCTTCCTGATGTAATCCATGTTCAAATTCTCGTAGGCCACTTGATGGGCCTGCACTCCATCCAGGGGGTTCACCCTCTGCGCCTCCTGCACCTCCACGTTCTCGTACCGATTCCCCCCGCAGATGTCAGGGGTGGTGTTCGATTTGGGCGGCTTGGGCGTCTTCGGGGGCGCCCGGTTCGACGGGCAACTCAAGTGCCTGCTGGGCGGCTTCACCCCCCTGTCGCAGTACTCCCCCGTCTGGATCACCACGCCGTAGATGGTCTCCGGGGAGCTCAGCTCCACCGGCTGCAACACCAAAATCGAGTTAATAATAGAGTTATCGAGGAGTTGTTTAGCTCACCTCTTCTTCGGCGGCGTTGCCGGTGTTGAAGAGCTCGATGTTGAGCATGGAGTTGCTCTTGGGCAATTGTTGGGGGAGTTCTGCGGAGTGGGCGGCGAGGTTGGTGACCGATTGGGCCTCGGTGAGGCCGTTGCGGGGGCGGTCGTGCGTGGGGGAGCTCTTCCGGGGGGGCAGCGGGGGCGGCGCCGCGGGGGGCACCAGGACGGGGGCGGTGCGGCGGAGGCAGCGCGGGCTGCCGCCCGGGGATATCATCGGGCTGGCCGAGGTCTGGAAGAATAACATTAAAATGGGGTTTTTAAGGGTTATTTGGTGGTGACTTACGGGGATTTCGGTCCTGGGGATGATGGATAAGGCGTGTAGGCTGCTACCTGCGAAGTTCCATATCTCTCCGGTGTCCTGGAATAATCGCGGAGAAAATTATTTGTTTGATTTAAAGGAGGGAAGCGAAGCGTTTGCTTACCTTGTACTGGGGTTTTTAATGAACACTCGGTATGTAAATCATGCGAAAAGCTGAAATGCATCGCCGTAAGTGCGTACTTACTGGGAATAAAAACATATAAAAAAAAGCCATACGAAAGTTAGTGGCGAGACAAATATGCAAAATAAAACAATGAAAACACTATGAAAAATAATGTATTAATTTTAAAATATTGCGATAATATATAGTGTATTATGTTACAATACTGCTACAAAAAAATATATTTCGGATAAATGTATAATTAATTACAGTTGATAGTTATATACAGGATAAAAATTGAACTAATTAAAAAAATTAAATATACTTCTTTTAACGTTAATACCCAATTCACAAATCTAAGTTTATTCACTGGACCTTAAAAATAAATAAAACGACGCGCACTTAAAAAAAATTAAATTTAAAATGTTTAAATAATTTCGAACTAAACTTATTAACGATGAAGATTAGAGTATTTAAAAAAAACGTGCGCCCTTCATAAATTAAAATCTTAAGTAAGTTTAATAAATTATTTAATTAAATTTAATACTGTCATAAAGAAAATTTCGATAATCACGGTTCAAATTTACCAGTCAAAAATTAGAATGAAACAAACAAAAAAGAAGATAAAGTGCAAATCATTATTAAAAAAAAATGTGAAGCACAGCCAAAACGGGCAGGAAATTAAATATAAAAAATATCGCCATTTTCTCCTGTCACGGAACATGTAGAGATGCTCTCTCAAATAATTCACTCTTTATCTCAACATATTCCCATCCAGCGAGAAAACCTAACCAAACAACCAACCAAACAATCGCCAACAAAACGAACCAAAAAAAAATAAAAATGCAACATCGCAAAACAAAAACAAATTTACTCTCATTCAGCGTAATCGTTCGACGTTGCGTCGTTAGACTTTTCTAAGGCTACCTCTAATTCCAGATCGTCATCGTCGAAATGATTCGGCAACGCCGCATTCGGCAACGTCGCCTTCCGCTGGTGCGATTTCTTCGGATCGAACGGATCAACCACGATCTGCTCCGTCCCTTTGATCTCGGCCCTGCAAAAGGGACAACCCTGACTGCCTTGACCCTCCGAACCCTGTCAACAAAACAAACCAACAAATTAGATTGCATAATACAACGTTCTACCAGGCCATAAAACCGGCAACGTCTCAATATAAGTGTAGTTAGAGACTTAACAACACTAACAAACGAGTTATGCTGATTCTACGAGGCCATAAAACCGGCAACGTCTCAATTTAAGTGAAGTTAGAGACTTAACAAAGGTAGATAAACGACTAAACCTAGGTTTACAAGGGCAAACATAGGGGCTAATCTAGGTTTCTAATCGTTTATCTAGCTTCGTACGTAACACATTGACACTATCGTGCTGATTCTACGAGGCCGTGAGGATAATAAAGAGGCGAATTTAGCAAAGACTTACGGCCTGCCAGGCGGTGAGACAGGGCGTGCAGAGCAAATGGCCGCAGGGCTCGATGCGCACGTCTTTATCGTTCTCGGCGCATATTTTGCACAATTGGAATGTACTGCCCATCTCGCAGTAGAGCTCGTACTGCTCCTGCGTGACGGCGATGTGGTCTTCTTGGCTGGGCTGTACGGCCCACGATAGATCAGGATTGACCGATCGACCGTCCGGGTACAGGTAGCTGCGGAACCGAAGAGATCGAGTCAATAAACAGTTTTATATAACAGTTTTTAAGGTCGCTGTGGAGGACAGGAAGCCGTTTCGTTGGATTATCAGTGACCCACATGTTATCGATTCAATGCAAATTAGGATCACGGTGCTTGCATTAAGTATTTATCGCGTTATGATTCATTCGTAATGGCTTAAAAAACGCCATTTCCACTTACTATTTATTTCATTTGTATTGTTATTTAATAGAGATAATGGACTAATCGAGACACTTACAATCCTTCCCGATACCCGTCGAGCAACGCCTGTATCAGACTTTTATTTTGAGGTATAGTTTGTAGTATTTCACCATCTGGTGTCACGTAACCGATCGCCCATTGTCCCAACCTGGTGCACGATAACCTTTCGGAAAAAAAAACACAAATAATTAGCATACATATTCGTTATTTAATCGAAACTAAATGTATACCTGAAAACGTAGCTTCCAGCTTTATTAATGTACCTTTGCAGTCTCGCTTTGACCTCGTCGTAGGTCAAGAAGGCCACGTAACCCGGATGGGTTACGGCCAGGATTTGCCAATTCCTCAATAGCGTCGCCCAAGGTTGGAACAACCTGGAAATATGACAGGTGAAATATGAAATGTGACAGGTGCTGTCGTTTGTCACCTCGTGAATACGTCGAATTCGAAATTTGATATGTAATCGTTGCAGGTTAGGTCGATGGTGGATTTCAAAGCCATCGCTTCCAGTCCGGAACTGATCGTGTGGACGTTGTTCAATTGTTGCCTGAACAATTTCCAAGGGACTAAAGTTCTGGAACAAACGATCGAATAATTTGCCTACGCCTATGCCTTTCGCTTTTCTAATGTTATTTTATACGAAAAAAAAAATTAAATTTCAATGCAACGCCTGCTTGTTTTATTCGCAAGATGTAAGTAACGGTAATTTCGTAATTAAATCGTTAATTATTGAGAAAGGAAGCGACGCGACGAGTTCATTTGAATGAATTTAATTATAATAAATTTCTACGATGTCATTATAAAAATATGCAATTTCTAAACGATGTTATGCATAATATTATAATTATTATTTTTTGGAATTAATTAAATTCCGGAAACTCGAAACTCACCTATTTCCGAAATTCCCTCTCCAGAAATCCGCTGCATCGGATTTGGTGATTCTAAACAAATCCCCCGCAAAGACTCCATTAGGGAATAAAGCCTTCAATTCGCTGAGCATATGACTAAACACCAAACTCAACTTGGTCAAGTTCCTTCGATAGTGCGAGTTCTCATCGAACATCTTCTCCTTACCCTCCTTGAACAACTTAATGGCCTGTTTGCACTTCAACATCAAGTTCACTATGAATATGTTGAAATGTTCGATGGAATGCAAAGCCTGCAGGTTGTCCTCGTATTTTGAGTAGATCAACCGGAGTCTTTGGTAGGTATCCGGAAGGATGTCGAGGATGAACGGCGGGGAATTCTTGAGGTTCATCTTCTGGTGTTGGCACAACTTCACCACTTTGTCCATTAGCTTCCACGTTTTGTCCAATGTCCGTTTGTCCGTCAGGTATTTGGGGTGGTTTATGGAGTCGGAGAAGGCGCCTTGTAGCTTGGAAAATATCGTGGATAGGTTTTTGTGTTGGATCGGTCGATTTCGGCCTGCCATTTTGTCGAGTTTACCCACTAGATTCGCCTACTTGAATTTGTACGTGCACATTTGTAAATTTTACCCGATAGATTCACCCACTTGATTCGCACATGTACGATTCACCATGCACGGAAAACGACGATTATTCACTGAAATTACATTTTAAATGTCTCGAATCACGTTAATTAGGCGCTAATTGGGCGTAAATTTAGTAATTTAACGATACAGTTGACATTTTTTTACGAGAACGGGTGAGTTGATAAATGAATGAATGAAAATGACAGGTTTGACATGACAAGTTTGACGTTCCGAATTTTAACCAATCAGAAGTTATTTTCGAAATTTTTGGTCATTTATCTGTAAATTATTAATTATCTTAGCATTACATATTAAATATTTTCGTTATTTGCAATTTAATAACGATTATATTAAGTCTTTTATAACCAATTTTATTTACATGTTAAAAGTGTTGCCTATATGTCAAATTCAAAATCACCAATCAGTGCCGTACGAGAATACATATCAATCGCAATGAAAATTATAATTAGTTGCTAATGCAAGAAATTAAGTACGTCACACGTAAGTAATTATACGATAACTTTAAGCAATTAAATTACAACACAACCCCGATGTTTAAATAATAAACAGAACAAACTTTTCTCTCGCGTAACGCCACTGACATCGTATATCGTCTGTGACAGCAAGTGTCGCCGCCTGACAGCGAAACGGAGAAACATTTAATCGAAATAGCCCAGCCGAACAAAGTCGGAGAGATCGAACGCGCCGGGAGAAAGAGAGACGGCGTGATTCGCCGAATCAACATGGCGGCGTAGACGGTTCGAGTGAAGTCGCATAGCCGAATAAAAGAGAATTTAACCGTTCGAATCGACGAAAACAACGAAAATCCGCCCGGACGAAGCGTACGAACGATCGAAGTATGATAGTGGTGGAAAATCCGCCCTCTCGGAGCGGTACAAAAGCGTCCAGTAACAGGGAAAAGTGAAGGATAAAAAACGAACGGAAAACATCAAGTGACCTGTGAGCGAATTGTGACAAGTGAACTGTACTTATCCGGTGTCTCTCGGGGGGTAGATGAAAAGGGCATGATTGTCGAGTTATGGGCGCCCAGAATACCAAGGAAAGGAACATTTCCGTAGGCGGTACTCATTCTATGAGGGCCGCAAGGAACAGACCGAGGACTACGAAAGATGGTCGTACAGCCATTTCCTCCAATATTTTTACGGAACACAGCGGTATGTATACAATACTTTTTTTCCACAGCCGTCTATTACTATTACCCGTACTATTAATTATTATAATTGAAACCTAGCCTACTAATTATTTATTTATATTTGTATTATCTATTTATTTGGATGGCAGCAATTCCATAGCCTCCTATAGTATAGTCTCCTGTTATGTATACACTTTCACAGCCTCCTATAATAAGATTTTTATTAGAGCATTTCCATAGCATCCTTTGATGGTCTATAAACTAACGATCAAATCAAAGGCTAAACAAGTTCGTTCTTGTGGCATCCTTGAAATCCGTTTTGCCCCCCACGTATTCTCCGAGCCCAAAAGGAGACTGGCAGTCTCGAATACCGGTAAATAAATGAACAATTTCATTCGAAAATTGCGGAATTTCGTATAATTAGAAAGTTCAAGGTTTATTGATGTTTGTTTATCGCTTAATATCGCAATTATCTGCTCCCTTTGTGTCCCGATAAATCGTCACGCGTAAATACTTGATTGTTGATATGAAACGTCAATGTCAAAATTATTGAACAGCTGTCAATTGTATTGAGGTTGTTAAAAAGAAAATCCTAACGAGCAGCGCACACTTGATGGTGTTTTTTTTATAATCGGATTAGGTTAATCGGATTTCTCTTTCTTTGATTTCTAAATTTACCGATTAAATACCTAACATATGTTGCGACTTCGGACCGATTAATTTATTAATTAACAGATAAAAAACGGCGTATCGATTAATATGTAATAAGAGATAGGAGTAATCGATTCTTGAGAGTGTTTGTTTATCGATATTTTCAACGCCAACTATCTTTTATAATGCCGTTAATTCCATCAAAGAAATTGGATATATTCTCGTCACTTTGCGGGAGATCGACTCGTTACTAATATTAAATGAAACGGGATGAATTATTGCGTATGATAAAAACAGATGAACACGTGTTGGTTATGAATGTGCTTCAATAACCCATATAGGTTATTTGCTTTGTTTATTTTTTTATACAAACATTCGTATAAATTGATGTTTCTTAAATATTCTGTTAATAATAATAGTTTTTCTAGATTGTACTTAATTAAAGTGACAGTTAAAATAATTAAATGACAGTTAAACACCTACTAGATTTTTTAATGGGTTAAATCTTTGACAGATAACCTTGCATATTGAAACCTTTATATTAAAAAAAAAAATAAACATTCCGTAGTTAATTCATGGGAATTTTTTAATGACAGGTTATTAAGTTAGTTTTACTCTATGTCTAGAAAATTGAATAATATTCTGAAGCCGGTTTACCGGGAGAATTGGCCACTTGCCACATCTGATTTAATAGAAGAGATTTAACGAAAAGTGCATTAACCTCTTGTGGTTAAATCTAGATATCGCTGATAAGAGAATTCGACGTTTTTTCGACATATTTGACAGTTGACAGTATTTACGCGTATTATTCGTTCTCTGGAACCCCTAAAACGGTCTCAGACTTGTTAAGCAAACGGCGAAAAATATCTAATAAAAGAGCCTTGTGCCAAATTGCTCTTCGAAAATGTGTTTGCGCTTCTGCTTTGAACGTCTGGAAGTTTTTTTTTTTTTCCGATATAATCTCCGGATATTTTCCTTCTTCGATTGAATTTTCCGCATATACAAAAGGTATAAATTTGAATGAAATCCAGAAAACAATGGGCGAGGTGATAATATTGTTTGAAAATTGAAAATGAATCGATGTCAATATTATTTCAGGCGAAATTCCTATAATTTTTTTCTATTAGCGATTGGCGTAGATAAATGAATTTAAATGAAATTCGAAAAAGCCAGAGTTCAGTATTTGTTCCACTTTTACAGAGTGATTCGAGTTTAATTAAAAAATATGAATAAGTTTGGGTCATCCTGTATAACTGATGAATAAACCAAATAGATTTAAAAGCACATGTGTTTCGATTTAAATATAGAAAACGGACGAGTTTCGCGAATTAATTTTAATCTGAAATTGGTGTTTTGATTTATTTTCCAGATTTTTCCTATTATTCCTAATGGATGTTTTTTTCTTTATTTTAGATTATCAACTCCATTATCTGAGTAAGTAGCTTTTATTCAATTTAAATTCATTTAAATCTTCGCTCATCCACCCATTTAGAATAAAAACGGACAGCTCCTTTTAATTCTAACCAGAAAAACGAATAATAAACAATGAGAAACAGGTACAAAAAAAACCCGTTTTTTTTTCTTGCAATTCCATCCATCCGTACAGCATTTAAAACGAAAGTCCGGTGTAATTTCACACTCCCCCCTATTCGAAGCGTCGCCTTTCGCAATCCCACGGCATCGATTCCTTCGGCATACTCGCCCCTTTCGAGCTTAAAAAATTCACAGCGAGTTTCGTCTTTTTCCAGAGGCCCTTTTGCAGAGCCGGCCGCTACCCCACATACCCAGCCTGCCGGAGACGGAGGCGCCGGGGGGCGCCCAATCGGCCGCCGCCGCCGCCGCCGCGACGCCCTCGGGCGGCGCCCCCTCGACGCCCGTCTCCTTCGAAACGGCCAACCGGTGGACCTCCAAGGAGAACCTGCTCGCCCAGGAGGAGGACGATCCCCAGCTGTTCGTGGCCCTCTACGATTTCCAGGCCGGCGGCGAGAACCAGCTCAGCCTCAAAAAAGGTACCGAAACTCACCGATTTTAATCGATTTTTATACTTTTTATTGTCGTTTGTAGGCGAGCAGGTGCGAATATTGAGCTACAATAAAAGCGGGGAATGGTGCGAAGCGCACTCGTCGACTAATCAAGTAGGCTGGGTACCATCCAATTACGTCACGCCCGTTAATTCTCTGGAAAAACACTCCTGGTACCACGGACCGATATCCAGGAACGCTGCGGAATATCTACTTAGCTCCGGTACTCTCATTTCCACTACTTTTCTTCTTCTTTTTCTGTTACGTGGCCTCTTGCGTTATATCGCATCCAGCCAGCTTACTTTCCACACGTTTTAATCACGCCATTTTCTCGCAGGCATCAACGGCAGCTTCCTGGTGAGAGAATCGGAAAGCAGCCCCGGTCAACGGAGCATCTCCTTGAGGTACGCCTAAACTAAACTCCCTCTCGAATCGAGTATGTAATTCATGTGGCTGTATTCGCGCAGGTACGAAGGCCGCGTGTACCACTACAGGATCAACGAGGACGCCGACGGGAAGGTGTTCGTGACGGCCGACAGCAAATTCAACACACTCGCCGAGCTGGTGCACCATCATTCGATGAATTCCGACGGGCTGATCACCCAGCTGTTGTATCCGGCGCCCAAGCACAACAAACCGACGGTGTTTCCGCTGAGTCCGGAGCCCGACGAGTGGGAGATCAACAGGACCGATATAGTGATGAAGCATAAATTGGGTGGTGGTCAGTACGGGGACGTGTACGAGGCCATGTGGAAGAGGTACGTGGAGATTAAGTTGGCTGGATAGGTTGTGTGGTTGAGGCGTTTAAAGTTGGCTGAATAGGAGGAGTGGTCGAGGCCTGTTGGAAGAATGTAGGCGGATGTTTGTGAGGTTGCTGGGTTTTGAGATTGGCTGAGTAGTTGAGTAGTTGAAGCCTCTGTAGAGGAGGAATTGAAATTGGCGTTTGTGTGGTTTGTGGGTTTAAAGTTGGCCGAATAGAACGAGTGGTTGAGGCCTTTTGTAAGTAGATGTTTGAGAGATTGCTGGTTTATAAAATTGGCTGAGTAGTTTAAGCAGTTGAGGCCTTTCGGAGAAAAATATTATGACATTTCTGGTTGTTTAAACTTGCTCGAATAGTCCAAACACCAGAGGCCTCTAGTCTAGTAGAAAACTCATTTGTGACGTTACTGTCAAGTTAAACCGAACAACCCAATTAGTCGAGGCCTCTTGTCGAAAACTAAATTGTCATTTGTGACGTTTACATTCATTTTTTTGTTAAAGATACAACATGACTGTAGCCGTGAAAACGCTGAAAGAAGACACGATGGCGCTGAAAGATTTCCTCGAAGAGGCGGCCATCATGAAGGAGATGAAACACCCGAATCTGGTGCAGCTGATGGGCGTCTGTACGCGCGAACCGCCATTTTACATCGTCACCGAATTCATGAGCAAAGGGAATTTGCTGGATTATTTGAGGAACGGGAATAAAGATCAAATCAACGCCGTGGTGTTGATGTACATCGCCACGCAAATAGCCAGCGGGATGAATTATTTGGAAAGCAGGTGTTTTATTCATAGGGATTTGGCGGCGAGGAATTGCTTGGTGGGAGAGAACCATTTGGTGAAAGTGGCTGATTTCGGTTTAGCAAGGTAAATCATTTTTGATTGCAATGTAGGATATATTAGGTGCGATAAAGACAACTTCCATTAGATACTTGTGAAGGAAAAAGAAAGTGAGATGTTGTGTCATTGAAAATTTTCGCTCTGTGTGAACTGTCATTTTAACAATCTTTCTTTGTTCCACTCGTAGAAATGGCCAAATTGGCCTCTTTTCGATAGCTAAATTCGTTTTTTTTTTTTTTTTTTTTTTTTTTTTTTTTTTTTTTTTTTTTTTTTTTTTTTTTTTTTTTTTTTTTTCATAAATCGAAATTAAAAGTAAAATTTTTGACAGATTTGTAAGTGGTTTAAACGGCTCTACATCGATGTGAGAGATTTTTTTTATTTTGACAATTTCGGCGCTTCACTCTGACAACTGTCATTTTAATAATCTTTCTTTGTTCTACTTGTAGAAATGACCAAATTGGCCTCTTTTCGATAGCTAAATTCGTAATTAATAGTAATTTTTCCGTAAATCGAAATTAAAAGTAAAATTTTTGACAGATTTGTAAGTAAATTTGAAAATTTCGTCGCTTTTAATGGACGAGACTAAAAGAAATTGCAATAATTCGCAAAATTATGTGTTTCTTGGCCATTTATATTTACTAAAAACCGAGAAATGATCGAATTAATTAAAAAAAAAAACTTACACTAATGACAGCGGCGATGAACAAACTTTTCGAACTGTCAAAGTTGTCATTTCCGTTACCACGGGATACGTTGATTAAGTTGATCTTTTAATGAACAGGGCCGTATTAACTAACTTTTTAATAATAAAAAAAAATAAAAACATGCTCTCTTATTGTTCTCTCTGCTTCTCTCTTAATTGTTCTATCTGCTTCTCTCTTAATTGAAAAAGTTGCTTAGAATTAAACGATCTATACGTAGTTTAAAAAAATATCAACTTATGAGCCATCCTGTATATCTACGTTTATTTATTAGAAACTTCCACGTTCTAGATTGATGCGAGACGATACCTACACGGCTCACGCGGGCGCGAAATTCCCGATAAAATGGACGGCGCCCGAAGGACTAGCCTACAACAAATTCTCGACGAAATCGGACGTTTGGGCGTTCGGCGTCCTTTTGTGGGAGATCGCCACCTACGGCATGTCGCCCTATCCGGGCGTCGATTTGACCGACGTCTATCACATGCTCGAGAAGGGCTATCGCATGGAATGCCCGCCCGGATGTCCGCCGAAAATCTACGAATTGATGAAGCAATGTTGGCAATGGCACGCCAACGATCGACCCACGTTCCAGGAGATCCATCACGCTCTGGAGAATATGTTCCAGGAATCGAGCATCACCGAAGGTGTGCGATGAGATAATCGAATTTAGTAGGTTTTTTTAATCGTTTCGTTATTTTTTGTGTGTATAGAGGTGGAAAAGCAGCTGCAGGGTAACGATTCGCCGTGCGCCCCTTTGGGAACCCCCCATATGGCCTTCAAGAAATCGCATTCGGGTAGCACCGGGAACATCCACGGCCTAGTTGGATTATCCGAACCCAACGGTATTGAAACGAATTATATTGTATACGAGGAAGAAATACAGTGGGCCGTATTCAGCGCCCCAATTTAAACTTAAATGTAAACAAATTCCTTAGTTACTCCATAACAACCAATGTAAATCTGTCAATTTAAAAGAATCTAGAATCTGCCCTAGTTTCCAGACCTTATAATACACGACCGTAATTCGAAACAATCTCCTTAGTTACTCCATAACAACCAATGTAAATCTGTCAAAAGTGAAAGAATCTCCTTAGTTACTCCATAACAACCAATGTAAATCTGTCAAAAGTAAAGGAATCTCCTTAGTTACTCCATAACAACCAATGTAAATCTGTCAAAAGTGAAAGAATCTCCTTAGTTACTCCATAATAACCAATGTAAATCTGTTAATTTAAAATAATCTAGAATTTCCCTAGTTTCCAGACCTTATAATAAACGACCGTAATTCGAAACAATCTCCTTAGTTACTCCATAACAACCAATGTAAATCTGTCAAAAGTGAAAGAATCTCCTTAGTTTACTTCATAACAACAATGTAAATCTGTCAAATTGATAGAATCTCATAAGGGAAATTACTAGATTTTGAAAAAGTCACTAAATCTGACAATTTTACAAAATTCTGGGTATATTACTGCATTTTGAAAAAATCACTAAATCTGGTGATTTTAAAATGGTTCGCTGAATACGGACAAATGTAAACCAACAAACGAGAAGAGTGACATTGACAGATAGAAGTCGATTTTGCGTGTTTCTTCCTCGTACGCCGAGAAAACTTGTGTGGCGAATGTATACTAATCATATTTTTCTCGGTGTATGTTTTTAGATAATATAAATAGCGCTTCGACGAAATTATCGACGTTCACGGGCGGCTCGAAGACGAGCGTACAAATGCGACGGTCGACGAACAAAAAGGGCATGCCCGCCCCTGCGCCCCCCAAACGGACGAGGTGATTTGATTTTTAACAACTTAAATAGTGGAATTTAATAAAAGAAAATATTTCTCGTTTTATCCCCAGTTTGCTGTCTTCTTGTAGTTCGTTCAGGGACAGCACGTTCGACGACCAAGGGCAAATCGACAGTATGACAGGAGAGGACGGGACTGATTTAAACGGTAAAATAATACAAAAATAATATCCTGCATTCAATACATGTTCTGTGCATTGACATTTTGAATCCTTGAACTTGTTCTGTGTATTGTCATTTTGACACATTGTTCTTGTTCTGTGCATTGACATTTTGAGCCCTTGAACTTGTTTTATGAATTGTCATTTTGACACATGGTTTTTGTTCTGTGCATTAGCATTTTTCAGGTCCTCCTATCTTGTTTTGTGCATTGACATTTTGAGGTCCTCCTATCTTGTTTTGTGCATCGATTATAATTGATACCTCGAGTCCTCCTATCTTGTTATGTTCATTGTTAAGTCTTGTATCCTCTTATGAATGTAGTGAGTTGTCATTTTAACACATTAATCTCGTTCCGTGCATTGACATTAGTCGTTGATCTCGTTCTGTGCATCGACAGGACTGACCAGAGAGCTTCAAACGTTGACGGCGAGCACGAAATGCGACAGCGAAAGCGACCTGCAGGACCAAACGCCCGACACCGACGATTCCGGCGCCCATTCCTACCCGGAAATATCCACCGCCAGTAGTTTCACGACGCCCGGCATGGGCTCGTTCAAACGCGCCCCCATCATGGGCAACAAGGGCTTGGAACAACGCGGCAAAAAGACCAAATCGAAAGAACCGGTAAGTTCTATTACACTCTCCAGGTTCTATCTATCTCCAGGTGCAAATAGCCACGTTGTTATGTGTTTCTTGGCCATTTATATTTACCAAAAAACCGAGAAATGATCGAATTAATTTCAAAAAAAAAACTTACACTAATGACAGCGGCGATAAACAAACTTCGAACTGTCAAAATTGTCATTTCCGCCAAGTTGATTAAGTTGATATTTTTTTAACTGCGTACAGATCTTTTAATTCTAATCAATTTTTTCAAGTAAATTGATGGAAATTTTGAAAATTTCTTTAAATTACGAATATTTTCCAATACGTACCTGCCATTACCATACAGGTGTCACAAAAAATAATAAATAATTAATAACAATTCATCAAAATGGCGACTTTTAAGCAGTTCCTTTAACTTTTAACGAACAGGGCCGTATTAACTAACTTTTTAATAATTAAAAAAAAAACATGCTCTCTTATTTTCCAGAATATTAAAAAAATATACTTGAAAATTATGAAGGAAAAAGAAAGAGTGACATTTGTGTCATTGAAATTTTTCACTCTGACAACTGTCATTGTAACAATCTTTCTTTGTTCTACTCCGATCTGTGAGATTTTTTCGTTATTTTGAAAATTTCGTCGCTTTTAATGGTCGAGAATAAAAGAAATTGCAATAATTCACAAAATTATACGTTTCTTGTTCATTTATATTTACCAAAAAACCGAGAAATGATCGAAATAATTTCAAAAAAAACTTACACCAACGACATCGGCGATGAACAAACTTCGAACTGTCAAAATTGTCATTTCCGTTACTACGGGACACGTCGATTAAGTTGATCTTTTAATGAACAGGGCCGTATTATTTAATAATTAAAAACTGATAAAAAAAAACATACTCTCTTATTGTTCTCTCTTAATCATTCTCCAGGTGCAAATAGCCACGTTGGAGGTACAAAACGTCCGCAAGGCCATCAACCGGTACGGCACGTTGCCCAAAGGCGCCCGAATCGGCGCCTACTTGGAATCCCTACGGCAAAACAACGCCCCCAACGACCACGAATCGAACCAAAACACCAACATTACCGACGCCCAATCGGACCAGGCCACTCCACGTTCGTTGTCGCCTCGCACGAACATCCGCACGCAACCCCAAATGATCAGGAGCAACTCCTCAGGGGGGGTAACCGCCTTCCACGCCACCCACCCCCCTAGCTCTCCCACCTCCTCGAAATTAACGCGAAACAGACGCGATGTGTCGCGCAACAACAACGGAACTGACGTCAGGAGCAGCTTGAGGAGCTTCAAGGTGTCCCAAGGGGGGAGTTTCCGCGGTGGGAGCCCTTCGAGGTACCTTTAATTACCCCCAAACTAACCATATTTTGTATTAATCGAGTGTAATTTGTAGATCCGTACAACCTACTTTAGCCGATTTGGAGTTCCCGCCGCCTCCTACCGATCTACCGCCTCCGCCGGAGGAGTTCGATAACGCTACAGGGTCGGATCAGGTGGATTCCACGCAGGAGCTGCGCAAGCGCGTCGTGCCCGCATCGCCTTTAACTACTCGGAAATTGTCTAGAGATTCTAACAAGGAGCAGGCCAAAGAGGCGGCGGAGCCTCCGGAGGCGAACGACGTGGTGACGCTGCAACCTTCGGTGGAAGAGGCCAGTTCGAGGTTCGGCGTGAGTTTGAAGAGGACCGACAAGGAGGCGGCCAGGCAGGATGAGAGGGAGAGAGATGGTAGTCAGAATCCGAGTCCTAGGCGGGCGAGTTTCAGTCCTGTAGGGGCGGGATCGCCGGCGGAGGGGGCGCCGACGCCGCCGCCGCCGCCTCAAGGCGTCGCCGAGTGCGGTGAGTTGGTTTTTTGTTTGGATATTTGAGCGATATATAACGCTCTAGAGGTGGTTGAATCGCCGAAGAGGTAGAGGCCGTTTGTGTTTCGATTGTTAACAAAAATCAAATCGATGTAAAAAGTCTGATTACTCTGCTACTGCCATTGTTATGCGCTTTTAATAATAATTATTATAACATTTTATAAACTTTGTAACGAAAAACATATCTATTAAATACATACATAACACTCGCTATTGTTCTGTACTAGTACCATAAGTTTATTTTGTAAAATAATAAACGCATGTAAAGTTGATAGGAATCTGCTAGGAAGTTGTACACATCATTTTTTGCATTGTTTAAAACAAGTAAAAAACATTTCCTGCTCTCGTTTCATCAGCCTTGTATATGTTTTTCCTAGTTAGTTAACGAGGATTCCGACAGGGTGAGTGTTATGAATGAATTTCGTAATTAAATTCGTTTCGTTCTCGATATATGATATGTTTATTGCGAACAACCGAGTTGGGTAATGTACTTCCCGATTGTCCAAATTCCTCCAAAGTTATCTTAAAAAAACGGAGCATTTTCGAAGTACTTTACCGGCAACTCGATGTACAAGAAATTAGTTTAATAGGAAGATTATTGGTTGCAGATACTCCGCCCGAAGACAACAAATCCTCCAAAGCGTTCCGCAACAAGTTGGCCATGAAAGAGATGGAACTCAAACTGGTGGCCGAAATCAAAGAGAGCCAAAACATGAAGATCAAAAATCTCAAAGAATCCCCGAGCGAACCGTTCGCTCCCTCCCACATCGGCCTCGATCCCGCCGCCCAACTAGTCACCGAGCTCTCGCAATCGCTCAACATGGACGCCGCCCGGCGTCCCAACGGCTCCGCCTTCGCCTCGCAGCTCAAACGACTCAAACCGACCAAAGAGAAGCCCGACACCAATCCCATCATCGATTTCAAATCGCGCCTGCGCAAGGTCGAACCCGCCGACGTGGAAACCGATTCGCCGGCCTCTAACAAGAGAGAAAGTACAGCCAGTTCCGATAGCGATGATAAGAGGAAGAGTACAGGTAGTATTAGTAGTTTGAAGAAATTATGGGAACCTAAAGACGGGACTGAGACTAGTATGGTAAACAGCCAATTGAGTCCGAAATTGTCGTATCGCAACGAAGATTCCTCCGATGAATCGATTAAAGTGGCTCGAAAGGAGGATAACAACAAACCGGTGGTACCGATTAAACCGGCGGTTATCAAACCCGGTTCGAATTTAACTAGACCGATTTACGCCACCCCCAACAACGCGAAACCGCCCCCAACAGGCGACGGGAAGCGCGATATTTTAGAGATAACGCGCGCTTTGGAGGCGACGCTCGCCGACGCCGCGACGTCGTCGACGCTGTCGACGGCGACGTGGTTGCAATTGGCCGACGGCGTCGGGGCGTTGCACGGCTCGTGCGCCGCCTACGCGGATCGCGTCGGGCCGGCGCACGCCAAGTTTCAATTCAGGGAGGCGGTGGGTAGGTTGGAGGCGCAGGCGCGGCTGTTGAGGCAGGCGGCGGGGGCGCGTCGCGGCGTCGGCGGCGGCGGCGGCGAGACGTGTTTGAGCGACGTGAACAACGCCATCAGGGACGTGGTGAACGTGGTGTTGCGGTAGGAGGGTTCGGGGATCCCACTGCTGATTTTTTTTTTGGTTCGATCCCACTTCTGATTTTTTTTTTATGGGGTTTGTTCGGGTTGGGATTGTGTGGTGAGGTAGATTCGGGGGAGATGGGGGTGGGAGCCTGTGGGAGGTGGTACGATCGATTGCCGTGTTGATTCTATCGCTTTGGTCTCTTCGATGGGATGGTTTAGATCCATTTGATTCCTCTGACCCCTTTGGTCCCTTTGGTGGGATCCTTTAGGCCCATTTATTAGGTTTCTTTAGACCCTTTGGTGGGATCCTTTAGGCTCATTTATTGGGATTCTTTAGACCCTTTGGTGGGATCCTTTAGGCTCATTTATTGGGATTCTTTAGACCCTTTGGTGGGATCCTTTAGGCCCTTTTTGTGGGATCCTTTAGGCTCATTTATTGGGATTCTTTAGACCCTTTGGTGGGATTCTTTAGGCTTCTTTAGTGAGATCCTTTAGGCCCCTTTTGTGGGATCCTTTAGGCCTATTTATTGGGATTCTTTAGACACTTTGGTGACATCCTTAAGGCTTCTTTAGTGGGATCCTTTAGACCCCTTTAGTGGGATTCTTTAGGCTCCTTTAGTGGTATCCTTTTGGGCTCGATTGGTCTTTTTGGTGGGATTCATTAGTCTCTTTAGAGGGTATCTTTGGGGTTCTTTTAGTGGAATCTTTTGGGTCCTTTTGGATTACTTTTGACCATGCGAATTAGTCGATGCGGCAGTCGACGTGTTAAACGTGTTTTTCGTATTTTAAATTTCTTTAATTTTTTCGAACGATTTTTCCCTCGATTTCGCCAAAAAATCTTGCATACGAAATTTACATTTAACCGGTAGTTTTTCGATTATATTTGTGATATATCGTTGTTTTTTTTTTTAACTTAAAATTGATTTTTGACGACTTTCGCGCTATTTTATTGTAAGGAAATTATTTAGGTAAGTATGGCGTTTAGTTACGGATTTATGAAACACACGGTATATCATTTTCCTATTTATTTATTTCACTAAACTGTGATACAACAGGTTTGCATTTGTTTGTAATGACTGCTTTTTTAGATTGTAAATCGACCATTTTTATGTACTATTTTTTTTTGAACACCCGGTATAACAAAATCGTTTCTCTATAATTACATTCGAGATACCATCAGATATTAATTAAGAGGTGTAAATTATCGAATTGCAAATTACAAAAGCAGTTTTTACCTGTTTATTATACATATTTTTTTATATGCTAGTCTTTCCTTTTTTTTTAATTTGTATTTTAATTTGTTGTACGCATGCGTTGTGTGAATGTCGAACTTGTATATTAGATAAGTATAAAATAAATAGTTATTTATGGAACAATAATAATCGCGAAATAACCGAACCCAAAGACTATTTTTTTTCCAGTTTCGTTATTTTTGAATTTCGCGAAATCCCAGCAACTTTTCCGTAGTATAAATGAATAACCCTTAATCATGCTTATACGCGTACGTTAACTTAACTAGCAGGTAAAACATACTGGTTATAATAGCAGGAAGGAAAAGAGATATTTTTTATACTTTGTTTATACAAGAATGGATAGTGATAAGTGTAAATGTTTATACACGATATACAGGGTGTGTTTTTCTTTATCGTTCAGTCATGGCTACGTTGTTTTTGAAAGTCGCTTGGAAATTCGGGAGATCTGGGGAAATGTCGACGCCACGTGTACCGGTATTTCCCCAGATCTGGGGATTTTTTTTTAATGAGCATTTTCGATGGAACTGTAGTCAATATTTAGTTTCTCTTTTTTGTACCAAAGTAAACATTAATTTCGGAAAACGACGAATAAATATATTTATGTATGTTTTTTCGTATATTTCTAACTATGTGTATATTAAGTATGTATGTATTTTTAATATGAACGTGAGATTTATAGTTAATTATTATATAAAATCGTATTTTAATTTATTCCGTATTTTTTGCCTTGTAACATATATACAGGATGTCCCAATCTATTTCGATTAAGGGAAGACTCTGTATATTATTATTAAATGCAATTTTTAAACTGGTTTTATCAAAGAAACTCGGAGAATCTACGAAACTTGGAATCTCATATAGAGAACTCCGTATGCCGAAGGAATCGATATCGCTGAATGTAGTATGTTTTATCTGCTATCGATTCGATAGTCGATGCTGTCGATTACTATCGATACTAGTCCTCTGGTTATCATAGGAAAATAAATCTCGAAAATTTGCTCATTTTTCCGATCGATTCCTATACGTAATAGCTTTCGAAAAGTGTGCCATGCTTTCTCTTAAATGACAGAACACACACGTCAAAACCGCCTATAGAGGTTCAATCGAATTGAATAAAAAAAATTCTAAAGTACTTCCTAGCAGAGTACCTAATTTAAACGATAATTACTTTTATTTGTGATTAGTGGTGTAATTCATTAAAAAAAATACATTTTTTTGTACTTGGTCGAGCTGTTTTTTGATATTTTTTTTTATTTTTGTACATATAGTATATTTATATCTAAGCGGAGATTTTTGTACAGGCTTCTTATAGTTAGGTAGGGAAATAACAGACTGTATTCTATTTAAAAATAAATTTGCTAATATTAATATATTTGTTCGTTTTTGTTCGTTCTGTCAAAAATACACATTTATACACATTAGAAAAATTATTACAAAAGCCCCCCCCCTAATGTTTCTTCGCTTTCTTCTGTCCCGCTTTCTTACTTTTATCCTTAACGACCAATTTTTTAAATACTCTCAGCAGTTTAATCAGGACGTACGCCACTGTAATGACACACGTCAATAAAAACGCCACCACGTCTAGCATAAAATATTGAAAAAACGTCATATCCGCCGCCGAACTGCGCATGTGCCTCGCGCCATTATGTCTCAAAACGTATTCAATCCACCAAGCCGCCTGCGATGCGTTCCTCACCGGATGATCCATCAAGATCGCCTTGCTTTTCAGCACGTTTTCTTTGTACCTAAATCAACATACTACCGTTATAGTTCATTACCTAGAAATTCCTATTATCATACTTTTTGTTTTCCGCCACCTCCTTCAAAGAATCGACAATATTCCGCTTTGTTACCGTTCTGTGATCGAGCATAAGACCGATTCCGAGCTCCACGACTTTCCTCATATTAGCCGGTTGATCGGAGAAAAACGGCATACCAACCACGGGCACCTCGTTGTTGATGGACTCCTCCAAGGACTGGAGCCCGCCCTGCATGAAGAACACCTTGATATTCTTGTGCCCTGGAAATTAACCGTAAAATTACATCAAAACTGTCGCTTGTCAAACGTCAAACTCGCCTAATACGTCGGGTTGGGGCAGCCATTTTCTCACCATCACGTTCTTGGGCTGATCGGGCAGACTGTCCGCCTCCCATTTCCACAAAACGTTGTAGGGCAATTCCGAGAGGGCGCTGATGATCGTTTTTCTCAAATCCTGAGTCAAGTTGGCGCTTTTTACGTTGCTGCCCAGGCTGAAGTACACGACACCTTGCGGCGACGAGTCCAAGTATTGCTTGATGTCCTGCGATGTAAAAGGGCACGTTTAATTAAAAATAAAAAGAAGAAGCGTTTGTTGGGAATTAATTCCTTACTTTCGGTAGAGGTTTCTTTTCTCTGATGTGCATTTGGCTGATTTCAATCAGATTCGGTACGTTCGGTACGACCGAATTGATAAGTGGATTGCAACTCATCATAACGAGACTCGTGTTTCGCTCGATATCGCCCAAATAAGGTATATCGTTTCCGAAATATTTCCTCGCTAATTTATCGGAATTCGGCAGGAAATACCAGTAATAAACGGCCCTGTACCAAAAGTTAAACAGCAAACTTTGCATCCTGTAAAATTTACAATAAATCAGCCATTTTCCTTTCACAGCCCGCTCGATTTTACCTTTCGAAAAACGACATTTCACCGGAAAGCCCCATCATGTAATCCGGATTGACCACCGGGTGAGTGGGGTTCCCCAAGGCGTCGTGGATTTGCAGGTACACTCCCATCGAGGATAACCCTGGAAATTTTGCAAAAAAAATATAAAAAAATCGAGTCTATACACTCGCAGTACCAATAAGAGGGGCCTTGTACTTGTGAGCGAACGGCAACATCCCGTGGGCTATGTGATTGTATTGCAACAACACCAGATCGTAGTGATCGTTCTGATTGTTCACGATGTCTCTAACAGGAGCATAATTCATCACAGCTTCGTAGACTTCCGTGAACAGGAAATAAGTGCCCAGTTCCTTTTTGAACACGGAATTGGCCGATTGCAATCCGCTCATCATTTGAGCGAAAACGGGCAGTTTGTAGGTGAAAGATATGTCGATTTCGGTCAGATTCGTCAGTTTCGGATCGTTAAGAGGATTCGGCGTGATCACTGTCACTTGGTGACCTCTTAATGACAGCTCCTTCCATATCGGCTGGAATATCACCTAAAAAAACAATTCCAAAAATCTTTCACAAAGAGCTACATTATCTCGTTGAATTGAGTTGATTGCTATTTACTTATCGATTGGGTATATTTAATTAACGATTAAAATGTGGCTTGTTGAACTTGCTGTTGAATTATAAAAAAAAACTTACCTGATGAGAGTACGATGGGAACAAAAACGCCCCGAATATTCTGGCGCATTCTCCCTGATTTGCGATTAAACCGAATATCAGAGGGATGATAAATTTTAAATGCATGTTTACTGCTCGGAATGCCGCCCAGATACTGATAAGAATGTCTGTAAGAAATACGATTTATATGCAGGGAGTTTATCTCTCTAGCTGTAAGTGTATACAGGGCGATTCGTGAAATATGGCGAGTCGTTATATTTTACGAGGACAAACTGTAGGAGTTTTGAAATTTAAAAGAGATAATTCGTGTATTTTTTTATCTTGCTTTATGAAGTACACCGCGGTGATTTTTTATTAAAGTGGTTTTAAATGAGTTTTATTGTCTAATCCCTAATTGAAACACCCTGTAGAAGTACTTAATATAATTGTTAGATAATTTTGCACGCAACAATCCAGAGTATCAAGAGATGAGTGTGCAAAATTATCAGTCATTAAATATTAGTGTTTTTCCTCAAGTCCTTTATATGTTCTACAAACCGTAAAGAACAAGGCCATTGATTGATAAAAAAATTTTGACTTATAAAAAAAAAGAAGAATCGATCCAACATAAACGCCTCCTTCTCTAATCGGAACTTATTCGAGTGGCATTCGCAACAGGGCCGTATTTGTCGAATATAATAATAAAAAATCAAACTTTCGTTAAACTAAATGTAAGTACTAATTACTAATCCAAGTACTCACTAATAAACTAAATCACGTCGATCAAATCAAATCGAATTTACGATAAAACGACGTAGAAACGAAACGAAACGAACGAACCGAACTGTCAACAATGTCAACGTCAACATAATTGACATATCCAAAAACAAACGTATCAGACCGAATTAAGCGATAATCGACCTTATGCTACCTGCTTCGCCGGAACAGTAAACTGTTCAAAACCCGCTCGACGTTTCCTTGTAGCGCTACAGGGCGCCGCCAGGCGTCCAGCGTCCGGAAAATCGACCGCGCACTCGCGTTTTCCCACAGCACCGAACCTGAAAACTGAAAAGCCGACAGTTCTGCGCGTGCCGCTTCGAAGGCGTGAAGAGTTTTTTTTTGGATTTCGGGCTCTTCGGCTGTGTTTGTTTCAAAATGGCGTTCAACGGCGACGGTCCCCATTCGAAGCGACAAAGAACGGCCGCCGATACGGCGAATAACAGGGTGAGTACTCTTTAATTTACAATTAATTCGCTTCGTTTGTTAGGGGTTGTTGTTGTAACACGAAGAGTTCGGTTATTTTGTTAGTGCTCCTCTTTAATTGAACGGGTTAATAAAGGGGGGTTTCTGATCGTTTGATTCGAGTTATTCATCGACGTATCGACGCTTAATTGGAATTAACTGGCAGTTTAAGTTTTGAGTTGGCTCGTTTGTTATTCTATACTTGTGTTTTGTATTTAAAACCAATCGAATTTTTAAACGATAATAATTGAATTAATTAGTTTATTTTAAGCGCGCTACAAGGGTAGGTGTATTAATTTGATCGATGCTAGTGTAGGAATTTGTATTTTTTTTTTATATTATTTTATTCAAATTCCAGGCAAATGTGGAATACAATGCTGGTACCGAAGAACCGAGGCGAAAGAGGCCGGACGAAGTCAGACCCAATCACGTGCTGCTATTCACCATCATAAACCCCATGTACCCCATCACAGTGGTAAGAAAACCTCCCATCTTTCTCCTATTATACAGGGTGTCCCAATGAAAAGGAGCCCCTTTAGCGAGCTGATAATTTTTCAACGACTAATCACGAAAACGTGCGGTTTTCTCTAATTTGTTTTATTTTGCTGTAACTTTTCGTTGGGACACACTGTATATGCGAGTTTTCGAATCGAAAATAAATGTATTTAATTAGAGTACGGTCGCAGCCGATGAGTAAATCGCAATTACATTGTACTGAGTAACGCAATTAGCTTCTAAAAAAAATAATCTGCATTCCAATTAGTCATTTGGATGGTTCTCGGCTCTTAAAATGTCAGTCGATTAATTTTAGATCCAGCAAATAGAATGTTTATGTAATTCGTTTCGTTGGATAAGAAAAATTAACGTTACATAAGGATTTGAGATTTACCATCCTGTTCTTATAGGCGCTGTTAGATAGAGATAATCGAAAATTTAGAGGGTGGTATTGTTGAATTTGTGTACTACATATTTTGAGGACCACCCTGTATTAATTTGACGTGTTTTTAACGCCTGGAAGATATTTTGAATTTAGAGGATTTAAGATTTAACTCTTTATTACCATCCTCTTCTTATAGACGATTTTAGACAGAGATAATAGAGAATTTAGGAGATATTATTCAATAATTTGTGTCTTACATATTTTGAGGATCACCCTGTATCAATTTGACATGTTTTTAACGCCTGGAAGACATTTTGAATTTAGAAGATTTATGATTTAACTCTTTATCACCATCTTCTTCTTCTTATAGTCAATTTTAGATGGAGATAATAGAGAATTTAGAGGATAGTATTGTTTAATTTGTGTTCTACATATTTTGAGTAACACCCTGTATAAAAATCTATTTTTTACGTCGAATTTGAGATGTCTTTTCGACGCCTGGAAGGTATTTTGAATTTAATTAGATTGTGCCTTTTTGTTGACTGGGCACGCGAAAAACGTCTGGAAGAATTTAATATCCGATCGAAACTATTGCCTTTTTCAAATAGAATTTGAGAACGGTCGACAGGAGAGATAAGAGAGATTATTTGTTAAAGATGGGATTCTTTTTTCGGTATCTGCAAATATTCTTTACATGTGGAATTGATCGGGTAATGAATTCTGTTGTTAAAATAGATCCGTGTAGAAGAAGTGGCGATTTAAAAATAAGTTTCTAAACGCGCTTTTTATTGTTCCAGACGCACTGGAATATATAATTATATATATTAATCTCGAAGTATCAATTGATCGAAATTATTCGAATTTTGGTATATATTTTTTTTTATCTAACATTTGTGAAAGATAAACAAATAAGATATTACGAGCTTTCTCTTTTCGATTCGATTGAAAATCGTCAGTAATTCATCATCGATTGTATCGAAAATCAATCGATAGTAACCGGTTCGAAATTGCGCCATTCGAACGAGAAAAAATTCCAAACTATCCACAATAGCCCGATTAGTTGTAATATAAGAGACAATTAAACGATTGTGACCTGCATACTTTCGTTTCTGTAGCATATCTCGACGAGATATGCATCGCATTATTTCTAAATTTATCTTCCACGACGTTGACCTTTAGCGGCTCCTACGAAATTTATCGAAAAAAAAAAATATATATTATTTTTAATACATAAGTATTTCCTGTTTAATTGTGTACCCATTTGAATAGAGCGAAATCTATAAATTTGAATAATACTTATCGATTCGCCTGTTTACTTTATAAATAAAACGTTAGAGGTGATTTATCGAGCACCATTCGAATTAAACGGAAGCCCGTCCAATAACCATTATTATTATTGATATTATTATTTTTATACGCATTCCGCATCAATCAATTGGAAATCTATAAATACTCGATCGATTCTCCCATCGGCTAATTATAGCGTTTTAATTACCGCGCCGTAAACATGTACAGGCATCTTTTAATTAACCGCAATTAGCTATACTTGCTCCCGATAATCGGCTTTCTTTTCTGAACAATTACATCACTTATTACATGGATTTTTTTCAACAACAAAATTGAATTTGATTTATTCGTGTATTTCCTCTAAAATTTTCAACACTATTAGTCAGAACGAACCAGCTGTTGAGGCGTGGAAACATCTAACATCTCGGGGGATATAAGTTTAATTTATTGGAATTTTAGTTGGCGCTTTTACCTATCTGTTATTCAGCGAACTAAAACACTAGTAGATTATTTGTTATGCTAAAATGTTGTGTTTTTGTGTTCTTTTCCAGGACGTTATACACACGATATGCCAGTCCAGCGGGCAGGTGTTGAGAATTGTGATATTTAAGAAAAACGGAGTACAAGCTATGGTGGAATATCCTTTTTTTTATACGAAGTTAATTTAGGTCTATCTCTAGTTGTAATCGATTTTAATTTTTTGAATTTTCCTTAATTGATAAATACATTTGATAGCGTGGAATCAGCGATAAGAGCCAAAGATGCGTTGAACGGAGCCGATATCTATTCGGGATGTTGCACGTTGAAAATCGACTATGCTAAGGTAAGATATATATTTTTTTTTGTAATTTAAAATTTACCAAAAACCATTTGCATTTGGTATTAATTCGAGCGAGAAAACGAAACCGGGCGCGTTAATAAAGTATAAAGAGAGAAGTATATCGCAATAAAACATGTAAACAGTAATTTTCTACGGTTGTCAACGGTGTATTTAACCCGCGAATGATTGCTCGGCGAAAAAGCAGTTCCTGTTTTCAAACGAGTAATTTTCTATTTTATACAACGAGGAGATGATTTTTCGGTTTTATCGCTTCTCATTTACTTTATTGGTATTTGCTAATTTTACCGCCGGTGCACAATTCGAAAATGATCCATTCATTACAAGGAAATATCACCGAAGAAACGAGACAACTATTGTTGTTTCACAACTTTATCTGAAGTAATAAGAAAATAATGATAGAAATGTTATTTTTCTTTCTAAAATTGTAACATCCTTTAGCTCGAAAACTAAGAGGTTTATGACATACATTGATAGAAACTTTTCATCTTAAAATCATCCAAATATTCACATCCTAAAGCATCGGCATTCAATTAATTAACACTCTGTATAACTCTTTGAAGTTAGACGCTAAAAACTCCTTTATTTATGTCTCAGGACTGTTAATTACGAAGGGAAATTTGTGGAAAATTATGGTGTAATTTTCGCTTTTTAATTACACATTTCAGGTTAACTACGAACATAAAAAAAGTATGTAAAATATCTTCGAATAAGTATTTTCATTTAGACATTCTCGAACATCAAAGATATATTTATCTGTCTTGGATGTCTTCTAGTTATTCGACATTTTCGAATCTAATAAAAGACATTCGATATCTCTTGCTCGAGCTCGAGGGAGACCCTTTTTTTTATCCTTTTATGGAAGTTAAAAAAACCAAAAAAAAAGGGTCTTATGTGCTTTGATTTTTGGCCGTAAGAGAATTATTCTCTACCTTACTATTTTTAGAGATGATTCGTTTTTTATAAATTTGGTATAAAATATTCGAGTTCGGTATAATAAATTACTCGATTTAAATTATGTGTGTGTTGGTCGGGACGTTTCAATTAATTAATCTGGATTCGTTTTCGAAAAATAAATGGGAAACCGCAATAAATCTCTGAAATTAAATAAGTTCAACAAACAGAATTGATTACATTAAGATTACAAGTGATTATTATAATTAGAATAAACCGCGATTCGAATAAACATTGTTTATTATGTTTGGTGTTATTTTTAAATACACCGATTAGAATTTATCGATATTCTTAAGAGGCGATTATCGTATACAGGGTGGCGTTAGAAATGATTTCACTTTTTATAATTCTACTTAAACTCTCTCCATTGAGTATGTCCTTTAAACAGCCGAGTAAGAGTCCATTTGTAGCAGGTGCAAAACGGGCGTTTTATGCAATCGATTACTGGTAGTTGTGAGATCTAAAAAAAGAATCTTGTCCCGCTATAATAGCACGTTCTTGTAGAATTTAATGGATCCAGTTGTGTCGATTTCGCAATTTTTTTTTTAGAAATTTTTATGACATCTCCATTGTACCGTTTCTTTTTTATATAATTCAACTAACAGACAAACGACCGAATGAACTATTCGTTTAGAACGTGTAAACAATTCGATTGAATGGTATAAAATTCCTCACGAATATATGTAAGTTAATGCAATAAAAATGATAATAAATAGCGTATTATGCATAAAATTTTTAGCATTTTTATTGAAGAAGTTTTCCGTATAAAATTTGGGTTTATTACTCGCTCTGTAAGTATATGAATTAGTAGCATTGAATGTAATATTTTCCTTGCGATTTTTTATCTCTATAACCGAAATTTCCCCGATGGCGTTTTATTTTTAAAAGATAGCTTCGGAAAATTCTGAAGAACTCGCTTATACGGAACGTCTGTTTGGGATTTTCCCCGCAAATTGTCGCCCATACACTCCGGGTTTATTTTTTTTTTTTTCGATAGGAAAAGGCGATATTTATCCTCCGGGGTAGTCAGGAAAGATTCGCGAAATCGAGCCGAGAAAAGAAGGTTTTCCATGCAAATTTCCATCGGAAATACCGAAGGCGATGCTTACTTATTTTCCGAAATCCTCGCGAAAAATCCCAAAAACCCCCGCTAAACGATTTATACGCGAGGCATAAAAACGTTTTATGTAGTACAGGGTGTCCCAATGAAAAGCCTCTTTAATGAGCTTGTAATTTTTAAACGCCTAATCATAAAAAAACATGCGGTTTTCTCAAATATGTTTTATTTTATTATAAGTTTTGTGTCGCTGTAACAAAAAGTTTTAGCTAAATAAAATATTATTATGGCATGATTAGGCATTTAAAAATTATCAACTCACTCTACTTTTCATTGGGACGCCCTGTATTATAAAGTTGCACTCAAAGTTCAACTGATTCACCGATCGGAGCTTCTTTACCGCTACACCATTCGTTGTGTATTTCGAATTTGCAAGGAGCTTTATCCAAGAAGTATTTTTCGAACGATATAGAGATAAGTCTCGGCCTTTTGCTATTCGGTTGTCTGTCAAAAAAGGGGGATGAAAGCCGGAGAAAAATCAGCGGGCGGTTTTCCGTTGTGTTTTCTCGGGGCGAATTACAAACATCCGCAATAAACGTTGATATAACTCGGGAGATTTCCCTTCGGAAGAAATTGCGTATGAAATATGCAAAATGAGCCGAGCGAGACTTTTTCCTCATTCTTTCGAGCCTAACCTAGATATGGATGTGAAATTCTTTTCGATTGCATATATCGTGTGTTCGCCGAGTCTAGGAATAAAAATTTTAACAGTCCCATATTCCTCCGTTCTCCGGAGTTAATCTTCTCGTTGTCGGATTATAGCATCAAATATTCAATTCGAAGCGGAGCTGTGTTATTTGCAATTCGTATTTTTAGATTTTTAACATTGTAACATTTCCGCCTTTTCTTTTCCGAGCGATTTTCGCGAATTCTACACGTGATGCCAAACGAAACGTTTTTTTTTTTCGAAATTATAATTAGATATTTGTCTTGCGAGACAAAAAAAAATTGCATAGGAACTATTTGCTGTTCGATTCAATAACGCTGTCAATATATTTCCAACTGGATATTTTCGTTCTGTTCGTCTGATGTTCGAACGGGTTTTTCGTTGTAACATGTGTCGAGGAATCGGCGAGAGGAAATATTTTTAAAAATCCGAAAAGCTTTTATCTCTGCCAATAAGGATATTGTGGCGCGTTTTCTAGAGCGAATTTTTCGTGTTTTCTTTGTAATTAAACGTTTGCCAATACCAATAGAAATATCGCGGATTGTTTGTTTAAATATTAATATACGTTTAATGTATTGTAACGTAAATAAACTCTCTCGAGCGAGTGGATAATTTAGATAAACTCCTACGTTTGCTATAGGAATTAATAATTAATATAAATGTGTTTGTTTATCTTACAACTAAAAGAATAAATTATGTGATATGTATTTAGATTTTTTTGAGTGTTTGTGTTTATAAGATTTTTATTATATTTCGATTAATTTTAATGGGAAAATACACTCTGAAACAATTCTGAAATCCAACACCTTTTGCGCGGCAAATTCGAATTCCCCGATCGCTCAAAATATACCGAAAAAGGGATAAATTATTGAATCGAATTCCACCGCGTTCGTTTATTATTTACACGGCAATTGCCGGCGATTTCCGATTTTCCAATATTAATCGCGAGCAACAGAGACCTTTATACATTAAATAGTAATGTAACCGCGATATGTTGGCGCATTATTACCGAATTATTAACTATTGATGTACCCTTGCTTAATCCGGAAATCGATTTAGAATAAACCTGTTTATTCGTTCGAAAGAAATGTAATTTTTGCTCCGAAAAAAGTTTAATTGTATAGCGATTTATGCCCGGGCGGAGCGCACGTGGGTTTTATTCGATATTCAAAAGGACTCTTGCAACAGGATGTGACGTAACAAAGTAGCAAAAGAGAGTACAGGATAGGATCCTTTAATTGGGGGATTTATAGGTTAAATGAGACCCGAATAATCCTGTTTTTTTTTTTCGAACTGTATTTTCTCCAATTTCTCTACAAACTAGGCTAATTTCAATTAGTCCTTAATTCGGTCCTGGACGAAGAGGATGTGCGAGGGTTTTCCTTTGCCCGGGTCCGCTGCTAATCTGAATGTGGAATTGTTGAATATGCAAATTGGGAAAGCGGGCGAGCTCTTTTCTCTCAAGTTTTCTCTGCTGCAATTTTTTTTTTGTTTTAGAAAAGTATCCCATCGAGTCTTCCTTTAAATTAAACATAAAATTGCAAGAAAATATCAAGTACTTGTAAAGCTGCAGACGCGTAAATGACGCACTGATTGAGTTTACAATATATTTTTTTGCGACTTTTAATCAGTTTCTAATGAATGAAAATTAATTATCCTCCTTTACAATGAAGGTTCGTTAAGGAATTTTTAATTAGCTTTTCAAAACGATTTTTTTATAATCAGAATCGTGTTTGAATCAAATACATATTTCTATTTCTCTGTTAATTAATTGAGAGTAGATAATTCAGGATGTGAATATTTGGATGATTTTAAGAAGAAAAGTTTGCATCAATGTATGTCCTAAATCTTAGTTTTTGCACTACAGGGTGTTAAAATTTTAGAAGAAAAATAACTTTTCTAAAAAACTGTATATTTTAATCGACACTTGGGTCTTCTGGTCGATAATAATCGAGAGATTCGCGGCGGGAAATTGAATTTGACCGGACCGCAAATGCGATTTTCACAGTCTATCAACGTCCTTTTAACGTCCGAAGTCCTGGCGATTGGATTACAAAGTTTTAATTGATGCAACGTAAACTATTGCATGTCCAGGATAATGGATTATGAATAGGGCATTATCCTGTTGACAAAACCTCCAAAGCCCTTAATCGAGTAACTAAAAATCGCCGGTTTTCCATCGTAATATTAAAACGATGCGGAAATATTAAATTTTATATCGTATGCATTTTATTCAAACAATAAAAATAAACTATGCGATATTTTACAAGTTTATTATATTCGAGAGTATTTTATGTTTGAACGTGTTTTCTTTTAAGCATCGCAACGATAAAATGCACGGTACTGTAACGAATTACTCGCCTTTAAAAATATTTCGGGGGAAAAATCTTTTTGTTTGCGGAAATTCGAACGGAGACGTTTAAAAATTTATTAAGTCGTCTTCGAAATTGAACGGATTTTTCTTTCAGTCTCCCGGTATTAATTTTAACGTCGAAATGAAAGGAAAAAAAATGGGCGGAAAAAAATAATAATCTGCCAGATATATAAACGGAATTTTCGCTTCGAAAAAATAATGGCGCGTTTAGGGAGGAGTATTTAATTGATATACAGCGTGTTGGAAATATACAAAAAACTTATATTGTTATATATTTCTAAATGGATCAAAAATCAATGTCAATTTCACACAATTTTATCTTTGTTTACCTACATTTTAGATTTGTTGACTTAGGATCAATACAAACGTTTGCTTAACAAAGCAAGTGTATATTACACCAATTTTTTCGTATTTCAATTAAACCGCCCGAATTTTTCGACTCCATTAAATAATAACCGAGCCAAAATTTACCTATTTAAACCTAAACGGGAAAATTAGAATGGTTGCGTTACGAAAACGGCCGATTGGATTAGGGCGAATGTAATAAGGGGGTGAATCTGGGCAACAAATTATGCAGGATTTTAATTACATATTCCAACGAGGAGCTATTAATTTCCCGATTGCACTCTTACATACAAACTATCAAAGTGTAATGCTTTAATGACGCCATTATCAAACTACACGTTCAGCATGCAGGAATTTGGAGAAACTAATATGAGAATTCCCATCCGGATTCGTTTTGCTTTGCGACCCCCTTTTAGGCTTTAATTAACGTTATACGAGGGTATATGCGGGTTATCTTAAAGGTTATTTTCGTGTGTAGTATATACATAACGAATTCGGGTGGAGGTTAATCGCTTTAACTGTATAACAGATCGATCTTTTCGGTTATATAACAATTTTTTTTTGTATGAATTTCGATGCATGGTGTATCCGGAAATAGAGTGATAGTCGGTGGAGCATCCGTGAAATATTCCGTAACGTTGATGTATACGTAATGTGTTTTATACGGTCGGCTTGATTCATGAATGTTCAAGTAGCATTTTATCTTGGCACAAATGCGGAATTTACAGTGGGATGCATCCCACTGTAATATGAAAGTACAACTTCATTAAATTAAAATGGTTATTATAAGAATGTGAGTTGGGACTTTAAGATGCGTTCGATGATACATAAGCTGTCGAAATCGACATTAATGACATTTCGAATGACAGATATTTAATAGAGGTGGGAATTGTTTTTTTTTTGGTGTATAGAGTTGTAGTAAGGAGTGTTACAAATTAACCGTTATTTTTTCACATATCGTTCTCCTGATTATATATTAATTCTTTAATGTAACATGTTGAATGCAAAGAGGCTAGTTAGTTCGGTTTGTTAACTATGTTTACACGATTCATTTTGTTTGCTTATTCCACGCGAATCGTGTCTCTCGTGAAAATGGACACAGGTAAACCGCTAAATTGATTTCCCCACAGACATTTCGACACCCGCCTTAACCTGACCCGTTTATTTCTTTTTCTTCTTTTTTTTTTCGCACATTCAGATACAAGGGCGCGCGAAATATACTGCTCCACAAAAGTTAAGGAAGTTCCCAAATATTGCGATTAATTTAAAAGTTGCAGGTTTTTTGATCGCCAAATTTAGTATGAGTTGTAGAGGTAGGAGCAAAAATTAATATTAGATATGAAAGAAAACATTTAATTTCGAATATTAGAAAATTTGTTGATCAAAAAGTCTGTAACTTTTAAAATAATCGCAAATTTTGCGAACTTAACTTTTGCGGAGCAGTTTAATTCGAAAATTCCATCGTTCGCGATAATGTTTGTAAGATCCGAAATAAAAATTCTTCGCGTCGAAAATAGGCGTCGTCGCGACGCCGAAAATTCTCACCTTGCACCCTTTCGGAGACCATTTATCACGCTTATTTAAGAAAGAAAATCGTTTAAAAATTGCTACAAGATTAATGGGAATTTGCGAACATTCGCGCGCTGTTCGAAGCGCGATAAAAGACTCGAGAAATTTATAAATGCATCGTCTCTAATTCGGGACCTTTTTGGGGGAGGTTTTTGGTGACCGCGAGGGTTGGAAACGATGGAAATGGAAATGGAAATCGCATCCTCTGTACGCGGGTTAAGTATTAGAGAAAGGCGGAGTTTCGCGAACGATATTGATTTAGGATTGCGGACGGTTAATGTTAGAGATGTAACTGCAAACGGTGACAAACTGGCTCTTCTGGATGGCTAGTTTGCGTCTGGTATTTGCGTTTTCCCATTCGCTAAAACACACCTTTTCAGCTTGGAATGGGCTTTGGGAAAAAAAGTTTGCGCTCGGTGCTGTGGAGGAAAATCGATTTTTTTTTGTGTTCGATTCGATTCCGGAGCTTATCGGGAGATCTGTTTGTTTTTGCGAGGCGCGTTTTTCTTTTTTATCCGATGTTTTTACTGAATTCACAATGACGATTTATTCGCTCTAAATTTACTTAACGTCTCATTTTGTTGCGGAAAAACGCTCTACTGGGTAGCGAAGGTTAATTGTCGTTTTGTAGGAAATTGCATGTTTTGTATAGAAGCAATTTTTAACGTGCCTTTAGGCAGCATCTTTGAAATCTATATTTACTGGATTTACTTTTTTTGGGTAAACCGGTCGTATTTTATTTATTTTCATAACGACTTTTCCGCCCTCGAGTATTTTTTTCCCTTCCAGTATTTCCTCTTTTTTATGTATCGATGATAAACGATGCGCAATATTTTATCCACATCCAGTTGTTGTTTTTTTTCTAGATATACCAATAGGTATTTTTCCGAATTTTATATTTCATGCTTCGTCGGAATAAATACATAATCATTGATGAAAACGAATTCGGTTCGTAGGAAATGCAACTGCGAGTGATTAATTGTGCCTATAGTAAGTCCCGGTAAATTCAAATTGCGAAAGCACGCAATCGAATATGCTAGGAATAAAATTAGCTCGGTACTATAAATGAAATTGTCCAATTTATTAGCAGAAATTCAATTTGTAAATTGGTTTCGTGTATACGGAAATTTCATTCTACTATCGCATTTCGAATGTACAATATTCCCTATTGTATCGCTTAAAGAAAAAAAAATATCCGAATGTTGTAATTAATTCGATTTTTTTTTTCGCAATTCGCCGCGTTTATTTCCTTTTCATTATGGCGTTTAGACCTCTGTGTTCCTTATCGAATAAATTCGGTTGGGTCTCCGAAAGCACTTAATTTCCTTTTTCTCTTTTTTTTCTTCCCACGTCGGTACGTGATGCAAGAGAAATAAATTTCGAACGTTACATTTTCCAAATGTAAATCGATATTTCCAATCTAGCCACTTCGAAATTTCCATTTATTATATAAAAGGAGAGCTTACGTTTGTATGAGTGTATGTAGAATCTTCGATGTGGTAGATAAATACTCGATTTTTTTATAGGAATTAGGAAAGAACGATTTATTTAACCCAGTTGACAGATTATAAATTGAGTGTGTAGGAATATATTTTATAGCGAATAGTAAAACACGAGACAGTTAACACGTGTTTGTGAATTGAATTTTAAATGTTTGGTTGTAGAAATATTTATCACTCAGTATATATTCAATATAATTATCTTAAATAAACCCTTAATTAATCCATAACGTATTTAATTAACCCACGTTCGTTTTATTGTCTATTTAGCGAATTTAAATGATAAATTGTAATAGCCAGTATTGGTATTATGTCAATAGTATTCGATGCTATTTTAGTAGGAATATTTGATGATTTTATTCATAATAACCAGTCATTTTGGATTCCGTCCAAAAACGGCGTTGGTGCAATTCGTTACGTAAATTAATCTAATTAATCCCTTAAAATACCAACGTAACCTACATATCGAACCTTTAATACTTCCAATTTACATAATACGAATTTTTTTTAAATATTTATTTCCATTAAATTAATAATTTGGCGACGCTCCAATAACCGCATCGCGTTGTATACAAAGCAAAACAACATTTGTTGTTTGTATAATAATTATTAGAAATATCTAGAGTACAGAGTCTTGCTAATTAAGCGCGAGTTTTAGTTTTCTCATTAGAAAATTTCGAAATTTCCGCCTAAAATTAGCACCGATTGTGAATGGGAGAATCGGGGTTAACGGCACGATCGAAATTCCCGAAATATTTTTTTTTCTTGAATGGAAATCCGAGCGATTAATCTTTTATTCGCGAGCGTACGATTAAAGTGAATATAAAATTGACTGATTAGGCTTTTAAATGCTGTTTTTTTCCGCCGAATGAAACATCGCTCGTTTCCGAAATATAAATAACCGTTACTACTTTTATAAATTACCAGTCCGAATGTGTTTTGAAATGTATGACAATTATTTTAAATAAACTGCTCGCGCTTTAATGCCGAATATCAAACGTGATTTATCGTTTTCTGTTACTTCTAATTACCGGTTATACAGACTGTCGCTTTCGATTGTATGTTTAAAATATAATTTTAATTTCCATAATAACAACCAGGTAGAGAGGAAGGGTTAAAAGGGAAGGTAATAATGTCGCTCATCTGGGCTAATTTAATGGAGCGAAACAAAACAAAACGAGCGGCGTTTGAGCCACTTTTGAACCTCGGGGCAAAGTTTGTTCTAATAATAATTGGGGCATTAATGGTGATGTATACGAACGGGGGCGGCCCTTTGAGGTTTAATTTCGAGTGGTATAAATTCCCTGTGGTTTTTGGAATATTTCGAATTTTTTTACATCACACGCATCATTTACGTTAATTTCTTCTGTTACAGCCAGAAAAATTAAATGTCCACAAGAACGATTCGGAAAGTTGGGATTACACAGTTACATTATGTAAGTACGTTTTACACACAATCGTTAATTTTCTTAGATTTATTTGTTATACTACATAAAACAATTTCACTACATAAACACTTTATTTGAAATTAATTATTATATTAGCATTGTTTCGTTATTTTCCGGTGTATATATACAGCATATTAAACATCAAATTAAAGGGAAATTGGAAAATAACAGAAACATTTTCTGCTGGTCTATTTTCGCGAAGGTCGCGAGGAAATTCGTTCGTATCGAAAGAAAATATTAACATCTTTAAAAATAGTTCGAATTTAATTAATCTTAATTTCCGTTGTTTGGAATGTATATAGCAGATCGATAATCCTATTGGGTAAATCGATTTTTCCTGCGGGCTCGGGAATTTTTCAATGTCGATGAAGCCATTACTAAAACGATAAAAAATCGTTCCGGATCGTTAAAATTTATATTATACACCTATATAAGCCAGTAATTTACAATTCACAATAAACGATAAAACAAACAATGCAATAATATATACAATAAATTAGTCGTAAACAATAAAATATTAATAAAATTAAATCAAAAATCTATACAAATATCGTTTATGTTTACAATAATTCAATAGATACACAAATGCTCGTTTATTGTCGTTTTTGTTCTATCGATGTTTGTCATTAAAGCAAATTGATTGACCGATGTTAATTAACAAATTTGATTACTGGTCTTCAAACGCAAATCAAAATCGAACGATAATTAAATGAGGAATACTCGTTAATTAATTTCGGCGAATATTTCTGTTATATGCCATAAGTATAACGAAATTCCCGTTGGCATTTTACCAACAATCGTAAATACACCTTTAATATTATGCATTTTTAATAGGAATTTGAAGAGCCCGACTCGCTTTTAACGATGTTAATATGTTTGTTTTAATGCGCATATGAGAAATTTTATAGCCAATAATCGTTTCGAGAAAAGGGATAAATTCGCCGAACGATCGTTTGATCTACAGGGTGGTCCGTTTAAAAACTCTGTAGGGGTTAATAAATCTCGATGACGGGTTTGGTAATAAATTTAGTAAATATATGAGTTTAATTTCGGTTATGTTTCGAGTAAAAGGAAATTGCGAAATCCGCTGAATCAATTATGCATTGCACACCAGATATCGTTAATTCAGCAAAATTTCAGTTATTAAATTCAGGATGCAAGAGTGTCATCTTATCCAAGTAACCGCCCTATAACTTTTCTCCCATCCCTCGCGCTTTAATTAACTCAATTATAATTAATTGAAGTTCGGATTAATCGACGGCGAAATATTTAACGGCGATAAATCTTTCGCGGATTGTAAATCCGTCGTGATAAATGTTACTTTTTTGCCAAATTATCGCGGTAAATATTCGAGAGAAATCATTTTCCGCGTTCACGCGACTGGAAAATAAACACGGGGGTAGATATCCTGAAAAAAAAAAAACGTCTCGTAGGCGTTCAATTAACACAACACGAGTTTTCTTTCGACGCCTCGTTATCGCTCATCGCTCGAAAAAAATAAATAAATAAAAATAGGCATCGTGAAATTTGTACTAATTCATTCGCTTGTGGTAGTAAATTTTGGAATTTACAATTGTCTTTTACACGGAAATCGCTTGTTAAAACGAGCCATAGAGCCTGATAAATGCAAATTTTAGCCGATGTTAAATGGCGATATAAATTCAAACACGTTAAATAATTAAATTCTACCGTTATTGTTTCGTTTTTAATTAATCGGCTTGTGTAGAAGCTATACAAAAACGAACCTCCTGGCTATTGAAACGTGTAGTAAAATTGGGACACCCTGTATAGTGTATATAACATCCCTTGTTCTAATCAGGGATCACGCGCTGGTAACGTGACAAGAAGACATGACAATAATGTGTGTCGAAAGGCTTTGTTTGTTCGGTTAATTAACTTGTCACGTTAATTGAGACTCTATTCGAATTAATAATTATTTAATTATAATTGACTCCTACGTACCTACAATATATCACGGTTTTAGGCTTCATCGATTGCTAATATTACATCGTTAATATCTGTTAATTATCGATTTTATTAGTTTATAATATGATTCAAAAAAAGAAGCCAGTTATGATGAAAACGAGTTAAATAATTAATTCATTTCTAATTGTATAGTATTCAGACGTTTCTAATTTTCGTTACGCTTAATTACATTCACTTTCGCTGCAAATAAGTCTCTACTTAAACACCGAAGTTTCCTATTAATGGAATGTCGATCGGTGAAATTAATTACATATTAGATAAACCCGACACTTAGAAACGGAAAAATAAAACGGCGTTCGATACATTTTAAAATTCAATTAAATATGCGTTCGAATTTAAATGGATTTGTTCGTGTAAACAAATCGTTATAAACGAAAAATCGATTGGTTAATTATGTATAATTTGAAACGGCTTGAATTACGAACGAAGGAAAAATCCTGTAATTTATTGGCATAATATTATTAACTTCTATCGTCTCTCGGTCATTAGTATTTGAATTTTTGAAATATATTTTCCACGTGAGGTATTTGAATAATATGTTGTTTTTTTTTTCGTGGTGGATTTATTCTAATTAGTTCGGAATGTTTATGGCGAAAAATTTATTTATGGTAAAGTTGGAAGAAAAATTCGATTAGAAGCAGAAATTGTTTCGGCATAGAAACGTTTTTAATTCGGTTACCCGTTTAATCCTGTCGCGTTATATTCGAGAGGGGAGAAAGGAAAATCGTGGAAATGTAACCGGATGATTTTCCTCGCAAAAAAAAAATCTAAAATTTACGGAAACTGACTTGTATCGTTTTGGGAAAATTTAGTGTCCTGCCAAAACGGGCGGTCGTTTTTCCGGCATTTTCCACTCGATTTGCTCCTCCCTTCATGACCGATGAAAATGGATTTGACACAATAAAAATCGGATTCGTTTTACGCACGGATGTGTTTTTTTTTACGCAATTTTTAATGTTAGAAAACGAGTAGATTGTGCAAGTTTTTTTTTTAGTAACAATAAAATAAATCGTACATTACGAGTTATTGTGAATGTAATTTACAACCTGAAATTCGTCTGGTTGAATAGTTTGTTTTCTAGGTTTGTTAAAAATCCATAAATTACGGAATTTCTGTTTGGCTTTTGTGCGGCTATAAAACAACTTTACATATGATTTTTTTTTAACGATAAAACCCGATAATATGCATATCGTTCGGTGGTTAAATCATTTATTAACATAAAAGAGCCGTAAGATTCAAGGTAAACATTTTCTATACACCATAGACGATATAAAATCGTTAAATACATTTCGATTTAATTAGTTTACATTCAATCACTTTTCCTTCGAATTATCCATCGAAATCGAATGGAAATATTTTTAACGATCTACACTTATAAAATATGTATTCATGGAACGCGTTCCACTTTCTTTGTTATCGAGAATAATGATAATAATTGATAGAGTTTGAAATGTTCTAATGAGCGATATAAAAAAAATCGATTTCCAGTTTTTATACAAAATTTCCTATCACCTAACAAACGCCACTTTCTTCCTAATTAGTAATTGTAACGTGTAATTGATTGTAGAAAGTTAATTAAGCTGCAGTTTATTATTTAATTGCACTATAGTGCATTAAAACCGGGTAAAATATTCATGCGATAAAGGAGAATTTTCGCCTGCAAAAAAACCTTTTAGTAGGACTTGATCTAAAAATACACCGCGCGAAATGTTCAATTACACGGGGGACAGTCGGACGCAAATCGAAATTAAGCGGTGGAATCGATTTCGTTGGGAAAATTGGAAAAACTATCTGCCCATCAGGCAAATGAGGAAATGTACACGCCGATCGAACGTTGTGGTTTTCCCGTTCCATTGTGACACCAAAAAAATCTATTTCATTTTACATTATTATACTTCTAATAAACAGAAAATTGATTAACTAGAGCGAGTTTCTTCACAAAATAGAAGCCAGTAATTAATCGAATACTTCGAAAAGGATATAGCGATTTCTCGATGTCGCTGGATCCTCGAAAGAAATAAAATCCGTGAGGCGAGTTTTGCCGGAATAATTTTACATTTTCCGTGTAGCTTTAATAGTATTTAGGTACAGTTATAAGCACGCCTTTTTCGTGTCTCCGAAATTACAGTATAAAAAAAAAACGAGTTGGGTTTTTTTTTATGTTTGTTTTAGCATTTTTGTCCGTTATAAAAAGCGCAATTAGCCCGCTTTAAATCGAGTATACGAAAGCTTCTCGTATAAAAGATGCAATTTACGAAACGAATTCTTATATACAGAGCGTCCCAAAAAAAAGTTACGTTTTATTAAACGAGCGTGTTGAACTTAGGCATTCGTGCAGCGTTTTAATGGCTATTTATTTGTGTTACATCAAATTTTATTTTTATCAATAACATTTCGGCGTTTTTGATGTCTATAAACACATTTTACATGAAACGAAACTTGTGTCTCGTCGCTTTCCTGTCAATCAATCGAGAATTTGCATTTTCGCTGTGGAGAATTTCGTCAAAATGGGGGCGAAAAATTTAATAGAACCACTTTCGAGATGTCCCATAAAAAACCGAAAATTTACGATGCGATTTTTGCGAAAAAAAAAATTGAGTCATAAAAGGCTCGAATCGATTTTCGTTTTAGCCCTAATTGTCTTACGTACGGTATAAATGCGATTTATCTGCGATAAAATTCTTCCCCATTTATCACCCGAGTTAATAAAGTTTCTATTAAATCATACACAAATACCTTTTCGAATCCGATTTATGAATAGTTTCTCTACACGAGTTATAATTCTAGAATCAATTCAGATTATGTTCAAACGATTTTAAGCAGTTCTAAACTTGCTCTGGAACAATTCGAGAACACTACCAAACATACTGTTTCATTTATAATGCCATCTCTCTCACTCTCGCCCTATTTTACAACTCTTGTGTTATTTCTCAGCGAATCGATTCGGAATAGGAAATATTTATTGTGCTATTCAGGAAGAAAATCGGTTTTTGTTTTGTCCC